TGTTTCCAGCCAAGGCGTGTAGCTGAAATCGTCCCGACTCCATTGGCGGAAGAAATAATGATGAACCTCATATTCTGGTAAAAATGGCTAAAAAGAAAGAAGAAAAAATGTAGACTTCAAATCCGAAATTGAAATAATAACATGATCATACACAATGTATTGATATCGTAAGTACAATAATTATTTTTTCACTATAGAAATATCCTTTCTGCTGAATTTTGCATTAGATTATTTTACTTACTTCCAGATAAGAAAGTCTTCCCTCCACCCAATCGAGAAATTCTGATCCGCTAGAAAATTCTGGTGTAATGTCCTCTTCGGGTTTTATTTTGTACAAATCTTCCTCTGCTTCTTCCTTGAAAAAAATATGAACAATAATTTCAGTTCATTTCCGCATTGAAAAAAGTTTCCAAAATGAATTGAAATTATCACCCTGTAAAAATCCTAAAAGTTGCATTTCGCCTTTTGTTACTCTTTCTTACCTTAATTGTGTCCAAGTCCTCAGCATATTCTTTGATCCTCCACAGCTCTCTTGCTATGGTCGCATCGTCCGGTAGATAAATCTGAAAATTATTTCACTTATTAATCAACATAATCAAATTGAAATTTTTATTTGTTATGAAAGTAAACCTATGAAAATGCATCATACAGTTTTGTTATAAAACAAATAAGAAAAAGTAAAAAAAAAAAAAGTACCTTAAAGATATTTTCTGGTATGTCGGAGAAATTGCCTCTGCTAAAGTTGTTTTGGGATATTTTTGCAATATCTTTCCTTTTTTCCTTAAAAAAAAATATAAGTCAAGTTAATACGATGAAGTTTGTGAAATCAAAAAATTATATTCATCCGAAATTATTCCAACAGAAAAGTATAACTACCACTCTTCTACGCTCCTCTTTGAGTTCCAATTCCATCTTGAATTCCGTCATATCGTTTGGAACAGCCGCCTAAATTCAAAAGGTCATGATAAGTACGATTATCTTTTTGTACATTCAACTAAAAATCATTTTCGCTCAAAAAAAAGGGGGGGGGCTTCGAAAATTTTTTGACTTACTTTCATCTTCATCTGCATCTGGTTCAGCCTGTTATTCAAGCTCATCAGAAATTCATTACCATTTCTGTATTCTTTTTCTTCTTTTACATCCTAACAGAAAAAAAATATTGTGACATATTATATATATGCAGTATAATTATTCAAGACTTTTTAGATTATATTATTTTGCAAACTAAATGTTTAAATTACCATCGTGTTTGCTCTTGCTAAGTTGTCTACTTTGTTGTCTTTCATCAAAGCAATTATGACGTCATAGTTAAAAGTTCCCATCATAGAAACGCTAACTAAAACCCATTCGGTTTCCAAACCCGATTAGATTTTTTTAAAATTGATGTACAAAACACTTTTCTTTTATATTCATTATAAGAGATGTTTATAAATGTAAAAAAAAAAAAGATAATATCTCTCATATATAATGGAAACAAATGATGATAAAAAATATTATCAATTTTCTTTTTTCTTATTAGAGCAATTTTAATTTTTAGTTTCTTTTTACATATATATGTACTATATAAATTATCAATCTCAAATCGTTTTAATATTGAAATAAATATTCTCAGTCTAAAGTTTTTGGAAATATTGTTATAAAGATGTTGGCTGAAGATTACTTACCATTGTCTTCATCTGAATTTCAAAATAATGATGAATCTTTACATTCAGCTTTGTTGTTCATAAATCACAAGTCTGCGCTCTTGCATTGGAAGCAATTGTGACGTCACAATCCGCAACGTCATCGTGCTTTATCCAAACCCGATGGAAAATAATAATTTTGTATCGGTGGAATAAAAAAATATAAAAAGTAAATACTGTGCAAACAGAGAGGAAAGAAAAGAGGAAATAATGCAACTCATCAAATATGAATAGTTTATAACGAACATAGTTTTGAAAATAATGAGGATAAAATGGATTATGTACTAGCCGTTGACAAACTTCGTTCATTATCTTCAAACAACCAATTTGGCCTTAGAAATCTGACTATGTGACCTACAACCAAGAAGGGTAATTTTTATTCAATTTAGAACACCTGATATAATTTTAAAGGCTTGTTTTTAGGCAGGCAAATAATTTTTTTCATATACATTCTTTCCAATTCAAACAAATGACCACCTACATCCTGCATGCTAAAGAAACAGACCCCTAGCAAGGATTTCAAAAGTGGGTAGAGGGCAACAACAATAAAATTTATGCTACATCTAAGGAAAATTTACTCAAGCAAAATACTAAACTCATAAAAAGTTTGACTCTTTTAAGATTTTAAAATGACATATCCATATTTTATTTTAAAACCAGAAGTCTCTGTCGAGACTGTAGCTCTACTGGTTTATACTTAAAACAAAGGAAGAGAAAAGTAGCAGTTGGGACTTGAGACTTTAAAACAGCATATAAAAAAAATGAAAATTTACTAATAAAAACCAATGCACAGAATTATGTACCTTATATAGTCATAAAAAATTTGGCTCTTTTAGGAGTAGCATTTTAAAGAATTTCACACATTTTTAGTAACCATGGCAACACCCTTTTGAAATCAAAAACCAATGACAGAATTACGTATCTTAGTGTAGTCTACTTGTGTGCCAAGTTATACTGAAATCGGATCACATCTGTAGGAGCTAGCATTTTGATTTTTTTTTTTTAGTGACCATCTCATGAGAGAGAATTATGTATCTTATGTATCTACTTTTGTGCCAAGTTATATTGAAATCGGACAAAAGTGTTAGCATTTTGAAAGAATTTCACAGAAATTTCTATTTTTAGTAACCATGGCAACACCATTCATCGAAATCAAAAACCGATGCACAGAATTATGTATCTTAGTGTAGTCACTTGTGTGCCAAGTTATATTAACATCAGACCAAAATTGTAGGAGGAGTAGCATTTTGAAAAATTGTTTACAGACAGACGGAGAGACGGCATTACTATCGCATAAGCTTTTTTTAAAAAGTTATCCATATTATTGTTACTTCTTGATTTTTTTTTTCATCATCTCATGAGAGAAGTTTTTTTTTGAAATTGGTTAGGTTATGGAGGAGAGGGTTGAAATTTTTTAAAGTTTACTGATATCAGACAAATAGACCTGAACACACTTTGATAAGAAAAGCTTACTTTTTGGCCCAAGTGAGTTAATAAAAATCAAAACAATTATAAGCACAACAGAATGAGTGGTGAAATTGTTTATCTAACAATATTGCTGTAATGTTGTACATAAATAGAGGAATGCATCATATTTTGTTAAAGAATTATTCTACATATATAAAGAAAATTTGTTCATTTTCAAATAGAGATAGAAAAAATATGCAGTTGGGAAACAACAAAGAGAAATCAATTTTTTTGACAAGATTTGTAAAACTGAAACTAAACCACCCAACAATAAAAGTTACGAAACATTAAAAATGGCCACATATAAGGAGCATGGTGACTAGGTGTTGATCACAGTGTTAAGTTATAAATAAAATCATCCCTTCCCAAAGGATATTGCAAGGTACCGTGTAATTGTTTTACTTTCAAAATTATCTGATGGCTTTTATATACCAGATTTTTGCTTTGCCTTTGATCAAAATCAGCATTTCTAAATACAGGCTAACCTTTCAAAATATGAAAAGATAATCAAAGTCTAGAAACATACATGTAGAAGCTGTAAAATCTCTGGACTAAACTTTATCCCCCATAAAAAAAACTGTTGATTAACATTATAATATTTACATTTGGTTCAAAGGTACATGTATAGTAGGGGGAAAATTTTTTTAACAAGTTTAAAGCAAATTAAACAGTTCAGACCAGAACATACATATGGACGGTAGAATGAGACTAAATATGGAATAAAATTTGATTGAAAAAAAATATGGCTATTAATTAAAAATTAGGATATTATAATTTATTACATTGGCATATATGTATTTTTTAAATTTTCAAGACTGAAATAATATGTAATACAATATGGATTTTTTTTGTATGGAACTAACATTAGATTACATGGGAATATAATCTTAAACTTATAACACTCAATACACAAACATGTGTAAAAATCCCTGTGTTATGAATAAATATATAAAAATGCTTATAAATACATAATGATTTTATGGCAATTTTTGGTTGGGGAAAAAAAGATGTTATAAAATATACAGAAATGAATTACAATTTTTAAAGAAGATGCTTGAAAATGATAGAAAATAGTGTTAGCTGCTTTGAATAATGATGACGAAAACATGAACAAAACAATGCGTCATAACAAAGAAATTTAACAGGTGCAGACAAAAAAAGGCATGTATGAAAATTATGGCACAGAATGTTTTACATAAAGGGTTAGTGATGAGATTGACACAAATGAAAATGAATTCATGACATAACAGAAATTGCGTGATAAGTGAGAGCAGTACAATGATATACAATATGTGGAAAATACATATACAAATAATATCAAAAATTAATTGCAAGATATACATGTATGGTATACTTTATAAACTAATGCTTGCTACAGAAAATTTCTATATTTTTGTTTGTTCTTTAAGAGTTTGATAATTTTTTTTTCTTTACACACAAAAAAACAGAAAATATATGCATATATAAATAAAAAGAAAAAGTACAAGATACGGAAAAAAAAATCCCATACAAATTCTGGATATTTGAATATAAATGTAAATATAGGAAGACACTGATTGCACATATACAATTGCTTAACAAATACAATCCATGCAAATACAGGTATATATTAACTGAAAAATTACATGTGTTACAACTTATACGTGTATATAAAACATTATATGAATAATGACCCATCTGTTACAAAGGATCAAATAAAGAGAAATACAGGGGTAAAGGGACTGAGTTAATGAAAAAATAACAACAAATACTGTGTAATTGTATAAATAAAGAATGTTGCACTTCATTATTTTTTTTTTTTGATCTTGTGGAATCTTCAAGGTCACAAACTTTTTAGAGCATCCAGACAGGCAAGATAGACTAAAGTATACTGGTCCTGAAAGAAAGTGTATAATGTCAATGGTCAATCTAAAATAGCATCTATGTACCAATTCTGAAAATTATCAGACATTCATGGGGAAAAATTTTTTTTTTCCAAAGACAATAGAAGGAAATTTGTAGATGGAATGTTTTACAAGAGCAGGCAAAACTACAGCGTATAAATATAATTAGCTAGGGCTCAAAATCCTTGAAGGCCTTAAAATTACTTGTAAATTACTCATAAACTAGTAAATTAAAGACAACTTTCTTCATTTTTATAAACATAAAGAAAACTTCAGAGTTCTAAAAAAAAAAATGCTAGAAATCTCTAACCTTGACTTGAATCATGCCATATCTCTGCTTGCGTAGCTCTGTTACTATTTCAAATATATCACACTGAAAAAGAGAATAGTAGCATAATAAATTCCATATATTCCTTAACAAAACCTTAAACATATGAAAACATATTTCCGGTATGTAATTTGAAAAAAAATAATAAACTACATAAAATTCTTTCCATTTTTAAGCACCCAGATTGATAATCCCGGGCGTATATTGTTTTTGTCCTGTCTGTTTGTCTGTTTAACCTTTGCCATAACTTTTACACCATGAGAGATCTGTCTCTCTTATTTCACCATTTTAAAAGTTCTTTCAGATGACTTCAAGGTCACAACTTTTGACCATGATAGATATATGCTGAAAATAGCTTTTTCATCTTTTTCACATTTGTATGCATATTCCACTAACTAAGTTCTTTCAGATGACTCCAAGGTCAAAGACCTCGTGACCCTGACTGAGACATATATGCTAAAAAATAGCTTTGCTGCCGCCTGACACATAGTGTTTCATAAACACACCATTATTTTGCTTTCACTTTTTACCCGCCCTTTCTTTTCAATCTGAGCCAGGGCCATAGGTGATGAGAACACCAGTTCTTCCTATCCCCGCACTGCAGTGGACAGATTTGGTATGATGGGCGTGGATAGGTACTGTCAACATAACAAACAAACCAGTTACAGCAAAGGAAATTCTTTATAATAGTTTCACCTTTATAAAGGTCATTATATAGTTAAATCTTCTGACATACTTATAATACTGTAAATAATACCTATAAAAAAGTTTTAAAAAATATTTTTGTTTCAATTTTATTAAAATAATTCGTGTGAAAAAGAAATTGAAAACTGTGGAATCATCATTGTAAATGGAGATTTTGTGGATTTTGTTTTGGAAAATCAAACACAATGAAGAATTTTTTTTTGTTATTTTGACATCCTGACTTTGTACACACATACCCGTCCTTTACCTGTTGACTCTTGCAACTGTGAGATAGGCATAACATTGCTGATAATCAATAACGTACACAATTTACAAAAAAGAAAATTTATTCATCATTAATAACAGTTTTATTTGATTTAGTTCTCTCTTCCTTTGGTTGATAATTCATAGCAATTTCTGGGCCCTGTAATATGCTGATATAATAGGCGTGAGATAAAATTCAGCAAAGAAAGCGGCTTAAATCAGTATGTCAATTTTAAAATTACCATTAATCCAGTTTCAGCAAAAAAATTGAGGATATTTGCTTATTGTCTATATAGTACATGTAGATTTTATTGTATAAAGTCATTCCTATAATAGGCATCATTATACAGTTAAATCTATTTAAATTAGTTTTAATCAAAACAAAATACTCGTTTTCTGCAAAATAGTTTTATATTCAGATATTTGTAAGTACTTACTTACCCTTTTTTAGTGCAGAAAGGTCAATATTTATGACACAAGAGTACCAAAATAAAAGAAAACATCATATTTATCATAAAGGTATACTTTTTTCTTTGTTGAAATAAAGAGATACCTTTCCAAAAATATGATAACAACATTTTCACACAAAGACTTTAAAATATTATGACAAGAAAAAATGTTGTTTGTGCTCCATTAATATTTATTAAATTTCATAATTTGCCTCCATTTGAAAAAGAAATATAAATTAAATAAGTGTTGATTTTGACTCATCATTGACATTTTTGGAGATTTTGTGGATATTTGGGAAAATCAAAATACATTTTTAGCATTTCACAGAATTTTTTTTGTAAAAGTAGCATATAAAGGTATTGTTTTAAATACCTAAAAATTGACATCCTGATGTTAAAGTTTTGAAAATTTCACACAAATACTGTACATGTATATAAAAAGTGGGCTTCATATTTTAGTGGCTTTGGCACAGACAACAGTGCTCTAATTAATGAATACCGCTAAAGAATTATTTATAAATACAATATACAGTGCGGAATTGTGTAGCGTTAATTCATGAATATGCCAATAACTGAATGCCCAGTGATTGCGCTAAAATTTTGAATACACCAATATATGTGCACGTACAGTAATTTCTATGACGTTAAGATTAATAAGCATTGGAATTTGACTAACTGACCTGTAGGAGTGGTTTTGTGTTGGGGACTGCTTGATCAGGCCAATTTGTGAACATGAAGTGATACACTAATCGACCTTTTCCTTCTGCCATGTTTTCTATCATTATTTCTCTGACATCAAAGTGCTCCAGATACTGCACCCTCAATAAACTCAGCTTGTATAACCTGAAATAAAGAAATGCCACAGGCTACCTAAGCATTCTATAACATTTTGCTTTATTATGACTTTAAGATCTATATTATTCTCTTTCCATTTTTGACAAAGAATTACGAAAACTTAAAAAATGTGTGAAAAAATTTAGTTCAAAACAAAAGCTTATCCAATATCTTATTCCATAATATAAGTAGCTGCAATAATGTAGCCCTCTCCGATGTTTTTAATCTGATGTTCTCTGGAGCCAAAAAAAGGAGGGAGAGAGAGGGTTACTTTATTGCAGTTATAACAAAAGTTCCCTGTGACATTATTACTCATTTATTTTGATTATGAAGATGAGAAATTTTCCCCTTACTAACCCCTTGCAAACAGAGAGTGGAGTCTCCACAGAGTCAGGCCAGTACTGGTGACACTTGACTTTGCCGTTTTCCATGTCCAGCGTCAACATGGCAATCACTGAGACATTCTGTTCCCAGATCATCTGCCAGAAGTCTTGTGAGGTTTCAGGAAGCGGGCCCTGGGCTGCGATATAGTGGGCCTCCATCTCCCCCACGTTCATTAAGATGTGGCTGGCATTAATGTAGTCATGAGGCCCTGACAGCTCAACTCTGTTATAGTCATCTGCAAGATGCGTACAATAAAATCTTTATTCTTACACCATATCATTAACTTTTTCCTACAGAACATTTGAATTTATGCATCAATGCCGAAAAATTTAAAAATAAAGATGCAAGCAAGAAAAAGCTTCTCTGAGGAAAATTTTAAATTGCTTTACAGGAAAAACTCACATGGCAGAATGTTTCTGAATTTGTTCAGTGGTTTATTCTCAGGGAGCTTGGCATCAGTACATTCGTCTGTGGATTTCACTTGCCGTAGTTCCTGTAACAATGATAAGTGTTATCTTATGAAACCTAAGAATTCCCAACATGTGAGGCTTATAGGCTACAATACTCACTTGAATCACAATTTATCTAATAAATGAACATTACATGTACGGATAGATAAATGGAACTTCTTATTGTCATCTTCAATTTCCCACCATAGCCCCAACAGTAAGCTTTGCTCTAAGTTTGGTTCAAAATGGCTTGGTGAGTCTGCTTACTCACTTGATCTTTCAGCTTAGGTGAGCTAAAAACATGACTGTGTTATGTAAAATACTAGTATATTACAATTACAGCATTACCTTGTACTCCTCTTGATGATTCTTCTGATCCAGATTACGCTGTAGTTTACTGATCAGGGCAGGCACTCTATCCTTCACATCCTTTGCCATTACCAGCAGTGGCAGACCGTTTAACCACTCGGCTGTAATATCCTCTGGCACCTCCACATCCAATTTCCTCTGTATGGTGTCGATAGTAAAAGTCCCCCCATTCTTTTCCTCCCTCACGGCCCTCAGTCCCTCTTGGAGTTCCTCGGTACCTTGGGTCTCAAATTCCGACATGTCAGTGTTTTCGTCGGACATGGTCCTCTCCTCTGTCTGCCACCGCTTGTAGGACAGGCCGGGGGTCTTGTAGTTACCCTCATTCAGAGCCCTCCCCTCGTTTAGCGCCCTCCCACTCAGTTCCAGCGACCCTGAAGACAGGAGTAACTTCTCGGCCTCATTGACCAGAGCGTCCATGTCGTCGTCTTCTGAGTCGTACACATCCTCCTCCTTCATGCTGGCTGTTAGATGATCTGGGTCGTCCCTTTCTTCATCGACAAAATCACCATCTTCTTCATCTTCATTGTCTGATTCATTGATCAGGATGGGTGGTGTCATTGTTTCCAGATGTCTGGATGAATACCTTTAAAATATACATAAACTAAGGCTTACATTGCATATTAAACCTACTGAAAACAAAAATTCATGTCAACTTGAAGTCTTGAGAAATATTCCTTGTGATATTAAAGTTCATGTTAATGAAGAACATATTGACATGTACAATTTAGCCTTATCATAATACAAGTTCAGTATTAAAGTAAACATACATATAAAGCTGTATTCAGGGACAAATCCAAATTAAATATCCAAAACTATGAAGTAACTGGTGCATACCTGGCCACAGTTAGAGTAACTTTATTTGGTAAAGCCTTTATAAGTAAAGCTACTTTGGTGCAGTCAAGTCCAACTGTTGATTCTCCATTAACCTACAATATGAGATTACTACATGAAAACAAAATGCTTTTACAGCATGGCAACAATTTGTTGTTTATTTTACAGTCACCTAGTATCATACAGCCACTATTTGAGACACAACTATCATTTTTTCCTATATACGTTGTGTCACCTAGTCCAAATGGCCAGGTTTAAAGATACAAGGGCTATATCAACCAATTTGCCATATTTTCAGAAACATGTTCATATATTCAGCTAAAAGATTCTACTTAAGATTGACAGTTAAAAGGTAGAATGTGCAGAAAAAGTGGATTCAAAAGTAACATACTGCAAATTGGATAAGTCAGAACAAAATCAATGTGGTAAATCTGGTTTTTACTTGTATAATTCTGTCCATTTTTACCTGTACAATTCTGTCCATGACCTGCAGTCTCCCGTCCCTGTCGGCCTGACTGTTGGGTTGTATGAACTTGACAAACACACCAGTCTGGTTGTCTTTCTCTGCCGTAACGAGACTGAATCCCAGTCCTCCTGGACGAGAACGATCGAGCTCTACATGGATCATGTCAGGCTATGAAAACAATTAGTTAAACTCTCGCTAAAATAAACCATTAATTGTGATTATTGATGACAGGGTTTCACTAACAATTTTTTATTAATACACTACTTCCATAATTTATGGTACACACATTAAAATAAATTTTTATTGATGAAGCAATGTATTTACTGCCAGCATTTTTAAAATATTCACAAATAATAATGTTGGAAATGTAATTCATATATAGAAAATGAACTTCTAAATAAAAGCTAAAGACTTGTACTTATTGCCATTTGGGGGGGTTGGGGTTAGAATAATTTAATTTCTAACCTGAGTGACATTGGTGAGGTCAGCTGTGGATGCCATTGAGTCTGGCTCGTATCCACTGTTCATGGTCTCTCCTCCCTCCTCAATCTCCTCCTCCTCCACACTCTCCTGTGAGTCCTGTGTCCTGATTGGCTGAATTTTCTTCCTCAATAAGAGATCAGACATTCCTGTAATGGGGACAGTCTGTTGGGCTGGTCGGTGGACAAGGATTTCCACATTGCCAGTTGCATTTCTCAAGTGTCCTACTGCTTCCGTGTGGTTCAATTTTGTCAAGTCAATGCCATTCACCTGTTGAATCAAAATGTAGGTTCATTAATATTTATGAGCAACAATAAAATTAATCAAAATGGGAGAATTTAAATTATTATTTCTTTGAATTTTTCAAAATCATTTCATGGCAAGATCAGTAGACTTCAAAGGTTGTTAGAAAATTGTCTTGTCTTAGTTCCCTCTATTTAAAATACTTGTTATGACAACATATGAATACTTCCATTACAACTGTTTGATTACCTCGAGTAAACGATCCCCTGCCCTGAGTCTGCCGTCAGAGAGGGCTGGGTCAGACACGATTTCCCTGACGTAGCAGCCCCCCTTACTGACACCCCCATACACAGAGAATCCAAGACCAGTCTTCTCATCTTTCTTCAGGACAACCTTGATCTCCTACAAATCAAAATCAAAACACACACTGAAAACATAAGTAAAATCTGGAATGTTTGCCTTTCCAAATACAACAACTCCATATTGCATTAAAAGGTATTCAGGAGTTATCTCAATAGTCATTTATATCATGATTTCAAAACTACAAAGAAAACATACCCCTGGTTCAAGTTGGTCTTGTTCTGAATCCTCTTCACTCTCTGAATCTTCTTCATCTCCTGTCTCAGTCTGGTTTAGGAAATCCTGGTTAACAGCTATATTTAGCTGTGGGGAATCCCTTGGGGTTGAACTAGGAACTGTGGGGGAACCCCTGGGTGCGGTAGGTGATCCCCTGTACTGGTCTGTCTCTCCCAGACTCTCATTGTCTTCATCTGTGGGAAACTCTGAGGACTGCAGTGAGTTGGTGCCAGTTCCCAGGTGTTTATTGTTCCTGGACAGGAGGGCATCAAGGCCACTCTCTGAAGCTGTGGACTGAAGTCCTTCACCTGTGTTGTATGTTCCTTTCAGTGGAGACCTATAGTTATATTGTAAAATTGATTTACTTAAGTTATTCTTAACCTTTTCTTTATTAACAACTTTTTCTTTGTTCAAATCTACAATAAGAATTGGCCTTGTACATAAACTAACAAAAATTTTATTAAAGTACTGGTACAGTTTTACTTACCTTACTACAGAATCTGTGGATGATTCACTGGCATCTGATTGGCTACTGGATGACCTTGACCTTTTCTTGACCTGAGCTGGGTCAATTGGTTGACCCTCTTCCTCGTAATACACCTCCTCCAAACTTTCCTGAGTTGAGTTGAAGGTTGAGTTGAACTCATCACTGTACATGGATCTGGGGCTCACAGCTGTTTTCAGATTCTCAAAGTCACCCCAGTGCTTTATGCCAAAGTTTCCTTGGAGTGGGAGGGGGCTGTTCTGTAGTGACAATGAAGGGGGAGGGGTTCTAGGGAGGGGAGGTGGGTTACTGGTTGGGGGAGGTACAAACTGGAAGAAAACGGGAATACGTGATGTATTTAATATTGATGTTTAATGTTTCACAATGTTAGTATTAAAATTCAGAATCCAAGCAAACTGAATCACTTGTTTCTACTTCTCTGATATTTTTGCAAACTAATTGGGTTAACATTTACATTTTTGTGCAAAGTGCATTTCCTGAAATTATAAGCATAACTAACCATTATTTCTGACACAAGAGTTATATAGCTTTTATATAAAACCATCTAATACAGGGTAATCTCTTATTCAAAATGTAATAATGTAAGTGACAGTTTACCATTTGTTGAGCCTCTTGCTCCATGCCTGGGGAGGCAAATCCTGAGGGTGGGGTGATGACCCCCCTATCAGACATAGTATCCCTGTAAAGGATGGGTTCGTCCTCTGACTCAGTCTCGGAGGGTGTTCCTGTATCTTGCTGACGGGCCGCAGCTCGACGCTCCATCCACTCCTCACTACTCTATAAAGCAGAAAGGAGAATTTTCAAATAAAAAAACTTTTAAAAAAAACAAACAATTAACACCAAGGAAGAATTATATTTATAATTATTTAGAGATCAGAAAAATTCAGCAAATTTACAAGATGATGATTTCATTTTATGTCACGGGAAAATAATTAACCTGCACAATTTGTAATTTAAATTTTTTTCCAAGGCAAAATGTTTAAATTTCTCATAAAATCAAAAGATTTTAAATTAAATTAATTATAATCCTCCTTTTTATTTTCCATACAAGAGTACTTACAGATCTTGGTAAGGGGGGTAACTGAGCACAAGTTGGTCGACACATCAGTAATTTAGCATCGGTTACTACCGAGTGTAAAAGGGAAACAACCTCCTGAAATAGTAGGATCCATATCCCATGCAGGTTATGTAAGAACTGAACAGTGCTGAGTACACAAGCTTGTAAATAAACACAGAGATAGGGACAGATATTTAAAATAGGCCAGTAAGCATGAAAGGGGGGCATAGGAAGGTGAAATTATACCTTGGCCATTGTAAAATCACACATTTTCGTGGGGTATAATTTTCTTTAAAGGTAGTATATGAAAAAATTGTTTGTTTTGATTTTGTGGTTGAAGAAGCATTTTTAATCATAAATTTTACATTTCATGGAGGATATGAACTTGTGGGTCGTTCATACGGAAAAAACAACAACCAAAATTAAACTGCCACAAAAATGTGATTTCACAATAAATGTATGTAGAGCATGGGAATAAGGTACATGTAAAATAATCATAATACTGTAGCAATTTTTAAAATTGAAAAATATCATTTTTTTTTTACATTCATTAAGTTCTGGGATCATCTGTCTGAATCTCTGTTAACATAACCATGCCTATGTTCAAAATTAGGTATTAAACATTAACTTTTGAATAAATCTATCATTCCAAGTTGAACATATCGTAAATTAAAATTCACCAAATAAAATAACTAAATCCCTTTAAATGTAAATAAATGAGAATATGCTAGGACATGCAAAGTGTTATATATCAATTATTCCATGTACATTTATAAGCAAAAGCAAGACAAATCAGGTTTACCATTATATTATACATTGAGTTATATTTTGACATGCTTAACTTCTTCACAAATTTTCACAAAATCTTGCTTTAAAAAGGTTATTTCCATATTATCCTTAAAGCTCTTTCTAAAGGTGGTACATATACCGTACATTGTATGTGCAAGTAGCTTAACACTTGTAACTCATTTTCATGGTTTCAGAGTAAAGTTTACAAGTAACTTTTAAACTTGTAACTCATTTTCATGAATTTAGAGTAAAATTAAAAAAAATGAATATTCTAAAGTTTTCTTTGAAATAAAAATTGTGAAGAAGTCATTATATTACATTTTTTGCCCTTATGTAGAAGAAAATTAACTTACAGCATGTGTGCGACCTTTGACCGGAACTCCGTTGACCTCTAATAACACATCGTCTCTCTGGATCTGCTGACTTGACCTCGCAGGTCCCAAGGGGAAGACTTTTTTGATGCGTACAATGCCCTGGGATTTGTCCTCTGTATCCACATCTACACCCCCATACACGCTGAAACCCAGACCGGAGGGGCCTTTCTTCAGATCCACCGAGAATGTGTTATCTACAATGCATCAAGATATTTCTACATCATATTCTAAAAATATGGATGATTGATTATGCATTTGAGCTCCCTTTTAAAACAAAATTTATTCATTTTAAATTTTCAGATTGCAAAATTTAAAAAATATAGATTTTTTGTAATGTAGATCACTAAATTTTCATCATATCTTATGTTTGCGAGATACATATTAACGCTTTATTTTCACAAATTTTGATTTCAACTCCATAAAATCTTTAAGATACTAATATACCCTAGAATGATATTTTCTGCAAGCACATTTTCTCACATCATAATGCGAAAATAAAGTTCATGCAAATAAAAAGTGATTTACAGATTTTACCTTTATCTACAAATGGATAGTAAATATTGCCATCAGTGGAAGGTAAGCTTTCGTCCGAGTTTTCTGTCAGCTCTGAAGCCTCTCTCTGCATACCCCCTGGTTCATCTCTTTGATCCACCTCTCCGCTGGACAACAAACCTGTAGACTCCAGAGACGGTGGAACTAACGATTCTTCCAAAAGATCTTCTGCCCTCACTTGTTGATCACTATTTTCCTTTACTTGGCTTGCTGACAAATTTGATTTTTTTACATCATCAGCAGAGGAAGTGTTTGTAGTAGGCTCAGAGCTGGTGAAGTCATTGTCACTTTGTTCCTCCACATGAACAGCAGTGCTGCCACCTTTTGACGAGGAAGACTTGGACTTACTTTCACTTTCACTTTTCTCTGCTACTGTACTGTCCAAATTTTTTGGCTGTGTTTCTCCTTGGTAAAACATCTGCATCATGGGAGGTGTCCTAACTTCTACAGAAATCTGACCTGGCTGTCCCACGGGCTGTCTGGAATCTACTGAACCTGTCGATGAGTTGCTGGACCTTATAGAACTTCGCGAGGAAATAGAGCAAGCACCGCGTTCCACTGTGAACGTACAAATGTCTGGTGCATTTTGGATGATTTCCACCGCTTGTTTATGGGTGACAAATTTCAATGGTATTTCTCCAACAGCAAGAATTCTGTCCCCTGAACAGAAAAAAATGTTTTTACCTATGAAAATTCTGGATACAACTTACATAATACCGAAATGACAAATTTAAGACTGTGTGTTATGCTTGCTAACTGCACAAGAAGAACCTTTTTAGTAAGTATTTCCTTTACAAGAATGCAGTGGCTACTTTAAATGGTTAGAAACTTAACAAAACAATAAGAGCAAATGTACAGCAACCAGAAGACATAGGTATTTAGGTAACTACCTGGCTGTATTCCTATCTGACCAGTTGGCTGTAAAGTAAGACTACTTGGATCCAGTGATTTGACATAAATTCCTCCAAACTTTACAGATGTATTTTTCCCTCCCTTGAAATATAAATAAAATATTTTTTTTACCAACAATGTATAAATATGCAAAATGTTCTGTATACATGTATTTGCTATTTAAATTTGGCATTTCTTTTAGATACATATACAATCTTGTCTACAGATTCCTATACTTACAGTGACTTTCAGACCAAACTGGTCTCCTGTTTTCTGCAGGGTCACCTCAAACACTTCTCCAGGCAGAATCTCGGATACCTTGGGACTAAAAAAAAACACCTTCATCATTCAACACCTAGTAACATCATCCATTCACAACAAAAACATTCTGCTTGTTAGGTTAACCTAACTTAATCTACATGTACATTATCCATTTACTTGTCTAAACCATACACAAAACATTCTTCTTGATAGAGTTACTAAAGGTTGGGACAATACAGTTATATCTAAGTACCTATCCTAAAAGCATTAATCAGATAAATACCCGGTATTTTAACATTTTATTTTTGAATGAAAAATTAGATTACTTAATACTATATTCAATATATGATGATTGTATCACCTGGGCCCAGTATCAATTTTCTGCCACTCTTTATCCTCTGCTGAGTTTATAATCTCCCTCAGGCCTCCTTGGTCCAAACCCCGCCCCTCTTTTACTGCTTGGATCCCCTCCTCTAGATCGGAGTCCACCTCAGATTCCACATCATTATCTGTGTCATCAGGGTCTCTTACTACAAAAAAAGAAAATAAGTTAGACAAAAAATCCTGTAACTTAACTATTTAATCATTTTCATGATGAAGAATACATAAAAACAGGTGACAAGTCCTATAGCTGATGTAAATGGTGATGAATCTTAACTGTGCTTCACTGAAGGGCAAGCAGGAAAATTTTACAAAATTATGCCATATTATTTTTAGTTTTTATTAAAGCAAGTGAACATGCTGTAAATGAATACACATACATGTACATGTGTATGAAGATAAAATCTGGTACCAAGTAATGTCTAACAATGAAAAATACACTAATTAAGACTGCCTGTACTTGTAACATGAACGATCTTCATGTATTTTAGGATTAAATGAATTACACATACTTTGGTTGACCTGGGCAATTTGCACGTATCTATTCCACATATAAATTGTAAAATGGCTCAATATAACAATATTAAAGAATTGAATATGATTTTTTTCTTCTTTTTTTATTTTAGTTTTTAAATTTTTTTTTTTTGAAACATTGCCCTTTACAATACAGACCTGCAGGGATAGGTTGCGTATCAGTGGGTAAGTCGGTTACTGGGATAACTTCACTCTCTATAGATTCAATCTGCGACATAGTAGACACATCTGCAACAGATGGGTCATCCCTAACATGATCCTGTGGAATGTCATCTACATTTAAATGATATGAATCGTCCTGAATTTCATGGTTCTCCTCCGATATCTGACGATAAATCTTGACATCAGAAGGACTGGCATTGGAAGCGCGTAATTTGGCGATGGCATCATCATGGTCATCTCTGCGTTTGACCGATTTCGGCACTCGCACTTGAGACACAAGCAGATGTACAGTGTTTCCTGAGTAGCGGATCATCTGTACCGCTGTGTGATGTTCCACCCCCTCCAGACTCTGACCGTTGATGGCTATTAGCCTGTCCCCTGGTTTGATCTGACCATCCCTATCCGCCGGACCTCCAGGGGTGACCATCTTGACAAATATTCCCAGGTCTAGTTTGTTTGTGGATTCTCCACCGACGATGGTGATGCCAAAGCCAACGTTTGGTTCTTTCTTCAGAACGACTTCGGAAACATGTCGCTCTGATCGTTCTGGAGAAAGCAGCTCCTTGTTAAATCTGTTGTGAAGTGTAGCTGAAATAAAATTTTCACTCAGTGATAGAAATGCATTCAAATATAACAAGAGATGTTTGTAAAACACTTATGCCCCCCTCCTCCCAAATTAGAATTTTTAAAAGTCCAAGGGGGCATAACTCTGTCAAAAATGGCGTGATCGTTCCCAAAATACAACCTGACCTAGATATTTGTTTGATTAATCTGTATACTAAATTTCATTTCAGTATATGCAACCTCTGCAAAGAAAATGAACGGAAACTGCAAATAATTGGAATTTTTCTAAGTCCAAGGGGCATAACTCTGTCAAAAATAGTGCGATCGTACCCAAAACAGAACCTGACCTAGATAATTATCTGAAAAATCTGTATACTAAATATCATTTCAGTATGTGCAACCTCTCTGAAGAAAATGAACGGAAACTGCAAATAATTGGAATTTTTTTAAGTTCAAGGGGCATACCTCTGTCAAAAATGGCGCAATCATATCCAAAACAAAACTTGACCTAGATATTCATCTGATATACCTGTATACCCAATTTCATTTCAGTATGTGCAACAGTTCAGAAGAAAATGAATGGAAACTAAATGGACTGACAGATCGACATACCAACCGACAGACAGCAGCAAAGCAATATGCCCTCCCTTCTTCGAAGGGGGGCATAAATATATTATCTATTTGGAACCACAATTTCAGAATGTTAAAACATTTTCAAGACTTTTACTGTGATTTTAAGAATTTCATTCTTAGAAAATGGATTGTGTTCAGTATCAGTAGAATTAAATTTATCTCCATTCATATGACATTTATAAAATTGTCAAACAGATGAGTGCAATTGCGCTGAACAGATAAAAACTCCATTCATTATGTTACAATTCACTAAAAATAGGCTGTTTTTAATTTGGGGGAAATACATTTCTTTGAATGGCACTATCTATTCATTTTTCCCCTTCTTACTCACTGTTAATGGTTTCGCTGGGGGGTAAATCCCCATCCAAATGGGTGCTCTGATCTGCTGTCTCTAGATTGAGAAACAAAAAGAAAATTTCAATCTCCATTCAAACCACCAAAAGCTTATTAACTTGTGCAAGATTCAGCTGTTTGTAAAATTCTCCAAATTTTATGATCACTGAAAAGTTGAAAACATCATTAATCAAACATTAATTTAACCAGTACATGAGAGATTCTCAAGTGCTTGCTTCTTGGTTATATTGTACATGCTTGAACACAAACATTCCATAATCCCATGCACCTTGTAGATATTTTTTTTCACACAAGCATAGTCTTTGCTTTGAACATGACTTACCATTTTAAAAGATAACTTACAACATCATTATCAGCATAAAAATGCAACAGATGTGTAATCTTTTTCCAGCTGATGGCAGAATATCCATCCAAGAATTGTTCATTTCCTCATGGTTCTTGATTTTAAAATATTTTAAAAATGAAAATTCACAAAAAATACCTAAGACATAAGCAGGGCCTGCTTCCTCTCTCTGGGACTCTTGGAAAATGTCTCCCGTGGAAACAGTATAACGCTCACGCTTCTTATCAGAGGAAATCTTATACTTCTGTCGCAGGTCCAGCATGCTGACACTGGCATCTGCCTTATACGGCGGGGGTCTAATGGAAAACATGCAGCATAAACAAACACATGCACAGATATTGTTCACTTGTTCACACAGACCCATAGTCTTGTATTTACAATTACAAAATATAAGGACTCTGTTAGTAGAATAGATAATTTCTCACAAGGCAATATGTAAAGACAAGTCTCTTTGAAAACACATGATCACATGCATATGGCAGGTTAGTAAAGACTGTTTAGCCAGAAATATATGCAGAAATTACAGCTATATCATTCTTATTCATTTTCTTTCCTGTACAATTTCAAGCAAACATGTAAATGTATATGTATAAAACACACATGTAAGTATTGTGTATTCAAGCATATTTTATGAGTTATTAACACATGTAAAAGGAACAGTAGAATGCAAACATCAACACTTATGGTTCCATCATATTTAAGTAAAATGAAGAGTCGAAGACAGACTTACAATGTATATGGTAATGGTCTGTTATCTGCTGTGGGACTGTGTAATCCAGTCTTGGGTTCTGTACTCTAAGGGGAAAAATATACTCATATCATTGTCCACCTATGTTTTACAGAGTAATATGCAGCTTTCTTATTAAAATCCTGTAATTTATAGTGCAAAAACCTTTTGAACATAAGGATCTCTGATAAATAGGATAATGCTACTGTACTCACTGATGCTCCATGGGACTCACTCGAGCTCTGCTCATCTTCCCCCATACTCTCATCACACATCAACTCAGCTACCGAGTCCAAAGTCAACTCTGGAGATAAGCATTAAGTAATTAAATGTGTAAAATGGACACTTCTATTGTTCAAAACAGTATTCAAATAACAAGCGGTCTTATATTTTTACCTTGAGGATCAATGTTTGATTCCCTTGACCTCATACTAAGTTCAAATCGGTGCTGGGCTGTGGAAAACTGCAGTAAATATCGACCCCTATGTAAAAATAGGCGAAATGTTTTAAAAACATGTACATATGAATTCAACAATTTTTAAGTCATATCAAATTCATTTTTTTTTTTTGCAAATGCATTGTACAGAACTGTTTATCCATTCATTTATCACTTTGATTAACGTTTTAACAATTTATTTACATAGATGTCATTTTACATGTACAGAGAAAGGAGAAAAATATACTTGTACGTGTATATAATTACAAGTCTTATAAAAGCTTACTTTCTGTAACTGTTTGTGTAGTAATTCAGCTTGGGGGGTTTTCCCTCCCCAAAGTCGGCTTTGCTCTGAATGCTGAACCGCCTCTTGTTGAATGAGATTTTCTTAATACTCTGCCAGGGAAACTGCTGGACAAGAACTCTACCCTGGGGTTCATTTTCAGCCAGTATGAGGGAGTGAACATTGATTCCTGCCCACATAACACCACCAGTGTTACTTTTGTTCTGAAAAAGACGCAACATCATGGGGTAGCCAAAATCATCGCTACCTTATAATTAGTTTAATATTGATCTTAAGCACAATATATGTATCTCCAAACCAGTAAACAAAAATTTATACTTGTGACACGATAGCGGTGTTTTTCCTTGAAGTTTACTGTTCTGTATTAGCAATACAGAACGGGACTGTGGTGGGCGGAGCTACTTTCCGTTCTGTATTAGCCCTGTATACAGTATTGTATTTGCCAACTATTCTGTATCTAAAATACAGCACGGTCTAAAAATAAATCTAATTCAATTTAGCAAAAGCACCTACAAATAGTAAATGCCGATGTTTTCCTATTATAATTTTTGGGGGAAATAGCCGGTATTTTCCTGAAAATGTAAAATGTCAAAATTTCTCAATCACTTATTAATTTTAAAAACTTATTCCACACAGAATCTACACGTAATTTCGATCCAAACTAAAAGGAAAATTCGCAATAAGGGAAAACATCCTCTGTACGTACCCCGCTCTCCCCGTGCAAAATCATTCAGGTCCATTTTTCCGCGTTTTTTATTTTTTAAAATCCTTCTCGCTGACGACAGCCACACGTCTCTTTCATTTCGTTTTTAATGTCGCAATTCAATTTGAAAATAAAAATCCGTGACATCAAAGTCCATCGAAAAATTTTCTGTAAATCCTGTTTTCGTAAATCACTTAAACCGGAATTTTAATACCCCTGAAAATTATTATGATAAATCTCCATCTACAATAGATCACAACAATGACGGTTAAATCCTCCAATTTATCCATTAAGACTGACTATCACTCGATTACGTCCACCCCGTTAAACTGTCAAAACTATTCTGACTGAATTTTACGTTTTCCGTGGAAATATATATACTGCGGATGCGTACTCCCCGTCGGGGCCTCATCTACAGAACTCTAGCGGAAGTTTGGATGCTGCAAAGTTATAAAGTGGGCGGAGCTATTTTTGATTGATTGTGTCACAAATCATTTAGAGAACTCGACAGGTTCTGTATCGTAGATACAAATTTGGGGGTGGAGACTCGTGCTAACGCACTCGTCCACCCCCAAATTTGTATCGACGATACAGACCCCGTAAACAAAAAAATTATACTAAAATCTTTCAAATAAGAAAGGCTTCATTATGTTCAAGATGTTAGAATAGTTAAACCATAAAGACTAAAGATAATAAAAAAATTTATACTATGTAAATGTACATGTATAGAAAAATAAAAACACTTTTCAAACCTTTTGCAACTTATAGAAGTGGATTCCATATTCTTGCAGTTTTTGAGCTTTCTGTAAAATAATCAAAAAAATTTGTCATAACATATGAATAGAAATCTTAGAATTTTTCATCAACATTTCAGCTGCAGTATTTATAGGCTTTGTTAAAATGGCACTTGAACCATCATGGCTGTAAAACATCTATTTAAAAAAGTTCTCTTGAAGTCCAGATAACACATCACTGACCTTGATAAACTCTATCTCTGCCTGTCTGTCTGTCAGTCCTGCTAATTTCTGATGCTCTGCTGCTGCATGGTCTTTGATGTAAGCATTACCAACACGTTTCACGATCCGGTGTGGAAAGTAGTGCTCCTGCAGGAAGTAATTCTTGCCCATGCTCTCTGAATCATAGTCCCCATACTCTGCCTGTAGAGCAAGGGCAGATAACTCCATACACTGGTCCTCTGTACAAAGAGTTCTCTCCTCTAGAATGTCATGTCTCAACTGCAGGTACAACAGGTGCTTGGATATCTGGTGTCTAAAACAAACAAGTTGTAATTTGTGAAACTATCTGTGTCTATTGGAAACTAATTCAGTTCCTTATCTTTAAAGACCCACCAAATAAAGTTTTGAATCTCAAATGGTCCTCCAATTTTAAAGCATTATCTTTAGAAATATTTATAAATTAATTGTTCTTATGTCAGAATAGCACAAGAAGGATCTCCAATGCTTTTAACAATAGATGGGCAAAAAAATTCACACTCAAGTTCTATTTAGGCAAGATAAAATGAATAATTGATAGCATTTCCAAAGACTGTTTAAACAAGACATTTGATTACCAGAATTCTTATCTCAGAAGTACCTTTACCTGAGCAAGGTAACACTGGAGGGATAGAACTTCATCCTGACGTAGATAGTCAGTGTAACAGCCGGCATGTTTTCCTTCCAGCTGTCCTTCCAGCCGTCAGGGGCCACCTTGTGTAACTTTACATCAGGCTCCATAAAGAAATGCTCGCCCTCTGAAAACACAAATTTATTTGTCATTGATGATGCTGATAAAATTTTCTGTACATATTGTATTGAAAATTCTAGAATTTTATAACTTGATCAATTCAATATTCAAATAAAGTGGGATTTTTCAACTCAATTCAATTTTCAAACTTAAAGTGGGATGTGACTCTCATATTTTATATAGCAAATCTTCAACATACACTTCCAACTTTCATAAAATATCATTAAAAAATTTCATTCAATCACACCTATGATAGCAAATAATATTCATTGTTATTGATGTGTCCAAAAGTAGGTCCTGCATTTATTAATGCAGGAAAGTTTAATATCAATCTTACATAGAGATTCGATCTGTATAAATAACCTCACCATTAATGTATGATAGCCCAAAGAAGAAAAATTCTGGGAGCTCGATGTGGGTGATGATGGATTCAAACATCTGCTGTGCGGTGATACTGGGGTCCACCATGGCCTCCAACTTCTGTCCGGAGAGTAGGACCACCACCACACGCCTAACATGGGAGGGGCTCTTTAGGCTCTAAAACAGAATTCACATACATCTAACAGCTGATTTCAGTATAATGGTGTCTTCTACCTATTCCCACTTTTTAAAAATCTCAATTCCACCTATTCCCACTTGCAAATAACAATAGATGTTTAGATTTACCTGTATTTTGTACATTTTTAGACAGAAAATAACAATTACATCTATGAGAAAATATGATTTATTTCGGATTTTTGAAATTATAAAAAGGTCTTACAAGAAAAAGCAACTTAATACCTTAATTTAAGAACATGGTTAATTATTTGTTTACACAAAAATTCCACCTATTTCCACATAAAATCTTACCTTTTTCTACATGATTTTCAAAAAGTGGGAATAGGTAGAATGATGTATGAAGACTGACAAAATATTCAAGGACAATGAAGATTGTCATTTTAGGGATAGTACAATCCAGCTTCTTTCAGTAACATGTACCAAGCATGTCCATAAATTTTTGGACAGCCCTAGTAGTGACAGTTTGGTGATAATATTATATTCTGAAGGTTTCAAACAAACATTTACCTCCCTTTAACAAACGACTGTACAAGTTTCAGTATTGTCATGCCGTAGTGTCAAAAATATTTCCAAATATTTACCTCTCCTTGCAATGGCACGGATATTCTCACCAGAGGTTTGGAGGATTTGTGTACAAATTCTGGCCCATAGTATTCCTACAACAAACAAAACATCTGTAGGACCCTGTTTTAGAAACCTTCTTACTAAAATAATGACAATTTAAAAAATCTTACTTCAGAAATCATTTCTTTTTCAAGTACTCTACCGACAAAAACAATACATATACATGTAGTCTAAATGTCTGTGGTCATCATGGCTAATGAGAACAAACAGTATCCTGGGATTGTGACTATCATATTTAACATGAACCCTGACTTTACTTATTTATCATTATCATGCTTACATATTAGCCCAAACTTTTTCACAGTTTATGGCCATCAAGGTATAGAACAAAGCTTACCCTGTGTTTGTGACCATCATGGTGAACATGAGCTGATTTGCCGACAGAATTCTTTGAATTCAATTGCTACAAAAAATCCCAATATATGATGATGTATTTTAAGAGGCTAAAAGCTTCTTTTTGTCTGATATTTTATATAGCTGTATAAAAACAATTCAGTGTGCAATTTTAAGGGCGTATTTCTTGATAACTTTTCCATATTATCTCATATTGAAAATCATATCGGTAAATAATCTGACCATTTTGGATCCTTTGTGTTCTTCAGCTGTTCTGTGAAACTTATCCTTTAACTGCTCAAGTTTCTGCTCCATTTCAATTTCCTTTTAAAGAGAAAGTAAGTTCATATAATTTATCATTAATTTTATATGTATAAAAACAAACTTTCTTAAATATGCCACCAATATTAACCTACCTGACTCCATCTGTGGTGATCATAATGTTGGGATGTTGGGTATGTTAAGAATTCTTTGGATCTGAAATACGTGAAAATTCAATATGCCTTTTACCAATATATGAAAGAAAAACAAGTTGCACAAAAAACCTTGAATAAGAGTAAATATAATTTTTCAAGGCTTTGAAAATTTGTGTCAAACTTTCAACCTTCATGTCATTGGAAATCAACACTGAAACCTGACACCCACCTGAGATGTTGATCCTGATATAATGACATCTCGCTGCTGATGATACTATCTCGGTCCGACTCACGGCCGAGTTTAAGGGCAATTTCTGAACCATGCTTATTGTGAAGACCAGGCGTATATGACCCTAAAATCAGAAACACAAAAATAAATTAACAGTGACTACTCTCAATAAATATAAATAATTTTTTTTTATTTTGCATAAAATATAACTGTTATGCAATCTTATGTAATGGTACATCACTTTTTCCTCTCATGAGCTTAAAGTATTTTTATTTTTTTTATTCTTGTTGTTGAATGTTTAGCACACTTAATGCATAAATCTGTTTACATGTATATACATGTAATTAGAAAAAAAGATTGCTATAACCATATTCTACATTCAGCAAGTGATTGACCAAAGTGAGAAATATCAAAATATTGGGTGTTATCTGGCTTTTTAAAATAATAATTAAAGGAAAGAAAAAAAAGAGCAAAAAGCTCCCCAGAAAGGTGGTTAGCAATATAAAGAAACTTTTTAAAGATTTATTGGTTCATTTGCTTAATTTACAACATTTCCAGGGGTGTGCTGATTAAGTAGTAATATCAATAGCTAGTTACTTAAAATTCAAATCATTATTTTCTCTCAATTTAAGCCCTTTGGGTATAACCCTATAATTAAAGATCCATCATATATTAATTTTGCTAATTTTAAAATTGTGCAACCGAGCCCCAATAATTACACACACAGGGCATCTGACGATGCACTGAGTCTCCGAACAAATTTACAGGTTAAACATTAGCATTACTTCATGTCAGTGTGAGTAAACATCAAAGCAATAAAACATTATTTTCCATCATTAAGCTTTGATGATGAAAATAACAATGGGTAACCCCCTCAACCATTCATCAAACCCTCAACTGGATTTTTTGTTTTCTGCTATATGTGAAAATGCTAAGCAAATTTCATGCATGCTGTAGACAGAATTATATTACACATATAAATCAAATTTTGACATAATTTTTATCAAGTTCTTCATCATGTGGGTGTGTGATTTGAATATGACAATAGCATGCATAAATATAAGTCTCTGCCAAGCAGAACAGCATGCAACAAAAATGTTACCTCTTCCATGCTTCATATTTTTTGCTACAGTTATTATAAAACCAACAATGAAATTCAAAGCCAGAAATATCGACAAGTTAACGTAAATCAATATCTGACATTAGAGTTCTAAAAAGAAACATAGCATTTATGCATAAAGAAGTTTCTGATTTAATCAGTTCTCAAGAAAAGAGTTTAAATCTCATTAATTTTTCTTCATTAACAGGAGGAAAAAAAGACAAACATTCACATCTATTCAAACAAGGAACATACACAGTACTACAAAAGTACCCACAATGCACAAGAAATGAAATTATTTGACTCACCCTGTGTAAATGACATCCCAGACAACACTGATCTGGTGTCTGACCATGGAAGGTCAGAGGTCAAGGCCATAGGGTCATGGTCTTCATACCCGTCACCCATCAGCCCCACCCTCAGGATTTTCAGTTTCCTTTGCCTCTCTTTCAGTCGTAGGTATTTTTGGTGTGCTGTCTCATTCATGTAGGCCCCCGTGCCACTATGTGGTCGACTCCTGCTCTGACCTTTCTGCACTTGTCCCCCGTTCAGGGCAGAGGTGAAGGTGATGTCAGACAGGTGGTAAGATCTCCCTGGGGTCATGGTCAGGTGCTCATGGTAAGAGGGGGGCTGGGTGAAGCTTGGGTGATAGGAAGGTTGTGTGTAGTTTTCTTTCTGTGTCTGATGATAATTTTCATCTAGAATTGAAGGAAAAAAAAATCCATTAATCACTATCAAGATCATTTTTTTTCTGACTAAGCTCACAGTCCTTATCATTCTTATTTCCACTGAAACAGAAATTGATAAACTCAGATATTCCTAGAAATATGAAAGAACAAGAGGCCCACGGGCCACATCGCTCACCTGAGAAGCTTTGACCATTCTGTTCTTTACCAGATTTCCCCCTTAATACATAATGCATCCCCACCCTACCCCACTGATCATAATTTAGACATTTGAAATCTACACTACCCCATGATCCTTCCATGTGCACATAAGTTTCAGCTTTTCTGGCCCAGTGGTTCTTGAGAAGAAGATTTTCAAAGATTTTTCCTATATATTTCTATGTAAAATTTTGATTCCCCATTGTGGCCATGCCCTTCCCCAGGGGGTCATGATTTTAACAATTTAGAATCTATACTACCCTAGGATACTTCCACATAAGTTTCAGCTTTTCTGGCCCAGTGGTTCTTGAGAAGAAGATTTTCAAAGATTTTTCCTATATATTTCTATGTAAAACTTTGATTCCCCATTGTGGCCCCGCCCTTCCCCCGGGGGTCATGATTTGACAATTTAGAATCTACACTACCCTAGGATGCTTCCACATAAGTTTCAGCTTTTCTGGCCCAGTGGTTGATTTTCAAAGATTTTTCCTATATATTTCTATGTAAAACTTTGATTCCCCATTGTGGCCCCGCCCTTCCCCCGGGGGTCATGATTTGAACAATTTAGAATCTACACTACCCTAGGATGCTTCCACATAAGTTTCAGCTTTTCTGGCCCTGTGGTTCTTGAGAAAAAGATTTTCAAAGATTTTTCCTATATATTTCTATGTAAAACTTTGATTCCCCATTGTGGCCCCGCCCTTCCCCCGGGGGTCATGATTTGAACAATTTAGAATCTACACTACCCTAGGATGCTTCCACATAAGTTTCAGCTTTTCTGACCCAGTGGTTCTTGAGAAGAAGATTTTTAAATGACCCCACCCTATTTTTGTCTTTTCTTGATTATCTCCCCTTGTGAGGGGACTTGGCCCTTTATTTTAACAATTTAAATTCCCCTTCACCCAAGGATGCTTTGTACCAAGTTTGGTCAAAATTGGCCCAGTGGTTCTTGAGAAGAAGTCGAAAATGTGAAAAGTTTACAGACGGACAGACAGACGGACAGACAGACGGACGGACGACGGACAAAATGTGATCAGAAAAGCTCAATTGAGCCTTCAGCTCAGGTGAGCTAAAAAGTGAGCTAGCTCACATACCCCACGCTCCCCCAAAACTTGACGGTGAAACACATAAGGCCATAAAAAATTGAAATCTTGGTTCTCAGGCCCGCGCGCATCCGTTTTGAGGTAGCCGCATTGCCGATTTTATTGTATTTTTGATAAAATAAAAAGTTGGTATTGCGGTGACCAATCCGGGAAAAAAAATTCCGACCTCATTTGTTTCGTAGTTTAGTATTCAAATATCACTTCCGGTAGCCATTTACAATGAGATTTTGGCTACTTCGTTTGAAAATACATTCGAGGACATTACCTACGATGTTTACATGCTGTTAAGCAATGGATAAAGCAGAAATTTTGACCAGAAATGGAAAGTATATCTGTGATTAAAAAAATTATCTTTATGTTAAAGAAAATTCGGAAATTGAAATTAAAAAAAATACCTCCCTCATCTACTTTATTGCCAATAAAATGAAAAATAAAATGCCGCCCTCCCGCATCTGATTTGGAGAAAATTGGCCTGAGAACCAGGGAATTAAATTTAGATAGCCTAATGAAAGGCACAGAGCACTTTAAATACATAGTATAGATCAAAAAGGGCAATAATTGCAAAAAAAAAAATCTTCACATCAAAATGTCTTGCACATGAGGACATTTAAATGTGGAATGAAGTTTCTGAATAAATAATGGAATCAAAATTTCTTGGCATTATACAAATCCAAACATTAATTTGACGTGGTGGTGGGGGGGGGGATTTTCTTGAATAATAGGCAAAACTCTTTGGGATAAAATAATGGAATATGTCCTAAATATCTGCATAGGTTGACAAAACTATGTACAACAGTTTAAGAGGAGTGGTGCTGACAAACTGTTCATCTCTATATTCAAAATATGGCAAAAAAGTCTAAGTTGGAAAGTGTGGAAATTCCCGGAAAAATAAAGGAATTGGAATTTCCTGGTAATATGCACATCTACATATTGTGTCCTAAATATCTGCAAAGTTTAACGAAATTCTGTGCAGCGGTTTATGAGGAGTTGCGCTGACAAACTGTTCATCTCTATATTCAAGGTATGGCGAAAAACCTAAGTTTTTAGTGCAGGATGTCCCGGAAAAAATAAAGGAATCGGAATTTCCTGGTAATATGCACATCTACACATTGTGTCCTAAATACCTGCAAAGTTTGACGAAATTCTGTGCAGCGGTTTATGAGGAGTTGCGCTGACAAACTGTTCATCTCTATATTCAAGGTATGGCCAAATGCCTAAGTTAAAAAGTGCAGAAATTCCTGGAAAAATAATGGAATCGGAATTTCCTGGTAATATGCACATCTACACATTGTGTCCTAAATACCTGCAAAGTTTGACGAAATTCTGTGCAGCGGTTTATGAGGAGTTGCGCTGACAAACTGTTCATCTCTATATTCAAGGTATGGCGAAAAACCTAAGTTTTTAGTGCAGGATGTCCCGGAAAAAATAAAGGAATCGGAATTTCCTGGTAATATGCACATCTACACATTGTGTCCTAAATACCTGCAAAGTTTGACGAAATTCTGTGCAGCGGTTTATGAGGAGTTGCGCTGACAAACTGTTCATCTCTATATTCAAGGTATGGCCAAATGCCTAAGTTAAAAAGTGCGGAAATTCCTGGAAAAAATAATGGAATCGGAATTTCCTGGTAATATGCACATCTACACATTGTGTCCTAAATACCTGCAAAGTTTGACGAAATTCTGTGCAGCGGTTTATGAGGAGTTGCGCTGACAAAAAAAAGAGGACTGACTGACTGACTGACGGACGGGTCAAAAACATTATACCTCCCGCAACTAGTTGCGTGGGGTATAATAAAGCAATACACTGCAATACATGTATACAGCTTTACTTTTTTTCGGTTTGATAAGAAGTAGCACCATTTTCTCACCATCATATTTCCTTTCCCTGTGTCTTGACCTTGATCGAGATCTTGACCTGGAAGGAGACCTGGATCTGGACAAAGATGACCTTGACCTTTGTCTTTCCCGTCTCTTTGTATACTTCTGTCTTCCTCTTGACCTTTGACCTCGCGAGGAAGTAGGGTGAGTTTCATGGCGACTGCTGTGACTACCACTTGTATGTTCCTCCTATCAAACATAGAGATATGTTGTTAAAAGAATTGTTGACAAAAATTCAAAAATAAATGAAAAAGTTGACAGACAACCAATCCTTAAAGCTACTTAAAAATTTGTGAAAATTTATAGATTTGTTCAGAGAAAATACATAAAATTAAGCAATACATGTACACAATGTCATCTAAATTTTCAGAGCAAAAAAATTGTAATTCTTCATTTTCCCTCCGCCATAGTTGGAAATTATTACTATGTACTTTATTAAAATGACCCCTTATTTCATATATACATGTATATATTTTTTTATAATTTCTCACCTCGGAACTGTCACTCCCCATTATACTGCTGTAAATCTTCTTGGTGTATACAGAACTGTTTCTGGCCTCTATGTGTCTTTCTGCATAGAGTGAACAGGCCTAAAATAAAAAAAAAAAATCTTTTTTGATATTTTCAGCGATAGGAATCAACACAGCCATGCAGAATTATTTCATTCAATGCTGAAATCTGTTAAAAGTGAAGTGCCAGACATGGAGATATGATAAACCCAAGATGAAGAATTTATTTCATTTTAGTTTGTGTGTAAATAAAGGTTATACTAATGGCAAAAGATTTTTTAAATTAATATAATCAAAGTTCTGGCAATGTTATAAACTTAGTACCAGGTAGTTAAGGGTTGTTTTAATTAGAAACTTCATAATTTTTTTCCTACATATAAGAAATTGTGTTGCAAGCTTGGACCTAATGCTTCATAAAGGAGGTTAAATTTTACAATCCCGAATCAAGAAAAATACAGTGGAACTTTATTACCTGGAACACTGAAAACCAGTGATACATGTATATTGAAATAATTTGGCAGTCCAAACCACATTTTCATGATTTTTACCCAATCCATGCAGGTCTAATCTTATGACAGAGTCATAATTGTTTCTATGGATGTCCATGATTGTTTCAGAAATAAAGTGAGCATGCAGGCTATCATTTTTTAGGGGTCCCCCCCGGCAATGAAAGTGATTACAAGGCAACATATATTTGCACAACAGTGGAACTGCCAGGGTGGGGGATATATGTGTGGCCTATTTTATAGACTGACCTGTAAAACCTGCTTGATTGTGATCCTTGCCTCTGGATCCACCTGACACATGGAGGATAAAACATCCTCCAAAATACGACTGACAGCCGGGGCCTGAAATGTAGGAAGAAAATTGTAAAATAAAGATCTATATACAGTAAAACTCTGTTATAAAAGAAGTCACTGGGACTTATGAAATTACTTTGCTACATCCATATAAGAAATTCCTTAAATTTATATAGCTGGTAATCCTAGATAACTTCGCTATATCCGTGAATTCGCAATATATGTGTTCCTATTAAATGAGTTTAACTGAATGCTAGTCATTTCAAGATATCTTAGGATAGGAAGTCAATCAATTTTAACATTTTTATCAAACAAAAATATGAGTAAATAAATAAATATTGTATTGTTTTGTATGTTTCATTGATAGAAGAGCCCATAGCTTAACTTGAAAAACTGTTTATAACTATATGCACTGTAGTTTAACAGATTGATTATGGGAAGTGGTTTGTAAAAAAATCAGTGGATGAAAATGAATTTTTAATGTACTGAGCATAATAACTTTTACATTATTCAAAAGAAGCCTACTTTATCATTTGATAATTAAAGGCAATAGATTCTTAACAATATACTTAATAATTCAAATTTTAAAATATGTGTTATTCACTTCTTCAGAACTCTAGTTCAAAGTAAGCACACACGCTTTTTCATGGGGATTTCAAAATTTTCAATAACAAATTCAACAAGATGAAGTAAAATTTCAATCGATTTAAAATGCTGCTGAAACTTGGAAAATTTCCAAAGTAACAATCATGTATATTAATGCCATAAAAATCAGCCTCAGCAAAGCATGGGTTTCTTTTAAATAGATATTGCTTCTTTATATCGTTCATCCTTAGCAATCAATACTGGTGTATACTAAAAAATGTAAAACTTTGTTGATTCCGAGTTCTAACTCCTACTTTCAGTGATCAAATGAAACGCGCTGTGTGAAAAACTTCATCTTCAGATATAAAAACGTCTCGTGATAGGCATCGATTTAAAATTCTTGATTTAAAAAGAGGGAAAATCAATGCGGGTATAAGTCAATATCATTAACCTTGATGAAAATGTACACATAGGCTAGCAGGCAAAAGTATTCTATCAAAGATCTATATCTAAAAAGAAATCTATAAAATAAAAAAAAAATCAGTTTGGGACACTGCTATACACAATAGATGCACAAGATTTCTTCAAAAGGTTTTTACCATTCGTGTTTTTTTTTTTTCTCGAGATGCCCTGAAGCTTTGACATTCCCATACATTATGTACCCTTGTAATGGATCTTTTGTTTTTTATTATTTGAATTATCTGGGATGCAATTCATTTCTCTTACCGCAGGCTACCTTAGTAATTAAGGAAGTTAAATACTTGACCATCAAACATGCGTACCATGGGACTCATTTTACCGAATTAACTGACAGTCAATCAGATATTGAACTTAATCTTTTTTTCAAAAAAGTACACTGAAAGAAGAAACAGTATTCATCATTGATGGCACATGTCAATGCATCATGTGCAAATCTGACATACCTCAGGGAAAAACCTGGTTAATCATTTAACACACAAAAGAAGCTGTCTGGCTTATGGTTTGCATTAACAAGCAGGTTTTTTTTACATTGATTTTATGAGTATATTCAGCTAGAATTGCCCTCAGTATATCCCGTTAAAAACAATGACCAATCACACAGAATGAAAATGATAAAAAAAAGATTCTGATACAAAATATATGAATGAACAAATTAAATACATGTATCTGATATTTGTATGTAATTTGTAATTCAATTCAACTGCTATGGAATCCTGCATCAAGTTTTGCTGTACTTTATATAAAATTCATAAATCACAGTCATGCACTCAGTAATAGCACAGCTAATTAATGTAGATAACCATGAAGCTTAATTTAATTCTCTACCAACCCATGCTGGGGATCAGGAAAGTAATTTGTTGTTAATATAAACATGGCAAAAACTCATCTTTGCACATTATCACGTTTTCAAGCTAAAATTTCAATAATTGACTTTTTTCCCAATTAATCCTTTTCTTTTCAAGTTGTTGATAATTAGCATTTTTTCATTCTCTGTCTCTTTCTTTCTTTCTTTCTTTCTCTCTCTTTTAATTTGAAGCCTTGTTTAATAGACTTTCCTAATCCTTTTTGTTGTTTACATATTTTTAAGTTATAAATGACTGGGAAAAAAATTATGAATAATTTTATAACTATAATGAAGACATATTTTAAATCCATTAAAATACAATAAATATGCTGCTTTGATTCCTGGAAAAATGCGATATTGGAATATAATATCAAACAAAATAAATTTCCGCAAATATTCTTTTTAAAGGTTCAGAAAGTAATATGCATTCAATTGATTATCAATACTGTAATACTAAATTAAAGGTGAGCCATAGAATCAAACTGCATGTAATGATGTATCTTTATTGAATTTACACTGGTGGATTTTAAATCAATTTGCAGTTTCGATTCACATGCCAACAAGTGCACTTCCAAAGTCTTCCATTACGTTGTTAATCCATCTGTAGTCATTAACATGCCTGTGTTATCTCTTTTTCGTTCTTTAAATTAGCTACAGATCCAAGTGCTATTTATTTTCCAAGTCAACTCTGTGCAATAATGGTGAAATCTGAAGTAAACTAGCAAAAATCATTTATCATATCAGGTTACTTCAAATATTGATATCTCAACACTTGGTGATATCATTATATCAAAATTCCTGGATGTTTTTGAAAATCTGTTGAAAGATGTAATAAACTCAGCCGCGAAAAGTTTTCTATTATTTTGAAGAAACATAAAATTACCCCCTTATTTAAATGATCAATAAGAGTGCTGTTCATTTACTTATTTCTTACTTGACAAGATGCAATATTAACTCCAGATTTGCTGAGATGCTGCATTAAATTCTCATAATGTTTTTTTTGAGCAGTTTTTTCTTTGGTAATATTTTTCAATATCTTTATAACTAATTGGAAATATTTTGCAAACCCAAAAGACGCATTTACTATAAAGTAGTAGTCAATAAATACACTGCTGTATAAATTGAGCTTATTTTATAAAGCAAAATTCATTTAGTATAAACACTGATATAGCAAATTCACAGAAATAGCAAAGTTTTGAGGATCTGTGGAAAATTTATTATCAATTCCTTATGAAATTCTAAAAGCCTATAGAAATCATTTGATCAAGTAATAAATTGCATGATAGTTAAGAATATAAAAATACAGATACCACAATTTGACGAGAACCCTTGCAGCAATGAGCATAGAGCAGTTTGACTCTTTGAGCAATATCTAACTTTTAAACTTCGGTTTGTTCATCAAAGTCAAATGCAATAAAAATTTTTTTCATGTGATACACCACAGGTATTTGTGGTTGAGGTTAAGTAAATTTTAGTAGCTGTGCTATGCAAAGCAAGATTTTCTATCCCGTATGTGTTAAAAGGAAAACAATGTACAACTGTATAATTGTTGGCTGGTTCACATTACCTGGTTCCTGTCCCCCGACTCTAGAGCCTTTATAAGGGTTCTTCCCAGGGAGTATATGTAACACTGAAAAAGAAAATCAAGCTGATTATCTTAATGACAAGCTACATTTAATATCTAGATGAACATGCATAGTAAGCACTAACTGCATTTTGGGCATATCATAAACCTCCAAAGTGTTCATCAGATGCAGCAGATAAAGAGAAAATATCACACATATTTGTTTTAGGTGTGACATTCCATTATATAATGTATATATCTGCAATCTCATCATGGAAGACGTGTTATGTAGGCATCGTAAGATTAAAAAAAAAAATATTAATAACATACATGTTATGATTGTAATGTAATTGGTTACTTAAGTAATGAATTAAAGTGAATCATATTATTTATTCCATGACAAGTCTTTGAAATAAGAAGGCTGACAAATGTATGAATGACGTTCCAGGCATCATTTAGGGATGCACTGCTGCAATAAAAACATCACAGATGAAAGAAGGAATCATGGAGTATATATAAACTGAGTAAAAAAAACTGTCTTTATGATACATTTCATGAATTTTGGCGAAAGACCAGGAAAAAACAAAATTATATACAGATTACAGATTTTGTCTTGGAATTTGGCATTCATTATCTCAGAAACTCATTTTTTGTTTCCAAGTTTTCTTCTTTCAACACTGAAGATTTCATTATTAACCTCTTTTACAGACATTCAAGAGATAGAAGTTCTACAGTTATATTTTTCACCTCAACTGACAATTGCATGATTGTCTGCCAAAAGCCACAGAGGAAACAATTTCTCATGACATTTTAAAACTTGTACAGAGAGATAAAAGAAAAAGCAATAAAAAAGAGTGTATGCCAAAAGATAACTAAAGATATATTACATTCATATGATTACTGTTCATCTATCACACCTAATTTGTTCATGGCAAATAGTTCATATGAAGCATTTATGAGATCAGGAATTTCCGATTGATTCTAATTAAGATAGAACTAATGCCTGATAATGGAGCCTTGCCCAATGGCATGCACCGAGCATGTTCAGCATAACCATTACCCAGACATTATACACATATTGTGGTGAACGATGACTAACACAGACAGGTGTAGATAAGCTAGTCATGTACATCAAAGCTGTACACTTTATGATGCACTGACTGTAAAGTGTGGTGAACACAATACTCTAAGTCAGAACGGGATGTTCTGTCTCTGTCAATATAAACAATCAGCTGGGGCCAACAGTGAAAAACAGTTTTCTGATTGATAACTACAGACAATTTAGTTATGAAAACACTAACTGGTCAAGTTTTTGATAAATTAACACATGAAACAAAAAAGTTCCTGATCATTCAACTCATTTTACTGTATAAATATCCGCAGTTTTTTCAGGAATGTCATATTAATCTCTGATCTGAAACTGGTTCAGACTTTCATACCCCCCCCCTTCCCCAACTCAAATGTAATCAAAGTTAACTGCCGAATACATCAATTCTTAGTGTAAATTGAAAAGCGTTCACCCAATCTATCCAAATATTCCAGATATAAACAGTATAGAATTATACTAATAGGTCAATTACAAATAAACAAGCCTTTAATCAAAACACCTGTGTCTGTTTTATCTCATTTTCAAACTAATAATTAAACAAAACAGGGCAGCCTGCACCATCCCCTCTAAACCTTACAAACCACAGGATAATTCTGGCTAGTTTCCAGGGGAGGTCGATTATTTCTGATAGAACAATCACAAAAATATAATTGCTCTGTCTGACCGATCATTAGTGAGTCGTAATTAAATGTGATTGATAGCACAAGGCAGGTAGAGGATATGCATGCATGGTACTTGTACACCAGCAGTATACATTACTTATGTTTGTAAAGCTATTCCAAGTATATATTTTTGGATTTCCTGGAGTTTTGTGCAAGCAAAATATTTATTAATTCTTAATAACAGGTTAAAATAAATAGTACATATTATACTGTTGAACCTTTATTATATATATTAATTAATGTTTAACTAGTCTATAAATTAATAAGTCTTAATGATTATCCGACATGTATCTTGGACAGAAGAATGGCCTTTCAAAAACTATTAAATTCTTTAGAAAATTTAAAATATCAAAATAGACTATGATAATGAAAAAGCTCTTTCTTCACTCTGTATGACGAAAACCATATATTAACATAAATATACTTTATAAGATAGAGAACAAACAAACATTAGTCAACTACCAATAATATGTATAAAGGAAATTATAATATACAATTTGAAATTACAGGAAATAGATCTTTTTTATTTAAAATGTATCTTTCTGAAGTAATGAACATGTGGATTTTAATTGATAAAACTTTTTATTTCAAAGAAAACACATGCACAGGGATAGAAGAAGCCAAACTGCCATTTTCTTTAAGCACTGTTTACATGTCTCACAAAACAATGGGAGTGTTTGAAGAATCTGGTGTTTATCTTCTCTGGTCAGAAAAAGGTGTATCTTATGTTTTAGAGAAACACATGATAAACCTGCCTTATCCAAGCCTATTTCTAGTAGGTTCTTATCAGAAAAAAATGTCAGGAGGAGAAAAAAACACAGAAATAAGTGCACTTGTCAGTCTGGGTTTTTTTTATTCACTTACATTATAAAATGAAGAAGTCTGAATATTTTTGCATCTCACCTTCTCAGCAGCTTGAAGTGTTTTAATTGAGGCATTTTGAAGCTCTGGGGGTACACATCTATCCCAGTTTTGGGAGTTACTGGTAGGAGAGATCTCCAACACCCCATCAGAGCGAAAGCAAAGGGAATCCGGAGTTACCACGAAATTACTCCTACCCTCAGCTTTATTACCATCTATTAAAAAAATAAAAATGCACAAAAATCTTTTTTTTCATCACTATTAAAAAGTCCTTTTGTATAATGTTTAATAAAGCAATAGGCTAATTCAATATTCATCGTAAACTTTGTGCCCCATATACCAATATTTTGGTTTGAGTGAATAAATTGAACCTGAACTTGTACTTATGAGACGATGTGTACCTCTTGTGGCCTCAATGAAAGAGACAGCACTTTGGTTCAGTATTGCCCATACTTCTGTTTCAGCCAGGGGTGCCCCTCTGACCCCCAGGGCTTCATTGAGAGACACCACAATGCCTGGCATGGTTTTTCCTTGATCAAGGTCTCATCTATAAAATATGAGAAATTTTTAAATCCTCACCATAGTAATATAAACTTAAGATTATAAAAATATAAATTATATATAAAAAATAATAGTTTACATACATTTTAACTACAGTACCTAGAACATTAGTATCTCAAATACTAATTACTATCACTGACTATGGATTTGTTAAAGTGATTTGGAAGGTCCAACCTCTTATTCTTTAAGCATTTTACTCTTGATACCTCAGATCTTAAAATATCTTGATCATTTTCTTTGCCCCATTGAGTTTGAAATAACAAATATAACAAATTTGATTGTATAATATGGTCTGTTATAGTAGTTGCCATTTTTATCAAATTTATATCATTAAAATGCGTGAAAAAAAATAAGTGCTTATTATAATATAAAACATATTTTTCTTTTTGCAGATAAAGGGCGGTTAAGAATATCTTTATATTTTGTTGATAACGTTGGTAAACGAGTTCTTTTAACGAGATCATTTTATACAGAACGGTATAATTATTTTCAATTAGAGGAAATTCGGAAAAAAATCAGGTAATGGCATGCATTAATGTAAGAGTTCTCACAAAAGTTCCTTTTCAACATAAAAGAATCTATATTTGCTACATTTTAAAGTCTGTTGAAGGTCACATAACTAGTATTCTTGCATTTTTTATGCAGAAAATGATGTATAACTAAATATTAAAAGTACATTTTTGAATTGAATTTGAAACACTGAAAATCAAAATTTTATGACATGTCAATAAATACCATATTTGGCGCGTTTAAAATATTTCAGTAAAGCTTATTAAGATAGCAAGAAGAATTTGAGTTGAAACTTACAAGTGTGAAGCAAGTTTTTTCTTTCAACATAACAAATACTTCCGAAAATAAAAAAAATCCTTTTCTCCGAAAATTACGCAGCCGCCACAACTTGCTGTCAAAACGTCTTTTCTGTTTATATTTGTATCGACGAATTTGATTGGTCCAAAATATTTACTAAGAAAGATAACTCTAATCTAAAAAGTCTCTGGGAGTGGATCAAAGACAAATGAAACCATTGATCAGAAGCGTATAATAGATAATAATAATCTGTTAGGCCTATACGCCTCTGTTGAATTAAACAAAGGCGCGATTTACCAATCAGTAAACTTGTTTTCTTGGGAAGATATCTTTTAACAGATTATTTTGTTTGTGAAACAAAAGTTCAATCTCATTTAAAACACAGGTGCTTGAGGACAGGACCCCCCCCCCCCCCCTCAATACAGACCCCCGGGCCTGTTAGACTTTTTTCACATAAATTATATATGGATGACATATTTGTGATATAATTTATCCTATCAATTCAGAAAATTTGCTTAAACTTACATTTTATAAAAATATATACCCTCTCTCTCTATATAAGTTGATTTTTATATAGAGAATGTAGAGTAGATTTAATAGAACGTTTGTTTTAGGTAATTTTTCGATTTGCTGGTATAGATCTTATCACAAATATGGCAATGAAAGATATTTTATAAGAAAAAAATCGAAAAAGCCCAGGGATCTATATCAAAGGGGGGGGGGTTCATATCCTCAAGCACCTGTGATTTAAAAAGAAAAAAGAAGGATTATTTTGTTTGTGAAACAAAAGTTCAATCTTATTTAAAAAGAAAAAAGAAGAAAAAAAAAGAAAAGAAAGGAATATTCATCATTTGTACTATGCGCACCAAATCCATGTCGAATTGCTAATGATATGCCTATGATATCCAGCGTCTTTTATTAAAGCATACATTATTGTATAGAAACTGGTAAAGATGTAATTAAAATGTTTGATTTAATTGACTTGGATGGAACAATAGTTATGAACAGATTGGCCTAAATTACCACCCCGTAATGGAACCCACATTGAGATGAGAACCCGATGCATGTAGTCAATTTCTATATAACCCATTAGAAAATATAAAAGGTTGGTTTTCAGGTATTGAATACATTTTGTGTTACAGATGAAAGCAGTATAACACAATACTAGTATTTTTCAGAAAACTTGTCGCCTAGATTAATTTTCGTCCAATTTTTTTTTAAAAGACCAATGAAATGCAGATCTGCAGATAATTAGATGGTAAATGACAAACGCTAAACAATTGTCAATGACGTCGAATATGAAAAATATAATATATCAATATCAATTTTCCATAAGTGCTATTCAATGGAAATGATTTTTCTGCAATATGTTCTATGTTAAACAATTCTGTAAAATGCCATATTTTTCCGTAACATATATCGGAGTATAAAATATTCAGGTATCGAATAGGGTTACTATTATTGTAGGAAAAATTATAAAATATATATTAAAAAAACATTTTTTTTCAAGAAAATGCTGATTTTGGATCGATAAAGTATTTGAAATTTATTATATTGATACTATCCGGAATGGGAAGTAAATTATACGAGATATTTCAACCATGAAACAAGCAATTCAAAGAATTATGGTCTCCCGTTTTCGTTATCTTAGTAGATTGGCATTGTCTCAAGCCACGGTCCGGAGTCCGCATAGAGCTCTTGACCAGAATGGGAGAGGATCGTACATTTTAGCCGTGGTTTGCGACGATGGTAGATTGGAGACCATTATTTATGTGGGATTGTTACAACGCACTTTGGACAGAAGTCAAAGTGCGTTAATCTGAGACCAATTTAACGCACTTTGAAAACAAAGAATTTCTTTTCAAAGTGCGTCAATATCGACCATTTTAAGGCACTTTGATTAAAAAAAAATGTGCATGGCTTGTACAATATTATCTCAAATTTTCTGTATGATAAATAATTAAACCTGCTTGGATAACTTTTCGGTGATGAGGTCACTTCAGGATTTGAGAGAAAGACGTTTTAAATGTTTAAGTTTCTAGTTAGTGTAATAAACGGGGAATTAGTTTAAAAATAATGGAGAAATGATTGTTAAAGCATCGCAATTTTGTTAAGAAAAATGTTTAATTCTGATTTTTCAGTACTATGAAAATTCTTTCTCTCTCATACGTTTAATCGTGATCATTCTGATCATTTATAGGATTAAACGTTCTTTTTGAAAAATTTATCGATGTGTAAACTCTTGACATTTTACTCACAAACTAAATAAAAGTGCGAAGCACTTTTATGTTAAGTTTGTGAAAAATGTCAATTTACACATCGATAAATTTTTCAAAAAGAACGTTTAATTCTTATAATTCCAATCTCGAATTTTTAAAAATATTTTAAATTATTTCTCTTTGAGGCCTCCATACAATCCGTTAATCTGGACGGCGTAGGAATACATTTTACCGTAAAGGAACGTAATCGAGACGAATTTCGATAGAGTTCAACTTAAATTGTCAAAACAATCGATAAATAAACTTATAACAACTAATGGAATGCTGTTTAAGTCAACAAATATCGTAATTACGAGTTTACTTCAGAATAGTTCGTCTTTGACCATGGCCATGTTGACATAAACAACAACTCTCATAGCGAAACTTGCAGACAGACGACGCCTTCAATTTGCACTTGTTTATTCAAATATTGAGGAACAATATAGAAAGTTAATAGGAAATTGATGCTAATAGGGCAAGAGCTTGAGGTACGTTTCTTTTCCCTGTCAAAACGATACAGACTGAGCTTATTTTCTGCGTATGAACGTTGAGACAGCGGTTTTTAAAATTCACACTCGTGATCGGACAGTGACATAAACATTTTCACGGCGTCCATCAGTTAGGCAGTCTAGTATGTTGCCAGTTTTGTTTTACTTTAAGCCCTAATTAAATTTAAAGTTCTTGTATTCATTATTTAGCCAGAACGACCCAGAAATAACTGCTTTCATTGTTTATACGATAACCTAGTAGTGTCATCAAGAAAGTAGTACTGATTGAAAGAATTTATCGATGTGTAAAAATTTTCTGGAACGTGTTCTCGTCCAATCAAAACACAGGAAATCAATAGATAAAATGAAGATTGGAATTATTCGAATATGAATGGACATCATAAAGGGTAAAGTATTATCCATTATGACGTATGACGGCGTCATGACTATGACTATGACGTCACAATTGCCCTGTTTCTATTATCCAGCGACAAAATGGAAAATATAGGCAGATCTGGTAGATTTTTTAATTTCTTTCGCCGAATTCGGAGGCGGAATCGATTCCGTGTGTATGCCGACACGACTGACACAGCTGACAAGGAACCATGTCAAGCCCCTCCAGCTAGGAAAGAGGTTCTGACGCGAGTTAGGAACGCAATTAGAAAAATAGGAAGGAATCGGGTTCACCCCAACCACAGAAATTCCCTGATTCTTTACCCGCTGAGATAGAAGAAAGCTCATCGCAGCTTTCAATTAACAAATCTGTTGTTTTATCGTTCGACAAAACACCCTCCCTTATATCCTTTGTAGAAAGCCCAGCTGCAACCTGCCTTAAATTGTCCTTTGAGGAAGACGGTGACAAAGTATTGATAGCTTGTTTTGATCAGTGAACGACTTTGAGGTAATAATAGTAATTACTTACTTTAAAAAAAAATGTTTAATATATATTTCAATCCACATTTAAATTACATGTATACATCCATAACTCCTCGTTTTCACAGCAAAATAGTTATTCTTCCAAGAAAGGAGCTTGTTCGATACTGACACGTACCAGCTGAGGTTGAGTGCATGTTTTGGGAAAGTTAAAAAGAGATGAAGTAACTGATGAGCTATTGGACTCGGCTCGAACTGTTAAAAAGAAACCAAATACAATGGAATCTCTCTACATTGCAGTATATCAAATTTTTTCTACTGATCTCTCTATCTCTCCATATAAGCTGGGATTCTTTTCATTTTTTAAAAATAATTCGGAAATTAATAAATTTATCCTCTTCTGCATTTTTTGTTTGTTTGTTTTTAAAATTTAGATTTATTTCATTATAGATTACCTAGATGAGTTAGGTGCAAGATCATTGTTGTTATCTGTTTTTGTGTGGTATTGAGTGTTTTGCGTTAACATTTTCAGTTTTTTCTCTTTATCGCTGAATTAATACAAAAAATTTAATAATTGAATTTGATTACATCTATGGGTGGCCGTAAAAAAATAAAGGGAAATAAAAATCACCCTCGGTGGAATGCACAAGGGTGGGGTTAACTCAATAAAAAAAATTGACATCTACCCCCCTTCCGCCCCCGTTTAGGTACACAATGAGTAACCTTTTCTATATATTCGATCTATGCATACTATCTTTGCAAGATATATAACTGTTTTCAGCGGCAGCTCACACATATTGGTCCGACCAAAATAATTCCATCATGCATTAGTAGATACAACATTATTGTTCATGATAAGAGTAAAGTTGTGTATGTCATACGTTAAAGAAATCAAAAATAATGTCAAAATATCATTAGAAAGTCACTTTCCCCCCTAAATGCAAATAAAAAATATCAATATTCCTACGCTCGCTCCCTCCTCAGCCTTTTTTTTTTTTACGTGTTTGATAACAGAGAATAATTAGGTCATTCTTCGATTCATATCTTTTCACCAATGAATTGATAATACTATATCAAAATTGTATTAAGTACATGTTTATAGTCCGTTAATTATCATACAATTTGTTCTTATTAATCATTCTGTGTGTGTGTATGGCCTGCTCGTGTGTACACTTTGTAAACTGTAGGGTATGTGTGGCAAAATGAAAACTGCATGGGTTGGAGATTCCGGTTCGTGTTGAAGTTCAGCATACCATTATATATAGAACTTGAATAATGTAAGTAATTTCTGCGACAAATATATTAGTATATTTCATTTTTTTTCAAAACAGAAAAGGTTTTCCATGTTTTCAGTTTAGAATTTTCCTACCCGGTCCTGATTTTCCCAACCCGGCCATTTTAAACACAAGTTGTTGCAGATGCAAATGTTAGAACAAACTATATAAAGTTCAACAGGGATTGTATAATTTTTATTAATCAGAATTCGTATTTATATGATCTAATTAAGAAAAGAAAAGTTTTGTCTGACACCGTAACTTCTCGGCAAAACAAAACGTGTTTCTCCGAGCTCGCTGGATGCGTGTGACAGCTCCATTGCACGTGTGTTGACCAAGGCTACACTGGTACATGTAGGCCTATGTGTACTGTTTGTTAGGAGACTTTTTAATCACGATATTTACAACAGTATAATTTTTTTTTATTAACGTCATTATAAACACTGTTAAACATATTAAATCTAACAGTCGAATATCTTTGGATATGGGGTAACCCATATCTATTCTTGTTAAAACTATATTTATTAATGTTTTGGCAACGGTTCGAGAAGATTAGAAATTCTCTTATATTACATTAAATACTATATACATGTTGTACATGTACATTTATGAACAAACAACATTTACTTTAATTTCTGTGTATATGCACACACATCACTGATTAAGAAATAAAACGAAAAGATGATACATTTTGTTCCATTACATTAAGCCTATGTATGATCAAACAACCTTTTAAAGGGCTGGGTGGTTGTGGCCATTTTCAGACTACCGTATAAGTGGAAATTTTAGCGAGACGCAAATTTAGCGAATTCTACCTAAGAACTGGTATTCTATTTTCAGCGAGAAGTAATTTTAGCGATTTTAAAATGCTAACTAAATAAGAAATTACATATAATACGCTGTTAATTTTTAGCGATATTTAATTTTAGCGATTACAACACCCTCGCTAATAATGCCAAAATTAAATCCTCGCTAAAAATTCTACTTATACGGTATTTTGGTCTAATAATAAGACTGCATGTCAGGACCATTCTAACACTGCATATATCGAACAAACTCTTAATTAAGATAACAATAAAGAGTTTTAACATCTAATAATCCCTTTGAGATTTTTCACGCATATCGAATTAAAAATTTTAAACTTTTACTTATAACACTTATAGCCTTTGAGCAGTGAAGAGTTTCTCTTGTTCCAGTACCTATGGTAAATTGGGATTGGAAATTTATCGAGGCATACTTTTACATGTTTATTGTAACCGCGCTATTTCCTTTTTTTCGGTTCTGCGACATAAAAAAAATCGTAATCATAGAACTGCGTCCCAGGAATAAAACAATGGTATTAAAAATATTTGGTCTAAAATTAAATTCATTCCCTAAACACCCACCTTCATTATACATGTACATATCTAGAAATGTATATATATTTAATACAATAAATATTTTTATACTCTGGAAGTTTAAGCATCCCAGTTCTACGAATCAATACAACACTGAACAATTATAAAAGTCGCGCAGTTTAAAATATTCATGATGATGGATGATGCTGTATATGCGACAGTACCAATCGAACGCGTAAGGCATACCCGTAACAATCATATCGCAAGCGGCAACGACCACATCGTTCGGTAGGCATGGATAATGTGTAGACCGGATTTCATATTTCTTTGTAAGATGTTACAGGATATTTGAAAAATCTGGATAATCCATTCATCTTGACACGAAAAAAATGAAGAGCTTTTTCACATCGGTGTTTATACTAGCTATAATAGGTATGTGATTGTAGATTTTTTATCATTATTTTTTTTATAAATATATATACAAATGCGTTTTTTGTATTCATCAATTATTGAATTATGTGTTAGTTTTAATTTTAATTTTATACGTTATGAGATTTCAAACAATTTAAGAAATAAAAAAATAATAATGAATAATGGTAGAAAAAATAGACATATATACAACAAATATATGAGAAAAACTAAAAAAAAAAACTAAAAAAAAAAAAAATAAATAATAATAAAACAAGAATTTTCAATTACAGCATGATGCGACCAATTTTCGGATTTCTTTTCCAATAACGATATACAAAAAATAAATAAATAATATACAGGAATTTTCAGTTTAACGTATGGTGTGACCAATTTTCGAATTTCTCTTCCAATAACGATATACATGTACAAGAAAATAATCTATACTCTTTTTTTTAATTCAATTCCCTATCGTTCATTACAATCATCAATATTGCCCTCCTCATTTAATTCAAAATAAATATAAAGAACATTAATGACGACTATGTTGACACTTTTCGTAGATTAATTGCTAATTCTGACATTAATTCCTCAGAATTAACTAGAGAATTGTATCCTTTTTACTTGGAAAAATATCTGTCATCTGAAAACCATTCCACTAAGCAATCGATTCGAATGCACCTGACACAAAACTGCTTTTTCATTAACGAGATGGATATAAAGTTATGGGATAATAGGACAACGAGGCAATAAACAGCAATTTTCCTGCAATTTTGCTTGTTGAAATAGCTACAAAGAAAATCTTGATTACAAGAAACCGGAAATTTTGAGCAGGAAAACTACGGGGCTGGTTTTTATAATGTCAAGAATTAGATCTAGAAGGAGAAAAAAGCCAAAGGTTTCGATCCTTTGTCACTGGTGATTAAGATAATTAATATCCGAAGCATGATTTTGATTGCAAGTAAATCTAACTATTGTTAAATTTTTTTCTCATTATATAGCCTAAGTAGACACATATCAATATACTTTATTTTATTTCGAAAGCAAACCCAACTATAAAGTGAGTTGTATTAAAAACACTTAAAAATGCATCAACAAGATAGCAAATAAAGACCAAGAAATTGATTTTGCAGAAAAAAAATCCTCGAAAATGATTAACATCGATAGAAGCAATTACAACGAAACGTTTTGAAGTTTTCCCTCTTCAATCTTCGATTATTTCATCAAAATATTTTAACAAAGACGAAATTTTTTTTAAGCTGTTGATAAGAATTACACGATCGCTAGAAATATCCAATAGGCACCATTTCAAGGGAAAACTAGGGCTAATTGTAACGGGAACCGTAAGCACGCTCCCCAATTCCGTTTTGGCTATATATATGTTCTATTAAATAAGACATACTTTATGTAATTTATGTACTTTTCCCAGTATATTTAAATTTTAGCATTTTTAATTTTACGCATTTCACGTGCACGCATGTGCAAGCATGTGCATGGTGACCATACCTTCTTGTAGGAGTCCATTATGTCTATCTATATTCTAAATACCATCCTGTTTGGTTGAAAACCAAGGGAGTTATGACCATTTAACGTTTAAGCCAATCAGATTGCAGAGCACGTACATGCACGTAATTTAATGACAATTGTTATATATCATATTGTAAGACATCCTAAAGTATGCATTTTTAAATTTCAAAGCATTTCGAGAGATATTGAGATTTTTGTTTCAGCCAAAAGCTAGCACACGTGAAAATGTTTGCATGTGCATGAAGACCATACCCTCTTGTAGGAGTCTATTATGTCTGTCTATGTTCGAAATCCCATCCTGTTTGGTTGAAAAACAAGGGAGTTATATTCATTTAAAGTTTAAGCCAATCAGATTGCAGCGCACGTGCATGCGCGTGTTTTCATGAAAACCTTTATATATCATATTGTAGGACATCCTAAAGTATGCCAATATTTCAAATTTCAAAGTATTTCGTCAAAAAACAAAAAAGATATTGAGGTTTTTGTTTCAGCCAATCAGAGCGCAGCGCATGTGCATGCAGTGAGTTCGTGCTAATTTGACCATTTCATATTATCTATACTATTAATATATCCTTATATAATGAGTTTTAAAGAATTTCATCAAAAAATGTAAAAGTTATAGCTATGTAAAGTATATCAGTCATTTCACTTTTTTGCGTATGCGCGCAAAATTTTTACACCTACACAACACACCTATCAACCCTAAAAAGGTTTTAGCAGTTGGATGAACAGTTTCACTATTTTAATAATAATAATAAGATTTCAAACAAAGTTTACTTAGTATCATATACAGTGCATAAGGTTCAGATTATAGTCAGCTAAACAAGAAAAGGGTGGGTTTTTTAGCCTTAAGATTTAAATTACGAACATTTTTATCTGCGAGAACATTAAAAACTAGTGAAATGTTTGATCTAAGCAAACTGAAAAATAGTGAAAATGTTTGATCTATGCAAATTGAAAAATGCTAGTATTTTTGTTTTTTTGTTTTTACCAGCCCTTCCAAAATCACTATTTTATTTGATTTCAGTTTTGTAGTTTTATATCTATATCCCTCTTTATAGTATAAGAGCAAACAGAGGGTAGCATCTCGAAATAATTTAAATCCCAATTTTAGCAAACTCCCTATATTAGATATCATATATCATCATCAGTATAAAATATCATTTATGTCGATTTCATGTCAGATTAGATTTCCCTAGATTAATTGATTCTATGTTGTTTAATGTCCCTCTCGAGAATTTTTCACTCAAAAGGAGACACCAGTTTTCCCTAGATCTTTCGAGCAAGCTCTAAAGAAATCGAGAATTGCAATTTTAAATTGCTGGAGTCTTCTGTTTTACCGTTTCACATTGCAGGGCCCCAGGAACCCTTTCGCATATGTTCCAATGACCATGCAAAACTAAGGTAGATGTCAGCCCCTATATCTCAATCTATGCAATTTTTCAGATGTTCAGTATAGCCTCTCCGAGTAAACCTAGGTCATTTTCTGTCCTTTCATTTACCTTTCACATTTCTGTATATGCTTGCTAGAACAAAGTTTAATACATCTAAAACAAATATTAGTATACCAACCATTTTTATTGATTTTAGAATCGTTATTATAAAAGGTATTCCGATGTATAGAATATAAAATCCAATGCCTTCTTTGTTTAATTTCTTTCTTGCCTTCCTTTAAATGTACTTAATCCGAGGCGCCGGAAACGTGCCGCAATGGTTTGTGTTGGGTTCACTATAAAGTTGGGTTTGGGGGTTTGTTTCATTTGATGGTTATTTCCGGTTTCCTCGCGATCGAATTTTGTATCTACATAGTGTACTAAGTCCAACTGTTATTTAAACAGAGTGAAGACAATACGTACGGAAATTCCTAGATTGTCTAACTACTCGATCTACGAAATTGTCAAGTATTTCGATCATTATTCCATTCATTTTCAACACATTGCTAGATGTTCTCTTTGACCTTACATATTTGATAAGTAGTATAGGGTTCCCGTGAAAGGTTTGCTTATAAAACATAACTGAACAAAAAAACCCTAAGAAGATTCTTTAGTCTACAGAATAGCAGGAAATCAAGTCTCTTTTTAGCTCACCTGAGCTGAAGGCTCAAGTGAGCTTGTCTGATCAAAATTTGTCCGTTGCCTGTCATTGTTGTTGTCGTTGTCGTAAACTTTCCACATTTCATCTTCTCAAAAACCACGTGGCTAATTTCAACCAAGCTTGCTATAAAGTATCCTTGGGTGAAAGGGACTCAAGTTTGTTCAAATGAAGGGCCACGCCCTCTTTCAAGAAGAGATAACTACGAATTAGTGATAAATTAATGGCATCTTTTAAAAATCTCCTCAAGAACCAGTGGGTCAGAAAAATGAAACTCATGTGGAAGCATCCTCACGTAATGTAGATTCAAGTTTGTTCAAATCATGACCCCATGAGGGTATGGCGGGGCCAACATGGGGTATCAAAGTTTAACATAGGAATACATAGGAAAAATCGTTAAAAATCTTCTCAAGAACCACTGGGCTAGGAAAGATGAAAATCATGTAGAAGCATCCTCTGGTAGTGAAGATTCAAGTGTTCAAATCATAGCCCCTGGGGGTAGGGTGGGATCACAAAGTGGTATCAAAGTTTAACATACATGTACGAATACATAGCAAAAATCATTGTAGAAGAATCTTCTAGTAGTGAAGATTCAGTTTTGCTCATTACCCCCGGGTGTAGGATGGGGCAACAATGCGGTATCAATGTTTAACATAGGAATACGTAAGAAAAATCTTTAAAAATCTTTTTCTCTGGAACTACTGGGCCAAGAAAGATGAAACTCTTGTAGAAGCATTCTCTGAAAGTGTAGTTTAAGTTTGCTCAAATCATAACCCTTGGAATTGTGCAATGTTAACAAAGCTTACCTCAGTCTGTGCAATGTTAGCATACATAGCATATGTGCAATGTTTATGTAATTGTGCAATCTTAACATAACTAACATTTGTGCAATGTAAACACATATAACATCTGTACAATTTTAACAAAAATAACATCTGTGTTATTTTAACACAAATAACATCTGTCCAATGTTAACACAAATAACATCTGTGCATTGTTAAAATAAATAAAATCTGTGTTATGTTAACATACCGGTAAAAAGCATAAGTGCAATGTAAATATAAATAACAACTGTACCATGTTTAACATATTAAATACTGGTAATAAATGTGCAATGTTAGTATAAATCAATCTATGCAGTGTTACTGCGACAAACTTAACCGTCTCCAATTATAGGCACTTGATCCCACCAATGGAATTTCCAACAGACCGTGTTTTATGTATTTTTCACAGATTTTTATTATTGTTTGTATGCGTTTTTTTTTTAAATCAGTTACTCTCATTATAATTATCTTCATCTATTTGCCATCATCGTAATGAGAAATACTAGCATGTTTATGAATAAGCCTTTAATCAAACCTGGCAATGTAAACGATAAAACAGTATTTAAATCAAAATTTCATAATTATGTTATTACGAAAAAAGATAAAAATGATAAATAGCCTCGTCAAGAACATTGTGTGTATAGACATACATTTATATATTTTGTATTCATTATTTTGTATTCGTACTTTACATTATTTTATTTACCTTTATGTTTTGATACAGATGTTATTGATATGTACGGAAGCCCGTTTAGGACCTATGAAAATATTTTTGAAATCTGATATAACGAATTGTCGAATTTTTTATAACGAATTCAATTCATTATAAAAATTTCTTTGAATCTGTTATAACGATTTTAATCTGTACACATTAAATCAAATTTGTTGAATGCATTATAACTAATTCTTTGATATACAACTATGGACTTCAGTGTAGGTCGATATGTGGTTATAAGGACTCATGGCAATTGATATTGACCGAAGACACAGAAAGTGATAGCGACCGAGCCAGCGAGGTCGCTATCATTTTCTGTGTCGGAGGTCAATATCAATTGCCATGAGTCCTTATAACCATATATTGACCGTTCACTGAAGTCCATAATAGTTATATTATATAATCACTCAAAGTGAATGCACTGACACAGTCCTAACTAAATACACTTGGCTGTCATTATGTCACAATGGTTAAAAACACGCTTCTCATACTATGACGTCACCATTTACGTAACATCAGTGCAACCGAACGCTGTGTCTTGCATTATCATTTTTCGCCGGCGCGCTTTCGCGTCGTTATCACGCATTGGCGTCGGAAGCAAATTGAAAGTGGGGGGGGGGGCTAAGTGTAAAAAAATTTTTTTTGTACCTTCAAAAAATCTGACAAGCAAAAAAAAAAAAGAAAAAAAAAGAGGGAAATTATCCATTTCCCAAATCCATTTCCCAAACACGAAAATCCTATTTCGTGGGGGGGGGGGGGGGGGGGGGGACGTAACTGTGGCAAGTGGGGGGGGGGCTAAACCTACGAAGATATGTTCAATGTCTATACTAAGTATATATTTGGAAATAAAGTGGGGGGGGGGGGGGCTAAGCCCCCCCCCCCCCCCCCGGTTCCGACGCCTATGTCACGAAAGGAGGAATATCACGTGACGTCCTTTCAGCCAATGAAAATTACGAAAATAATCGTCTTATATACTATAGTAATATTTTGTTATAACGCATTAAATTCGTTAAAATGAATTCAAAAATTTGTTATTTAAGCATTGAATTCATATTTTTGGCTGTCTTCGGTCCTCTAACACACCTGGCCGTGCCGACAAATTGAATACCGCGCGTTAGCGCGGTATGATAAATTTGTCGGCACGGCCAGGTGTGTTATGGGACCGAAGACAGCCAAAAATATGAATTCAATGCTTATATTTACATTCTCTAATTTCCCTTCTTCGTAATTTATCTTTAATGTGAATTTAACGCCCTTCAAAACTGACGCGGTTAATAGACGTAAGAGCCGTTTGTGACGTCAGATGACGTTGCAAAGTTAAATAACGCAAACAAACATTGCGAGGAAAAAAAGTGACAAATTAATTTGAAACGAACATTTGTAGCATTTTCACGTTAATTTAACAGGATTATAGTTTTTAATTAAATTGAGTCAAAACATTGTACATTTTGGTGTTCCCAGATTATAGAAAATGCATATAGTTCCTACTGTGTGTTCTAACGCGCGGTAACAAGGTTTCGCGTGTGTTATAGAAATTTGAACGTCATGGATTTCTAATGAATTTCATAAGGAAAAATACACAGAATGTAAATATAACAAATTAAATTCGTTTAAACGATTCTAAAGTTTGCTATAACAAAATAGATTCGTTTAAACAAATTCCAAAGTTTATTATAACGAATTAAATTCATTTAATCAAATTCAATAATCAGGGCCTATAGAAAAATAAATATGGATTTGATATAACGATTTGGCGAATTCGTTTTAACGAATTCAATTCGTTATAACAAATAATGAAATTCGTTTAAACGAATTCAATTCGTTACAACAAATTTTAGAATCTGTTAAAACGAGTTTAATTCGTATTAACAAATTTTTGAATTCGTTATAACAAAATCAACGAATTTGTTATAACAGATTAAATTCATTATAACGAATTCAAAGAAATTGTTATAACGAATTAAATTCGTTACAACAAATTCGAGAATTCGTTATATCGGATTCAAAAATATTTTTCGATAGGTTCTAAATGGACTTCCGTAGATATGTTATTGAAATTTGAAATATAACGATGTTTGCAAAAGGGAAAGACGTTTGTCTGTAAATGTAAAACAGCATGGACCTAAAGTTTTACCAATTAATTCACACATACTTCAAGGGAATATTGATTCTATATCTCACTTTATAAATCATTTCTGACAAGTCTGCCCACAATCATTCCTTAGATTTTTTTCTCTGAATTTTTTTTAAAAATCTACATTTGCTTTTTTTTTTTTTAAATCTTGAGTAACTTTACAACAGCAGTATTTTTTTTTTAACTTTGCGCCGAGGTATTTGAGAAATCATGTTTAATGAAATGTGAACATAACAAACAATAATGCTCATAAGGCCGGAAAAAAAACAATACGAACTGTGAGCAAAGCAAATGCGGATCCATGAAAACAAAGTCGGGATCAGGTGCCATGAAAGAGATGGTATCCCCTGCACATTGGTCTCACCCGTCGTGTGCACCTTGTCACGAAACGGGCAAAAGAAAAATCCGCTTTCAATTCATTGTGAAAACATGCCATTACAATTTGTATAAAACGATAGATTGTTTTTATTTCAACCATAGAAAATTGCAAGACGGTATTGCTAATACCCTTGTATCAGCTTATTAATTTTGTCAGTAGCCTGTCACGGGTTATAAACTGTTTATTCATCGAACATACCCATTGATGACACAAATGCACGCCATGTTGCATTATAAAGTAGTATTCAACACAGTTTTTCTTTCTGTATTGCAGTTGTTGGTGCCAGGTGTGCAACACCCACCGTCATGTCTGTGCAAGCCAATGCCACTGGCGAAAACAACGGGGGGAAATTTTGTCCGCAGTTGGACGATGGTGTCAATATTACCTGTCTAATTGACCATGGTGTTGGAACTGGTCAAATGTGGATGGAACCAGATGGAACCAACCCTGCTTGTGTCAGCTACGCATATGCTCAATCCGGGTATCAAACAATTCATTTATATTGTTCCGTTGACAATACGTTCTTTTATGAAAACAAAACTTTGTATGTCGGAGAAGAAATAGATGGGGTGACAGTTGGAGACGAAAATGGTGGCTCCCTCATACCAATGCCAATGTCTGCCACACTTTACGTAACATACGTTAACGGAAGTGATGTCAACGTAGAAATCTTCAGCAACACAACCAATACTGTATTCTTAAGCACCAACGTCACCAACAGTAGCTCAACACACAATATCACCGCTGCAGACGTTAACAATCAACTTGGTATGCATTCTGTGCGTATAACTCTCTCTAATCCCATTTCATCTGTGGTACGTTGGGTGGTTATTGCTCACGAGGAAGAAATCACTGGATTCAACTTTAGTGGGCTCATTCAACCAATCATGCACGTTGGTGATGAAGTGGAATTCAATTTTACACTCTCCACGGGAAGTAGCGTGTCAGTTGCAACAGAAGTAAGCAATTCATTAATTGTGCAAAAATGTGAAGGTGTCCTCCGAACATATTCTTACGTGTATGTTTTGAATGAAACAGGTTCATATACAGTTGTACTGACCCTTTCGAACTTTGTATCCACATTTAATTGGACGTACGATATAACAGTGCAATATCCCGTTCATAATATAACAATTGACCAAGTTAAAAATAAAATGAAAGGTTCGACAGACACCTGGGTTGTTACACTTCCAGCCGGAACATTGTTTCCAATGGGAAATCTGTTTGCAGTTATTGAAGAAGACGGGGTCCAGAAGGATAACGTCAGCTTGACTTTGTCACCGGGCTCTTCTCAGAACATTCCAAGAACTTATCCAAACGCGGGTTATTTCAATATTACTGTCACAATTCATTCCGAAATCAGCGAAATGATATTCTCGTGGATACAAGTGGTTGAAAACGAACTCTCTTTAGAATTGTTACATTTAGACAGAGTTCCAACTTCAGAATCCCAACAAGAGCTCGTTTTACGCATAAATGATTCAAACAATTCACCATTGTACAAGCTTAACTGTACCCTAGATGTAGATGGCGAAGTTTCTGTTCTTGACATCCCAGAATTTAATTTTGGTTCAAATGAGACATTTAATTACCGATACGTTGGCATTGGAAACAAAACGGTAACCGCGAACTGTTCCAACACATTACGAAACTGGGTATACACAAAAATTGTTGAGGTTTACACCGACTGCTTTGCTTCTGCAGATTTTTTCAGTACTTCTCTGAAGAGCGTATCCACTCCTATGAAGGTGTCCATTACACAAATTGTTCAGGTAATGTTTTCCCCCCAGATATTAATAAATATCATGAAATATTGATAGAATATAAATTCACTCCTCTATTGCATGAAATTTTTTTTTAAAAATACTACTTTGATTATTACAAAAACAACTTTACTTGTATCTGTAGATCACAGCAAAGGTAGAAGTGTCCGATTTATGCAAGAACAGTTCCCGCACATATTGGTGGGATTTCTATGACGTTCCTCATAACGATCCCTCGAACCCGGAATTGCGCGAGTATTACAACAATACTGCAAATCAACCTAATGGAGTGACTATTACTTTTGCAAAAGAAGCCATTGAAGCAGGCTTGAAGAAGCTAGTGCTGAGAGTCAATTTGACCGACCAAGAAGGGGGTGTCCTTGAAGACTTCATATACGTGAATTTCATCACTCCCCCTGTCGTGGCACAAATCGTTGGTGGTTCCGAAATCACACATGGGCAGGAAGATATTCTGACAGTGGATGCCACGACATCCAGGGATCCAGTGCAACTATATGTTGACCAGCCATTCAATTTCACTTGGCAATGTTTCAACATCTCTTTTTCAGAGTTGTCTGATTTGACCAATTTTATGGGTAAATTTAAAACACCCAACGAGACAAACCCAGTGTGGCCAGCTTGTCTGACAACAGCCTCACTCACGGAAGGTAAAATCACGATACCTTCGACAGAACTTGAGGCTGGCTATTATTATCTTTTTATTGTGACAGTGGAGAAATTAAATGTAACTTCAGCAGGTTTGCCAGTACGGAGAAATGATTCAGTTTTTCAGGCAGTAGAAATCGTTCCATACGACCCACCAAAAGCTGAGTTGATGTAAGTAATTATGTTCCCCAAACGAAGTTGGGGAACATATTGTTTTTACTCTGTTTCTTATTATGTTCCCCAAACGAAGTTGGGGAACATATTGTTTTTACTCTGTTTCTTATTATTATTATTATTATTATTATTATTATTTTTCTTCTTCTTCCTGGAACTTTTTTGTCCGGGAATGATCTTGTAAACTGTTCGTCCGATGTAGGTAAAACCTTTTTAGGGTTAGTAGACATGTTATGTAGATTTGCGGAATCAAGGTCATTTTGCGCGCACGTGCTTGCAAGAGCGTGCACGTGCAACACGTGAAATGACCAATATAATAGATATAGCCACAACTGTTCTATTTTTAAATGAAATGCTTTGAAACTCATAATGTGAGGATATATAAGTAGTATAGACATGACGACATGGTGAAAATAGCAAGATCTCACGCGCATGCACGTGCACTTCACTCTGATTGGCTGCAACTAAAGTCTCAATATCTTTCTTGTTTTTTGACGAAATCCTTTGAAATTTTGAACATAGCCATGCATCAGGATATCCTACAACATGAAATAAAGCAATTATCATGAAAACACGTGCATGCACGTGCGCTGCAATCTGATTGGCTGAAACTTTAAACAGCTATAACTCCCTTGGTTTTCAACCAAACAGGATGGGATTTGGAACATAGATAGATATAATGGACTTCTACAAGTAGGTGTGGTCACCATGCACATGCATACACGTGCGTGTACATGTGCTGCAATCTGATTGGCTGAAACTTTAAACAGCTATAACTCCCTTAGTTTTCACCCAAACGGGTTGGAATTTAGAACATAGATAGATGTAATGGACTTCTACAAGAAGGTATGGTCACCATGCTCATGTATGCACGTGCGTGCACGTGAAATGAGAAAAATCAAACATACACTTGAATGAGCGATTTTTTTTTTTATAATTTTGGATTAAATACTTTAATATTCAGTATATTAAAAATATAGATTGTGTAGACAAGATGATATGGTCATAATATGCATTCACATGTGCACGCGTTGCTAAAGTTTAAATGATTTTTGTACACTTCTTTGTTAATGTTGTTAAAATCTCAGATGCATAGAGGTTGTCTTATTTAATGAAGCTTACAGGGAATATGGCACCAAAAGGGAGTTGGGGAGCGTTTGGGGAACATCTGTAACGGTCCCCGTTACAATTAGCACTAGTTATTATTATTTTTCTTCTTCTTCTTCTTCTTCTTCTTCTTCTTCCTGGGTACATTTATGTCCGGGAGTGATCTTGTAAACTACACATCCGACTTAGGTAAAACCTTTTTAGGGTCAGTAGGCATGATATGTAGATTTGCGGAACGAAGGTCATTTTGCGCGCACGTGCTTGCAAGAGCGTGCACGTGCAACACGTAAAATGGCCGATTTAATTGATATAGACGTAACTTTTTACATTTTTGATGAAATGCTTTGAAACTCATAATATAAGGATATATTAGTAGCAAAGACAATATGACATGGTCAAATTAGCAAGATCTCACGCGCATGCACGTGCGCTTCGCTCTGATTGGCTGAAACTTAAATCTCAATATCTTTCTTGTTTTTTGACAAAATCCTTTGAAATTTTTAACATTGCATTAGGATATCCTACAACATGATGTATAGCAATTATCATGAAAACACGTGCATGCACGTGCGCTGCAATCTGATTGGCTTAAACTTTAAATAGCTATAACTCCTTTGATTTTCAACCAAACGGGGTGGGATTTGGAGCATAGATATATATAATGGACTTCTACAAGAAGGTATGGTCGTCATGCACATGCATATACGTGCGTGTACGTGCGCTGCAATCTGATTGGCTTAAGATTTAAACAGCTATAACTCCCTTGGTTTTCAACCAAACGGGGTGGGATTTAGAACATAGATAGATGTAATGGACTTCTACAAGAAGGTATTGTCACCATGCTCATGTATGCATGTGCGTGCATGTGAAATGAATAAAATCAAAAATACATTTGAATGAGTGTATTTTTAATACTTTTGGATTAAATACTTTAATATTCAGTGTATTTAAATATATAGATTGTGTAGACAAGATGATATGGTCATTACGCACATGCATTCACAACGCATGCAAAAAATTTGAATGAACTTGGTACACTTCTGGGTAAACGTTGTTAAAGTCTCAAATGCTTAGACTTTGTCTTATTTAATGAAGCTTACAGGGAATATGGCACCAAAAGGGAGTTGGGGAGCGTTTGGGTAAACAAACGGTCCCCGTTACAATTAGCACTAGTTACATATCGATTTGGTATTTGAAACATAGATTATTTGCATAAATGAACATAATAGGCAAATAATTTTTTTTATAAATACTGGATAAACACTGTTTTGAAGTCAGAGAGAATTGAATAACAATGAGGATCATGGTTTATTCAGTTCACTGTAACATTGAAAAAGAAAAAAATATTTTAAATAAATTAAACTGGTGTTAGATCCAGACAGTATACACATGTGATAATTTACACTGCATTTAAGATGGGTTTTTTTTTTTTAGGACTGTTGAATTCTATACTTGATAACAATTAAAAAAAACATGTTTAATTCATACAGAAATGCGATTAAAAAAATAATTCTTTAATATTTAAATTATTCAAACCAGTGTCAAGTTTTCAACGCTAAAAGTAAAAAAAAAGTTGTCTTAGATGACATCAATTTTATTATTGTTAACTGACAAAATTAAAATTATCTATATGTTAGTAGTGTTCAAGTTTTCAACGCTAACAAAACAATTGCATTAGTTAACAACATTTTTGGAACCTTATGAAAATTAAATATTTATCAAAATGACTCCTGACTGTTAGTAAAGTTCTTTAGTACAAAGTCGCCCAAAGGATTATTTGAAACAGTTGTCAAATTTTTGGCTTTGAAATAATTATTACCATGACGAATATTTCTTTCAAAAAGGATATATATGTTTTAAAATTTGAATAATTTACATTTGAAATTGTTTTAAAATATCAATGCAATGTATCTACCTGGTATACAAAATACTAACGCTTTTCCAGATGTTTGCGAAACTGTATGCAGAAAATCAACAGAAATACTGTATCTAGTTTTGAAGTGAAATGCTCGAATTGCGATTCGAACACGCTCTATGAATGGGATTTTGAAGAATATAGTAACACTGGCAATTTTTCATCTCTATTAAACGGTGCAGAAGGGCGAGAAAAGTATATAGAAACACAAAGTAAGTTCTGACTTTAGCTCAGAGAGAGAGAGAGACTATATTTTGTTCCCATTTCTAGTAATCTTTGACACCTACGTAAATAAGCTATCCAAGAGTTTTTTTTTCTCTTTCTTTTAGCGCCTGGAATGAGTTATTTGGCAATAAAGAAAGACGTTGTACCAGATGGGCAGCAGCTTAGAATAAAATGTAACGTAACTTTGAATGGGAAAACTGCAATCGTTTCAAAAATATTTTCTGTGAATTTTTCGCCGAGAGGAGGAACTTGTGAAATCATTCCTGAAATAGGTAAGTTGTCTGTAAAATGATATTTATATGGTGGGACAAATGAATTTGTAAAATTAAATCTCACTTTTAACAAAGTTTTCCTTGATACTAATATTCTATCCAATTTATGTATAATATTTTGGTAAAATCTCTATATTTTGCAAAAAAATCTCGCAAAGATTGAAATTATTCAGCTATGAAATAGCATAAACACATCAAGAAATTATCATTCCTTCATACTGTAATTCTAATTTTAATGGGCTTTTGTGTCTTGTTTTAAAAAAAGTTTATCCTCATGCGTAAAAATATACCTTTTTTGCACAGGCACCTGACTTTTCTTATTTTTTAAGTAAAAAAATATTCCCTACCTAATTTTAGGTATGAAGTGTATTTTTTTTTTATAAAAAAGGTTAACGTCAGGTGCCTGTGCTTTTGTTTAGTTACCAAAAAATTAAGCTACGACCTAATATACCTTATACATTGTAAATATTTAAGTTACGTAGTGTAGGGGTTAACGCATAAATATCCAGCTAGCAAAGAAAAATTATGTTTGGATTTTTTATACTTGGGTTCGGAATCCAAGAATACTTTAAAAAAAAGCATACAATGTACCTGTATTTTTTTCCGAGAACATTTTCTCAGAAAAGTATTGCTTATCATAATTTCATAAATGTCAATAATAAATTTTCTCTAAATACAAAATTCAGAATGTGCATGTGATTTTAAACATAATTTTAACGCTTTTTTCACATCTTGTTCGCCCATCATCTTCGCACCAGTCTGGTGAATATAAAAAAAATGCACATAAAGAATTGGTTGAAACTTTAAAAAAAAATCTATACAGTTATTTTGTTGTCAGCACAAATTGCTTTTTAATGACTAATAAAGACGACTTGAGAATCATGAAGGCGGCAAAAATTTTTGATTTCAGCACTCCAATAGTGTCCCCAGTAATCTTTACATAGACATTAGCAGATCAAAAAGAAAGCTTTTAATCTGTTTTGGACTTATATAGGGAATCAATAAATTTCTTTGCTTCCCAACCTCTTTATATTATATTTTATAGCAAGCTTTAAGAAATTCTGAAATACACAATCAGTTAATTGTTTTCTACTTTATTGATTTCCCTCTGGCAAGTTTCTTCTAGATTTCATTTGCAGATTGTTACTTTTCTGTTTTTTGTAAAGAAGCCAAAAGATTTAAAATCAATTTACATTAAGCTAAAACTGGAACTGGCTTAGAGTATAGATTGCAAAAGCACATATTTAGTCAATAACTGAATTGTATGCCTGGGTTTATCAGATCGATCGCCCGCTACCAAATTATCATATTTTTATTGCCAACTCTTGAGCATAATTCATAATAGATGTGACAATTATTAAAGTAAATTCATACAATATTAATATCTGATCTTGTTTTCTAAACTTCATTTTTTTCTACATGAAGGACCTAAAATGTAACGATTGGAATTAAATTTCCAATTTTTATTCATTCTTTTATTGGATTTCATATTTTTTTCTCTCAGATTTGAAAAAGAATATATTTTTAGAAAAAAAACCCACTGTTTGTTTTTAAATAGGAAAGCCCGAAGTCCTTGAAAAATTTTCAGTTCTATGAAACCTTTTGAAGATTTTCTGTTAAGTTTTCGCTCCCTAAGAACTTAAAATCAAAAGCATTCAATGCAAAAAACTAATTTTCTCGACCTTTATCTCTTTATTTTACAAAAGAAGCTTAAGCCTTCAATCAATCAATAACTAAGCGATTATTTTCTTCATAACGATGTCCGTTTGATCTTTATTTACGATCCACGATCGCCGATTTCTATTTTACACCATTTAAACTGACGTACTTAAGAGGCAAGGAAGCCGAGGGAAAATAGATGTTTTTATTTTAGTTGGCTACAGATGTTTTGTTTGTAAAACGCATTTGATAAAGACCCATTTTAAGTTTGTTTTCTTGAAAGCGAAGTCCAATAATTGTATGTCCATTAATTTAAGCACCTTAATTTTAAACTTTGCTGATACTATCATTCTTTTTTTTTTCGTTGGAAAGAGAGTTAAAAACGATGTTTTCAGTAATATTATGTACTTAGTACATATAGTGTAAACATAACAAACAAGCAAATTAGCAAATACAATCAATAATTTTATTGTAAAATTTATCGTTATATAAATTGATTCCTGGAGTTTCATATAATGGCCTTTCTTTTTCCTACATAGATTTACTTTCTCTTTCATTTGATTTTCGAAAAAATACAAATTTTTATCAAGATTTAACTTAAGGCAATGAAAGCATGACAAAGTTTTCGTTCATATCTTTAGGCGAGACAAGCATTAAATATTTTACATTAAAGTCATTAAGCGAGGTAAGCATAATTTACATCAGTGTTTTAGGCTAGCAAGTATTAAACACATATTTTACGTCCATGATTTAGGAATGATTAGCATATAACGTTTTTTACGTTCATATTTTGTATACCAGGCAATCATTACATATTTTACATTCCTGTTTAGGCTTGATAAGCATTACATATTTTACTTTCATGTTTTAATTTATACCAGTCAAGCATTGCATATTTAACATTGATGATTTTAGACCAGGCAAGTATTACATAGTTTACGATCATGTTGTAAGCCAGGCAAGCATAAAACATTTTACGCTCATGTTTTAGGCAAGGCAAGCATTACCCATTTTACGTTCATGGTTTTAGGCAAGGCAAGCATGACATATTTTACGTTCTTGATTTTAGCGAGAAAATGTTTTTGTTGTAGGCTAGAGGAGCATTACATATTTTATGTTCAAGTTTTTGACGAAAGAAGCATTACAGTTTTCACGTTAATGTTTTTCGACAAGGTGAACATGACATATTTTTGTACATTTTTCTAGGCGAGGCAAGCATTACTTATTTTAATTACGTTCATATTTCTAGGCGAGGCAAGCATTACTTATTTTAATTACGTTCATGTTTCTAGGCGAAGCAAGCATTACTTATTTTAATTACGTTCATGTTTTTAGGTGAAGCAATCATTACTTATTTTAATTACGTTCATGTTTTTAGGTGAAGCAAACATTACTTATTTTAATTACGTTCATGTTTTTAGGTGAAGCAAGCATTACTTACTTTGAAATCAAGTGTAAAGACTGGAAAGACGAGGAGGATAGAAATATAATGGACGACGCAGTGGATGTGTCCGCTCCACTGACATATAAGATTTACCAATACAGCCTTCGAAATGGAACTCTTGTCACATCTTATCTTGGAGAGTCAAGTACGTTTATTTGATCTGTGTATATGAGAACATCTTCATGATTTCTTTTTCGCATTTCTTTTTTTATATAACGCTAACTTATTCTAAGACTTTCATTCAGAATATCCACTGAGGGGAAGGAGAAACGCGGGAAAACAAAAAGTGATATTTCGAACTGCATGACCGAAAAATTTAGCCACAGGCTTTCTCATACAAGAGTTAACACTAATGTTAATACGTATTTATTAATTATGAAAGTAGGAAAAACATCAAGGTCATCGTGTCAAAAATTATAGTTCTTTTGTAAAAGTCTTGTTGCAGGTAATGCAAAAGTGGAATTTGAGAGTCCCGTCTTTTCTCTTTCAAAAGTCATAAACAAAGTTTAAATATTTTGTGACAGACTGAATTACAGACAATTGAGATTTATTGACCACTCGATTTCACGACAGCATGGTGCAAAACTTTTGAAGAATGTTTTTATCAGCTTTAAAAAATTAGGTGCAGATCTTGAATTGATTAAATTTGTAATTTGCAGACATTCATGCAAAATTAAACAAATTGAAACCAACACCATGATACACACTTTTATTTTTTCTTTTTCTTCTTTTTGTAGCTGAACCTCATGCCAAAGCTTACCTTGGAATAGGAGATCCTAGCAATAATTACAACAGTAGCGTTACTATTTATATCTACGATAAATACAACGGAGTGGTGGCGTATACTCGACCAGTAACGGTTTGTATTTATAAAATTTTTGTCAAATGCATATTATCATTTTTCAGTTTTTTTTTTTTTTACATGTATGTGCTGTTTATCGGTTCCATTTTTGATATGAAAACTTAATGAAACTTTTTTCTCATAATAACACAATGTTTAATTTATACAGGTGTTTTCCTGTTTCTTTTACTTTTTAATAATAAGAATTAATTGCAAATTAAACAGATTCATTGTCATGCGCTTTTGCGAAAGCATGGAAACCATGTGTCTATGTCTGACACTGGTCTATAAATTTTGAATAAGAAAAGAAAGGACTTTAATGTTTCACATGTGTATTTTGGAATTGGATTGGATAATCTTTTGGAAACAATCGTAATCTCCAGTATGTGCAAAAAATTATGTTTACCTATATTTGCAATATTATGACATAAATTAAAATATATATTACTTTAAAATTGACGCGATCCATTTTTATTGAATATTGTCTTTATTCACTTTCTTCTACTTCTTAAATTTAAGGTCAATAATCCCCTTGCAACTCATACATTCCCAAATGACTCGACTATAGATAATTATTACCAGAAAGTCATGGAAGATTTACAAAAAACCGGGAGTCCAGAACTTTTAATGATATCAGTTGAACCTATTATTTCTGTACTTACGGACTTTGTGAGTAGTTCTGTTTTCTGTTTTATCTGAAAAAAAAATATTTCTTCAAATTTGCTGATGTTAGCTTCAGTGAATTTTTTAAAATAATTTAAACGGATAATTAAAACTCAGTTGTAATCATGACTATCCATCACCATTCTTGCCCTGCAGACGATTGTTGCGAATGACTCGTACCCGGATGTGGAAGTCAATAAGGTTCCTAAGGATTGGAACTCCGGCCTGATTGACCTCCAAGAGGTTAATGGAACACAGGTCATGGCTACTTATGACGCAATGCTTGAAGATATTCTGCAACAATCACAAAATCGTTATCAGGTGAAAGTACAAGAGGTAAGGGTCAGAGTTTCATTTTCAAAATTTGTAAGAATTCAGTAAAACATTTTTTTCCATTGAAATTTAAAAGAAAACGTTTTATACAAAAAACAAAAAACAAGAAGGATTAATTTTATTTACGAGAAATAATCCCGTAAATATAATTAATCCTTCTTGTTTTTAAAAATCAAATAATGATTTTTCATTCTTCATGCATGATAACTTGATAAAAACAAAGATTTTATATGGCAAAATGTTAAGTGTTTATGGAATATGAACTTTTGAACTTACAACTATGTTTCTCCAATTCTAGACGTTGACTAACCTCACGCAGATCATGTTAGACCAGCTACAAAGAACAAATTCCAGCACATATTCTTGGGTAGAAACAGCCTCAATCTCGTTCGGCAATGCCCTGATGAAGAAAGATTTCATTTCAGAGGAATCAGTGGTACAGTATTCAGAAGAGGACTCACGTTAGAGAGTTCTTTTCCATATTATACCTTATTCAAAGTAAACGGGAACGTAGAAAATCTTTTTTTTTTTTTAAATAAAAACAAATCTTTAATGAAGCTTTCCGAAAACAATAAAATAAAGTTTAAAATGAAAAAATTAAGGAGTTGTTTAAAGTAGCTTTCAAAATGAAATGAAAAATTGTAAATAAGGTTCATTTTACAGTAAAACTTATGATGCACTCACCAAAATGTTGGTTGATCTATGGAAATACGCCTTTAAGGAGAACGATTTTCTGTTAAATATCCTCCTTTGAAATTGCAGAATAAATAAGAAATCGCCAATATTTCTCTTTATTATAAATTACTTTAAAAAAGGATCCAAAACACAATATACAACAGATATCATTTCTTGTGTAAACAAAGGAAATAATAAATATAGATTTTATACTTCATGCAAAGCTTTCAGTTCTTAAATTAAGGAATATTTATATGTGTAATAGAAAACTTTTATGATCGATTTCACAATGCATGCAAAAAGACTGATAACGAAATAAAACAGAAATAAAACTCGATTATTTGAATTCAAAACCAACATGACAAAGATCAACATTTTCCATTCACAGTGCAAGTATTACCTGCAATGGTTCATGCAAGAGCAAAGATTCATGCAGAGAAAAAAATATTTTGAAATGAAATAAAAGCAAACATTGAACTGACAAATACGGTAGATATTGTGAATTCAATTTCAAATTTTAAAATTATTTCTAGGTACATGCTTCACAGGCCTTAAAACAACTTACTGGTGCCTTCTCAAATCTGACTGCTCGCCAGTACCACGGCGATGACTCCATTTTTACCAGCAGCAGTTCCTCCATGGAACAAGCTGCTTCTGGTAGCTCTTGTTTGTGTTATTTTGTAATTTAAGTTAATTGTGGTATTAAAACTTTGAAAATTTTCACCATTTCCATCACCAATACCATCACCATTATCTTTTTATGATTTTGCATTAAGTATTTTTTTAATGTTGACGTCAATATTATATCATTTAACTTGTGATAAAGAACAAAATAGTTTTCTACAATACTCATGCCCTCTGAAAATATCCGTATTATATAAAAATAAAAAAGGTATATTTATAGAGAGATATAAAAATTGATACTATTCTAGTAAAGGTTATATTCTATTACTAAGAGTCAACACATAAATAAATAATTAAGTTAATGACACTCATTTGTACTTTTAAGTATATTAAAGACGGTAATTTTAGAAATCTCTTTTTGATGACCGGGATTTCATAAAGTAAAATGATGATATATTTATTTTCAGTTTGTAGATGCATATAGACAAATGTGATAATTCTCATTTGGAACACAGACATATTCTTATTAGTTTTTTTTTGGCAAGTAACTTAAAAAAACATTATTGACCCAAAACGAAGTTGGAGGACATGCTTACGTTGTTCCAACTATAATTTTATCTTTCGCTTGTGTTGTTCATACATGTTCTAATAAATATTTCAGTGTTAGCACATGAAAAACAATTCATATTCAAGAAATAGCTTTGTGAGATTCAAGTAACTGAGATGCCTGTCGCAAATAAAACCCGATTTATAGATACTTCTGGCTTTACGGATAAAATTATTGGTGATTGTGTGGTAACAATAGTTACCCATTAGCAATCTAGAAGTCGTTTATTTTTTCATTGTAAATTTCAATTGATTTTTTTATCTCTTTTTTATCATTAATGAAAATCTGAAATAATCCTGTTATTGTATAATCGAGAAAGATTAATTTATAGCAGTTTTCAAAATAGAATGTGAATATCAGGTTTACTCATAACGTATGGAAATCTTTTACGTCACTGAGTCGCGTTAAAAAGCATTTCTTATAATAAATAATTTAATATTAATCTTAAATCAGACTGTACCGTTTCATAATCATCAGGGATACATCGCAGACGATATTTAGAAGCAGGCATAATGTGGAAACGTTAAACCAGTTTTGAGACCTCTGCGCATCTGCAAAAGCATACTTAGGTTTGAACTCTCCAGTTATTGGGTTATGGGTTGATCAAGATTTTTTAATGTCAGACAGACACACAACCATGTCAAAAACCAACATGCATTTTCAATCCATATGCTAAACAAGTCTAACTTTTAAAGGTCATGCATGCGTATCGGTCTTGTGAAGTTACTATAGCTTTTTTACATATTAAAACAATAATCATGGGCACTTTTTTAAAATTCAAATTGAATAAATTGACTGAAATATTTTAGTAATTTTTTCAACTCTGTAGGATACCTTTAGTAGAGAGCGCAGAAAAATTTATTGATAGAAGAAAAAAATGGGTCTGCTTTTCTGTAAATATATATAAATAATAGTCAAGAAAATTTTACTTTTTAAATGAACCCGATTGTAGATTTACCTACATTTTTCTTTTGTTCCAAACATTTCTTTCCAAAGATGCCAACAATTTCCTTCCATCCCGTGTTTTATTGTCGTTGAAGGTATAATGCAACTGATGGACTCTCTTGTGATAAATGCTGTCCCTAACGATCTTGCCAACACCTCTGACACCGTCGTGGCAGCGACTGATACTGCTTCGTCCCGACTCTACGTCAACTATCTGTTTGCTCTGAATGAAGATGCGGCGTATGAATACACTGAAAACGGTACTTTGACTCCAGAAGAGAGAGTGGGTATGTTCTACATGAAATCCAGGATATCGCAGATTGAACTCGAAAAGAAACGAAGAACAGTAAGTTCCATATTGTGGTTTATTAAAATTTGAAGATAACAAACAGCGACCAGTATTATATATCCAGTAAATAAAACGAATCCTGAACAGGGCAAAACGAAGACCCTAGGAAACATCAAAGATAGTAACATATTTATCCCCCTTCAAAATTAATGATAACACCCACATTTTTAAAATGACAATAAGCATAATTATAAAAAGAAATTTGCATTTTTTTCATATTTATGATTTTATTTTGAAAGTCAGGAAATACTAATATTAGCAAAAGTTAAAAGAAACATTGGGTTTTTAATTATATATAGTTTTTTTCAAACAAACATGTATTAGAAGTTTTTTTAAAAAAATGGTCTTTTCCATTTAAATGACAACTAAATAAAATGTAAAATATATGAACTTTCTACATATGTTAGATATATTTAAGGATTACAATATAATCAATAACTACATGATTAACAACATTCCTTTTATTTTCCTCTCTTAACCTTTTTTTGCTTTTTTGCTTTGGTATTATAGAGTGAAGAGTCGGGCAGAGCATTAAATGATGCAATAGAATCTTTAACAAAATCGATGATGTCGGTTGAATGCACTGGTTGTACTCGTACCTACAAGAAGGCAAATATGGAAGTATACATTCAAAAGGACACCGTCGGTATTTTAGAGTCAACCAACAGAACATCGGACAGTTTCAACCTGTCTTTCAGCTTTGGAGGTCTTCCAAAAGACACATTTGTTCAATTTTCTGTTAGTATTTTGTAAGCTGTTTCAGACTTTTTAGAAGTTTAAAAAATTCATAACCGTTTCTGTTGCCAGTTAATAATTCAAGATATACAAATACACGAAATGGACTTGCCCATCACATTAAAAGATATTATTATACATTATACTGTTACAAAGTATTGGATCTCTTATTGTAGAATCCTCCAAACTGTAAATAAAATATGAACAAAGTACTAATTTGAGGAGGTATCTTTTGCAGGCGACTGAGATGAAAAACAATATATATTTGTACGACCACTCCAAAACAGCTGCTCTGATTACATCACCTGTTCAAAAGCTTTCTGCTTTTTCCCAAAATAATGAACAAGATCTGTCAATCTATGTCGTCACTATACAACAACCAGTGACATCGGATTTTAGTGACGTAAAGCTCACAGAGCCGTCTTTCATATCAGGAGATGCCTCTGGGTTTTTCTACCATACGTTCTTGTACAGAAACACAGGCGACTATGCCTGCTTCCACATTGTCCAGCAATACCCAGTACTCAATGCGAAATATGATGTGTATTTACGTGCTGAAGATTTTCCCACCATTTTTCAGTATGATGCCAAGGCGGAAGTGTCTAAGGATAGGGACAACATGGCGTGTATTCCTCCGCAGAAATTAACTTCTGTAGGAATCATGCATATGGGGCTAAAGCCCACACCCATATCACGTAAGTTTCTTACACTCTCATAATTAAACTACCGAAGCAAATTAATATTGTGACACATAAAAGCCCATATGCATTTTTTTTTCAAAAAATGAAATAAAAATTGATAAGTCCTATCTTAATTTTGAATTTTATACCTTAATAGATGTAGTTCTCATATTCCATTCTGAAAATTACTTTTTCCTTTTTGCACTTACATCAAACATTTGCATTACAGAGAATATTTACAACCACTTATCGCTTGGTCCTTATATATAAAATTTTAATGTATTTTCTTTATAAATTCAACTTTTTTTTTTCTAGAAATCTTAAGATATGCATCGCTTTTTATCAGATAGATAATGGAACGACAATTTAGCCAATTGTAGCACCAATATACCGGGTATTACTGCATATTTATTACATTTTATCACTTTTATATAGAAATACAAATATAAAAGGAAATGGTATTTACAGAATTCATGGTTTCAAATATAAACAATCTTAAACAGTTTTCCAAAAAAACAAAATTACACAAACTATATTCACTTGTTTAATCTTTTACTTCATATTTGTGTTTGTTTATACTGATGAGCCATATGGCTTAATGTTATTCAATAATTATCGGTATATTATTACTTGCTAATGCAGAGTGTTTGGCAGCGGATATTCAGTACTTATCTACTGAGCATGTAGACTTCTAATTTGGATCCATACTTCGATGTCAAACTCATATCATTTCCCATACGAATCGATTTTTTAGAATAATAATCTTAAAATAATTGCTACTGAAAAAGTGTAAAAAACAAATGTTTACGAAGTTTCAATACATGTTTATTTTGTTAATGTCTTTTCTATAACATTATTCAAAAATACACGTTTCAGATCAAACTGGCCGAAGGAAACGAGCTGCAGGTGTCTGTAACAAAAAACACATAGTCGTAGATTACGATCTAGTAGAAAATATTGCTGTGTTTTAAATTATCATGGTGTGATGTAAAGATAATTCTCAAAATATAAAATTCAAGACAGTATTCTCTCTAACAAAGGAAATTTCAGTGAATATAATAAATGCAAAATTGAAACACAGCCATTTTATCTGCTATACAATTTGTGTGTCTGGGGTGAATTTGGTGTCGGATATTGGGGGTTCAACAGGGATATGGATGCTTAAATAATGATATAGATAGGTATTACATTTAGCTGCGATTTAATTTCTTTGTGAGGATCTTTAAAGGTAGATGACAGTATAGTTTTTCATTCCTAAAGATAAACATATATAATAATATAACAATATATTATCAAAAATAAATTTGTAACCCCCAATACCCGACAAGGTATCAGTTTGTGTAGTAGAGCGATGTCACTTGTGTTACACAATCAGAAATGTTGGATAGGTAAAATACCAAACATTTCAAGTCCTGGGAGTCTAGAACTACTTTTCCAATGTTTATTTTAAGGGAAGTTCGATAAGATATACATAGGACAATATTCTTTCTATTTTTTTTTCCAGGGAATTAATCTCAATTTCTTTCTTTTCAAAAAAGTAACGAATGCATTTATTATTAATACGGATAATTATGTGTGCATGATTAATGTAGTTGATGCTATTTCTGTATGTAATTGAGCACTCAATGTCGCTTATCATCTACTACTAATATCATATCAATAAATTTATGAACAGGATTGCTTACTAGTTAGTACAAAATTCAAAGAATCAAGAAAAAATAGAAATGTGACATAAAAGCACAGCACGATTTGTATGTGTGTAATATTGCACGTTTGTAATCGTTATGATTAATTTAGAAAGGTATAGTGTAATTTATCCCATGAAAAAAAATCGTGTCATATTTGAATTTTACAACAGAAAGTTCTATTTTAATATATATTTAGCCTGGTCATTGAATTGTACTTGATGAGAATCTATTACAACTATTATGTACATTTCAATGATAATGTTATTGCACTTTTATTCAGTTACTCAGTAACAATTTTTATGTCAAATTGTCATTTGTAAGACGAAAAAAGATCGTTTAATTCTTAGTAAATTAGTCGGAACTCGGAAAAGAATCCCTTCTTAAAACAATTTAATCATAATATCATCATACTGAAATAAATGCATTTGTGGAATATTTAAAAAAAATAAATATCTACAATGATGAATATGATTAATCACAGATTTCTTAAAAAACGAAAGCTTTTTCAATAAAAATAAATCTACGTCACTGCGAGTCACAAACATGATCTAATATGGCTATATAGATTCATAAAATCATTGTGTTTACAAACATATTCGTTTGTTGCATGCATGATATCGAGAGATGTTCATGTAAAAATAATTTTTTTGAAAAATCAGTTTTTATATACATTTACAAAAATTTTATTTCAAACAAATATTCATTTCAGATAAAAAATAGCAACATTACTGACAAACATATCACTATAAAAATGATATATGCGATTTGTTTTGATTTTTTTTGTTGAAAAACATCTGCTTTTCAGATCAAGTAAGTATTTCACTATTTGAGTTACCGCCACAGCACTGTACTAATTTACGTTCTGTTTGAAATATAGCGGTGTTAGATAAATGCGTCAAATATGTACATGACGTCTGCTATGTATTCTCTATGATATTAGATATTTGATGAAAAAGATCAATCATATTGGCAGTTAGCAAACATTTAATATAACATTTTCTCTTTTCATAAGAATTTGCGTGTACAATTATGCTTATTTTTTAATAAAATTATATTAAATAGTTATCAATACAAATAAAAAGTAACAGCATAAAATGTTTAATGTATGATGTTTTTTTTTTAGATTCATAAGCTATAAGTACACGCAGTTGTAGTTTAAAACAGATCCAATAGTAGTTACTTACATCTGTTTCAGGTGATGGAGGCTACAATGGCACGGATCCCAAGCTGAATCCTTACCGTCTTATGGTCGTATCAGCCGGCTGTAATACTTGGAATGAAAATACAGAAAAATGGAGATCAGATTCATGTCTGGTAATGTCATAATTAAATCTTTTTTGATTGTAGAAATGTTGTAAAAGGTTTTTATAAGAATACGTGTTTGTTCTTCTTCAAAATATGATTGTCAGTAAAATTTGATATTATATTACTCCATATCTTTTTCTGCTTTGAAATAAATAAAATTCATTTAATTTCGTTTTGCGTCTTGTCGAAGTCCGATTAACATATCTTGGTCGTACTTTGGTTTAAATTTTATGGAAAAACCACCACATTTCACAACCTATTGTAACACATCTGTAACAAGCTGTTAATGTATTTTTTTTAAATTATGAACAAACCCTACATTTATAGATATTGAACATCTAAAAACCAAATTCCCCTACGTATTCTTGTTAAAAAAAATAACGTTTTATGAAAGTTTAATTTACCTTTTCCTTTTTGAAAATGCAAATTATTTGAAAAGCATCATTTTATGGAAAAACCAATCCGTACAAAACAAACATTCGAATATATTCATTTCTTTACACAATTGTGCGAAAGAATTTCATTTAATCTTATAGCAGAAATTAATGAAACAAGCCTTGCTTTGTAATTTATATGATAAACAGGATTGACTTTATTTAACTATATTTTGTGAAATGCATCTGCTTTTATATGGACTTTAATGTAAAAATGTTGTAATGGGACTTTTTACAGTAAATCTAGATGTGTCATTTCTTCAATAAAAATGAATAACTTATTTCACTTTTATTTAACAAGTTAGATTTTATGAATGTTGCTCACTGTCTCTTTATATTGTATCAGTCATAACTTGCGATGCTGTAAAAAAATCAAAAAAGGTTACCGAATATCTGGCTTTTAATGTATTTTTTTTATAGGATGCCTGAGTTCCTTTTTGATGATGCAAATTATTTGAATAGCAATCATTTTCCAGTTCATACACTTCAGAAGCACTCTTAAGTTATTTTGAAACAAATTAAATTCATTGCTTTCTTAAGATTTTTTGTCCCGTGTATACACCCGAAATCTTTACTTATTTTTAAACAAATAAAATTCATTCGATTTTTTGTCCGAAGTCCGATTAATATATCTTGTTCGTAATTTTTTGTTTACATTTTATGGAAAAACCATCACATTTTACAGTCTATTCACTCTATTGTAACGTTTCAACAACCGCATTCAAAACAAACCGTCAAATATATTCATTTCTTTTCACAATTGCGGGAATTGCATAGAATTTTAATTTGCGGTACCCGCAGAAAAATTGTAGCTCGAAATAAAAATAAAGAATGACAAGCCTTGCTCTGTAATTTAGATATGATAATAAATCAAAATGTATATTTTTCCGGTATTCATGTTAACAATATATGTTGTGTAATGACAATCCCAGACAATGCAATTTTATATGGACGCAAAGACTGCATTAATAATGTAGGGAATCATGGAATTGTAATGGGACTTTAAATAGTAAATCTAGACGTATATGTCGTCATTGACGTCATTCAATTAAAACAACAATACCTATTATGTCTAACTTTTTTCATTTTTATTTAATAATTCAGTGTTTATGATTATGAATGTTGCCCATCACAAACTCTTTAATAATCCCGATTCGACCCCTCGGATCCTTCACTTTATTTTGCCAACAACGGAATTATAGATGCTGTTAACATTACTACATTCTTGATCGTAAAAAAGTTGCCATAATATTTCAAGATTAACTAAAAACAAAATCCCAATACGTATTTTAGCTCTTCCTCACTTTATCTTTTTAATGAAACAAATTAAACAGTATTTCGAAAGCAAATCATTTTAAAATTTCATAAATACAGGGAATCTTCATCCTCAACTGGCGAAAGAACTTCATTTCTTCTCTAAAATGGGGGAAAACTTTAAGCATACCTAGCATTTGTATTGTAGGCATCTGCTTCTCACATAAAAAATGGAACTGGACATTTTCATTTCTTATAATTGGTCACCTACAAATTTAGCTAGGAAAAAAAATCATTGATTCTTCACATGATTACTCTGACATTGCTTTTCAAAGGTTCCACATTGATAACATCTACACGTATGTAGTCTTCGGAGACCAGGTCTTCTAACAATCTGTTGGATTTCTAGTATATTAATTGTGTACATTTATTCGTTTATGTTTTATATTCTTATGAAGCAGATTTATTTTTAAAAAATTACATGAAAGAAAAAACACTATATATCGATGACGTTTTTGTTTTTCAATTACCGTATAGCGGGTTATTTTAGCGGGGTGCTAATTTTGGCTTATTTTGGCGTTTTGATGGTAGCCCGCAAAAATTTTAATCGCTAAAATAGTCAGTACTCTTTTTAGTGCTTATCTGCAAAGAGCTGAAACTCCGCTAAAATGAATAACGCTAATATTATTGGCACACCTTTAAGCAAGCAAAAAGCCAAATTTTACACCCGCCAAGAAAACCCGCCATACGGTATATCTCTTGTTACTTTCATTATGTCTACTCGATATATCTCTGGGAAATCGAAATAAAAGAAACCACAGAGTTTGCATGCCTTTTTTGGATTAAAATCTTTTACTGACTATCGATAATACAGGGATAATGTATGATAAACAAGATAATTGAATCTCAATGCAAAGATATGACGAGAAAAATATGTCGATATGGAATCTCTTCTCTTCAATATAAGTTCTAGATTTCACGGATTTTAATTTTTGTTATCGGTTTTTAATAAGCATAGATTTCATAAATTATTATTTTCACAGATGGACTGGAAACCAACTCAGGGGGAAATATCATGCGATTGTACTGGCCAGAATGGGCTCACCTTTGCAAATTCTTTTTACGTCGCTCCAAACACCATTGACTTTGCTACAGTATTTCTGAAATTTTCTCCCCAGGACCAGGCCGCTGTGTTGGCAACATTCGTCCTTATTTTAGTTCTTTACATTGCGCTGATGGTTTGGGGCCGTCACCAGGATAAAAAAGATATTGTCAGGGTATGTTTAAACCTCTTCATTCACCCATTATCGTTTAAGAAGCTATTCTGACCATTTTGGTGGAGTTTACAAGGAAACCTAGAAAAAAGGGAAAATGTTAAGTTGGAGGGAAATGAAAGAATACTTCCTTGTCGTTTTAACTGTGGGTAATGAAAACATCAATGAAATTCCAATAACATTCTTGCTTAAATCTCTACAAGTTTACCTCTCTGAGGTATTTCTCCATTTACGTATTGTTATTTGTATATTATTCAAGTGGGGCGTAACACCTTTGATTGACAACTTTGTTGATGATACTTACTACTATCTGATTACTGTATACACTGGAATGAGACGGGGCGCGGGAACAAGGTCACGTGTTGGCTTCATTGTGGCGGGAGAGGACGGCGATACTGGTGTCAGAGAACTGTTTGACGGTGTTCGAACGGTATGAAGGAGTCATTTTCTTCGGAAAATTGCTAATATCCTTTGCTTTTTTTCTGATATGTTTTTGCTGCAAAATTATTTGAATAAATATTTTTTTTAAAAAGTAGTTTATTTTTGATATTGATAAACTGTCGTTTTGAAGTAGTGTAAGAAATACCTAAATTATTTTTGGAAATAATGACTTTAAAGAATTTGACATATACAAATTTGGAAAAAGAACGACTAAGTATACTTAATATGATAAAGTTTTTCAAAGTAAAACCATGAAAAATTAATTCTAAAAATCTTATTTTATTTTCTTTATTGTTTTAACATATTTTTGTACAGATTTAGAAAAATGTACCATGTTTGAATCATTCAGGCATACACAAATACACTTTGCATAAAAGTTAAACGAAGGTACTTATCGTAAATATACTATCCATGTATATGTTTGATTCAGGAATTTAGGACGGCCAGTGTGAACCATTTTCTAATGGCTACCTCCCAGCCCCTGGGACCGTTGACATACTTCTATATCTTCCATGACAATTCTGGTGAAGGAGAGTGGTCATCGTGGTACCTCAATCGTGTGGACGTAGAAGACCTACAAGATAGGACCAGGTAATGGAACACATATTTGTGAAAACTTGTAAAATCACGAGGTAAACATAAAAAGAATGTTCCTGCCGTTCACTTTAAATGATATACTAGTTTCATATTCGAACCCATTTTTCCTTCCTGATGGTATATGAAATTAGAGAAAACATTTTTATTGCTAGATATAAATATACTAGTATCTCTTAAATTTATTGAGCTTGAATGTATTTTATTAAAGTTTGTAAACATGTATCCATTGCATGCCCCCTAAGTATGATTATTGCACCCACAAGACGTCATTTTGGCTATCCGTCTTGCTGGATGGCCTTTGTTGTGTGTAACTTGTTTCATGTGATTTAAACAAGAATTCTAGGGAATTATTCGAGTCGAGTCATATTGGCAATTCACCCAGATTCTTCATCAACATTTCAGCAATGAAAGCTTGAATATGTTGATATATTCAAAGACTTGCTTTTCTTCTCTTTGAATTTCAATAACAAAAAAGTAATTTTTTTTACAACGATCATAACCAATTATCGACAAAAACTTCACCATCCTTTGCAAACAGAATATTAAAAAAAACTCATATAGACAGCAAGGGAATAATCTAGCTGAAGAACTGTAGCTTTATGGTTTAAATATAAGTCTTTGATCATATGATCAATGACTAATATATAAAACCATAACGCTATAGCTCTGCAGCTAGGGAATAAACCGTCCCGATACCAGTTCAATGTGCCAAAGATTTCTCCAAATCATTGCTTACAACCTCAAATCTCAAAATTGCTCAGTTGTATGATAAGGCATTTAATATGCGAGGTGGAAAAAGGTATTATACTGTATGTACTCTATGTTGTACAAAATGATTAATATCTTGAAATGTAGGTTCCATAATTCGAGATGAAATGTATTCCTGTGATTTCCACACTGCCTGATATCAATTTCAATTAAAATGTCAAAAATGAACTACAAAAATAATGTACATATACAGCAAATTTTACCGAAATCCCAAAGACAATGAAAATAATTTTTGTTCAAACCAATATCCCATTCAAGGTCACTATAACAACATCGATAGATATCGTATATTGAACTCATTACCACCCTAATGATTTTCTTATGAGTCCCCCATTTCGTTAAATTATTTGTAACATTATTAATACTTGCTATGCATGACGATCAGGGAAAAACAATGCATCTCAGAGTAATTGGTTCCTATCGATTAAAAATACTTTCTCTTTACTTTGAAATGAGTAAAATAGCATATTAACAGGAAAAAAATGTGAAAACAATTCTATTATGTCAAAATTACTTTAGTTTATGGTATAATGAAATGGATGTATATGCTTTTAAAATAATAATATATTTAGAATATCTGCTTATGCTAGACAAGTCTCTCATATCCGTCTCTGCCTAATTGAGACACACTTGTTTGTGACCTCAAATTGATTGTTTATCTACATCTTTTTTTATTCATATATAATAATAAATGCACCGAAAACAATATAATTATTATTTATTTTTATTTATTTTGCATTTTACTATTTTCAATGTTTAAAGCTTTAAAAAAGTTCCATTTCTAAGCATTTTTCCAATCTTCAGCAGTGTAATCATAAGTTGAACAACAAACACAATTTTAAAGCACAGCATTAAAAGGGTCATGGGTTCAAGACGATTTACAATGCTAGTATATACGAGAATCCCCCTAAAATGAACCTTTAAGATATATTAATTTGATGGCTTTTTTACTAATTTGTTTTGTGGTTTCCTCTTGTTTAGATTTGTCTTCATGTGTGGTCGTTGGCTATCGCTGGACAACCTGGAAAGCAATGTTGAAGCCGTTCTTCCTGTTTGTGGCCGAGAAAACGTAACAACATTCAAGAATATGTTTTACATTAACTATAAGGAAAGTCTGGCCGATAATCATCTCTGGATCTCAATTTATTTCCGACCAACCAGTAGCCATTTCACTCGAATCCAAAGAATCACGTGTTTGTTACTATTTATAATGCTGACGATGATTGGTAACGCTGTATACTTCAGGCCAGAGGACGAATACGAAAATCCAGAAACAGTAAAACTAGGCCCTCTGCAGTTTTCCTGGCAAACAGTATTTATTTCAATAATGAGTACATTAATCTCTACGCCAGCCGTTATTCTGGTCGTCACCTTGTTCAAGAAGGCCAAACCACGAGTAACTGATTACGATGTCAAAGACTCATCACTGAAATATTCTTTACCAGTCATAAACAGTTTCATGGACAAGGTCTTAAAGGAAAGTAAGGAACTTGAGCGAACATTGGTGGCCAAAGGTGTCATGAGCAAAGATGGAACAATATTTCCGTTTTGGGTTACTTACATTGCTTGGTTTTTGGCGCTTGCTGGAAGCTTCACTTCTGCATTTTTTATAATGCTGTTCAGTATGGAATGGGGTAAAACAAAGACTGAAATGTGGCTGGCTCAATTTTTCCTCTCCTTTTTAGAATCAGCATGTATTCTGGATCCTCTAAAAGTAAGATGTATTGCTTAATAGCAACAAGGCTACGATAATGACATGTACATAATCTAAAATGTAAATGCGACATCTTTCTATTTCAGGTTGTGTTAATGGCGGCGGTATTTGCTTTAATATTTCAACAAACTGAAAAATTCCGACCATCAGGTCTGACTCGAGAAATTGTCTTGAAAAATTACAGACAACGATATGGACAAGAACAGAGTAAGTTATGTTTCAAAGGATATGCTTGTTAAAAGTAGTGTTCAGAAATGACTCCAAAAATAAGTTAAATATTTGTCGAGGAACTCTAGCACTAGTAGAGGAACGAAAGAGAAAAATTGTATGATGTTGAAACAGTTTGTTTCTCTTGTGAATTGATAAAAAGTCTCTTAAAAGTACCCGGATAATGGAACAAACGGAAGTGAAGTTATAAATTTTAATGGTTCAATTCTGGAACAAACGGAAGTGAAGTTGTAAATTTTGATGGTTTAATTCTTATAGTACATTCCATGCCATTAGTAACAAATGAACTTTTAGTTACCTTGTTAGATATGTCCCAAATTTCTTTTCAGGTATACGTATCCCTGCACCACCACTAAATCATTCCCTCTTAGAAAAGGCTAGAGAAGAGCGCATGCGCGACATTAAGATGATGGACTCAATAAAACAAGTTTTCATCACATTGGTTTACATATGGATTATCTACAGCATCAGTTTCAGCAATCGTGATACCGGATCTTACTATGTTCAGAAAGACATATCTAATCGTCTTCTGACTCCGTCTGGAAAAGATGTACAGAAGTTCGAAAATGTGAGTTATTTTAGTGTAAAGCTATCAACTAAATATTCTGAAGTTTTCAACTTCCCTCACAGGTAAGTTCTCGAACAGTATAAAAGTAAAAGCGTTTTTTTTTTCATTCTTTAGGTAAAAACAACAGAACAATACCTCGATTGGCTTAAGCAGGTGGCGTTCCCTACCCTGTTTCCGGAGGAGGAGTACAATGGAGAACGTCTTTACTGGAGACACAGGCAATATGCATCCGGTCTAACGAATTTCAGAGTGGGGCCTCCTAGACTCAGACAAGTGAGAGTTGTAGAAGGTAAATGTATTTACTCTCTTCTAATTAGTTCGAGATTTATGGTTTTCTAATTATTTTTTTAAAGTCAATAATCAAAACGTTCATAAGGTATTTCAAACAAATGTCTTCTTTATTCTTTATATTATAGATGAGGAAAGTATTCATCCCTTCGGCAGTGTTAAAATATATCCCTCATACAGCATTATTAATGAAGAGGCACGTAGTTTTTGTTTCGGATGGTCGAAACCTCCCTGTGATATTGCAGCAGAGGCTTATTCGTTTTCTTTCAAGGCCTGGAAATACACAAATCCATTTGATATTTGGGGAGTCCCAGTTTTAGGTTATTATAATTCTTACTCCGGTGGAGGGTACATCGCAGAACTGGACGTGAATCTTGACTTCACAAATAGAACCATGCAGGAATTGACGCAAAACTTGTGGATAGACAGGTCAACAAGAGCTGTGTTCTTTGAATTCACTGTCTACAATGCTGATTTTAATGTATTCACTTACAGTATGCTTGCAACAGAGTTTCCAGAAGTAGGAGGAGTAATGACAATGTCAACAATATATCCATTCCGACTTTATCACCATGTTGGACAAACAGGATATTACGTCATTTTCTGCGAAGTTTGTTTTGTGTTATTTTTGGTGGCTCAGATTATAAGAGTCATATATTATCTTTACAAACTTCGTTTACAATTCTTCAAAAGTACATGGCTCGTGTTAGACCTCGTTGGTATATTCTTAAGCTTCGTTGCAATCGCTATGTACGTGGGCAGAATGCTTCTAGCAAACGAAACTTTTGCCAAGTTCAAAGCAGACCCAAAAGCTTTTGTCAATTTTCAACATATTGCTTACTGGGATTCACTTTTTATTGTCCTCATTGGGTTGTTAGTATTTCTAGGAACAACAAGGCTTCTTGGAATTCTGGGATATGACAAAAGAATCGGACAGGTGTTCCGTGTGTTCGATAACTGTGCTTGGGATTTATTGTGGTTTGGGGTCTTTTTCCTTTGCCTCTTCGTTTTTTATGCCATACTAGGCTACCTTTTGTTTGGACGAGACTTGGAGTCGTACTATGACATTTTCCAGTCACTCGGAACACTCTTCATTAGTATGATCGGTAAAAGTAAATTCAACGAAATTAATGAGGCCGATCCTTTAATGGCACAGTTCTACTTCTTTACCTATGTTCTCTTTATCGTGTATTTCCTGCTGACCATGTTCCTGGCCATTCTGTGTGAGAGCATTAATGTAGTGCATCAGAAAACCAAGCTGGACCGTTCGGATGAACTAGTCATGTACCTCGTCGATAAAGTTCGAGATTTCTTCTCGAGAAACAAATATGGCAAGAAATCACAAAAAGGTAGAAACAAGTGATTGTTTAGATTGAATAAGGGATTATTGTGACATGTACAGCAAGATATCCATGATTTAAAAATACATATGCTAATAAAAAAGAAGTACATAACTATATGTTTAGCTGATATTCTACTGATATCATTTTTTATTTAGATTTCACCTCTATCATGGCGGAGCACCAAAAACCTTTGAATTTGTTAAAGGAACTGCGGAAGGATATCGATAGCGCCATGTCTGCCTACTCCGAAAAGGAAGACAAGGACAAGCAGGATAGAATGGTAACCAGGGACGCTTTCTCAGACTTAAAATGATACTGTCTTATATAGAATTTGATTTCCACCAGCTGCAATAATGTAGCCCTCTCCCTTTTTTATTTAGGAGAGGGCTACAACTCCTTAGGATCTCCGTAATGGTGCAAGTGCGGGAGTGATTCACTCCAGAAAATATCAGATTTAAAATTTGGAGAGGACTACATTGTTGCAGCTAGATTTCTCCATCAAAATTTTACAGAAAAGTTTATTTCCAATAAGAAGTTATCACTTTTCTTTTTTCTTTCTTCAGAAAAAACGGGGCAAAGAGTTTTTGAAGAAATTGGAGCAAGCAAACTAAAACAACGAGAATACAATGTTAATTTGGCCATCGGGTTTCAGAATTATCTAGAACAACACAAAAATATGATGAAAATCTTTAAGAATATGTTGATTGACTCTTCTTGATGTGGACAATGTTATGTCTAACTTTTGTTCAAAGTTGTTTGGAATATCTGTGATAATTCACTTTTGATATATATACTAAAAGTCTTCTTAAAATCAATTTTGTAACATTATATAGTGTCACTCTTAGAAACTTAAGTGTCCTGCCTCTGTATCCCTACCATTTTTTACAAAAAAAAAATTGCAATGCAATTATGTTCATGTACCTGTATATCTTAAAATAATTCTTTTACTTTTCTGGATACAAAAATTGAATGCTAGTGTCATTTTCAAACCGTGTGTGAAGAGTTGTATTCTGATTGACCACAATATCTAAAAAAAACATCGAAACTTATACTAGCATTTATTTTGTTTTAAATCCTTAAAAAAGATACTTTTCATACGACAAATGGCATACTAATATATAAAGTCGAGCCACGCTTAATGACAATTAATCATTTCTTATGTAGAGTTTATTTTTTAATGAAGTTAATCCCTTTTTCTATCAACAGTTTTGTTGTCAAAAACCCTATTTGAAGAAAAGAAAACACGCTTTCTGTAACATCATGAATGATTTAAATAATGTATTGCTAAAGGGGCATTGTTTAAGACCTAAATTTATTCGAAATCATATATACACTCGAAATAATGTGCGGGAACAAAAATTGATGGAAAACCCGCAAATTTTAAACTCTCAATCTCCTTTAATGCTAATACTGCTGAAATTTCTCAGATATTTGTAAAACTGGAAATAATTGAATGTAGAAAACAGACATCTGTGTAAAAAAAGCATTCTTCAGAGTAAAACGTTTAAGAAGGTATGCAACAATTGTTAATAATGATGTGATCATGCGTTGTTGAACATTTACATATAAGAATATTTTTGTATTTGTTATCTTTGTCCGTCCATATATAAACATTTCATTAATTAGTAAACAAGCATGTGTGTTTAATAAACAACAATTAGATACTGGTTGTTTTAGTGTTTGTTTTATGTCGAGGTAACAGTCTAAGGCCAGAAAGCAACATTTGTTAGTCATCCGTCTTGCTGTAAATATTTGGTTTTGTATGTGTTTGCGCACAAAGCTTTCTAAAATTCACTTTTCAACTTGAATTTTTGACTATTTTGTAGCTTACATTTCGAAAGCAAGGTTCTATCTTATTGACCAACTAATATACTGCAACCCTTTCTTTAATTTTAAACAGAGAATATTCAAATTATGCGCTTTCAATACCCTTAAAAAAGACAATGTTTTCCCCGTCTTATTGTCCCCCGCTTTCGCGAAAGCGAGGGGACATTAAATCTCATTCGTCTGTCCGTCTGTCCGTCAGTCTGTCAATCTGTCAGTCTGTCCGTCTGTCCGTCCGTCACAAAAACTTTAACCTTGCCCATAACTTTTGATTTAGTGGAGCTATGACTTTCATATTTCACATATGTATTTCTTTTGATAAGACCTTTCTTTGGGTACCACCAAATTTGACCTTTTGACCTTGACCTTGGAGTTTGACCCACTTTTACACAAAAAATCCATACTATTACTTTGGCCATAACTTTTAAATCGTAGACACTAGGACTTTTATATTTCACATATATATTCTTTGTGACAAGACCTTTCATTGGATACCAACAACTTTGACCTTTTGACCTTGACCTTGGAGATTTCCGAACTTATGAAAAAACTTTAACATTGACCATAACTTGTGAGCAGTACGGGCTAGGGCTTTCATACATCACATTTGTAATCCATGTGAGAAGGCCTTTCATTGGATACCAAGAACTTTGACCCTTTTACCTTGACCTTGGAGTTCGACCTACTTTTAAAAAACTATGACCTTTGCCACAACTTTTGAACAGTAGATACTTGGACTTTCATATTTCACATATGTATTCTTTGTGGCAAGACCTTTCATTTGATATCAACAACCTTGACCTTTTGAAGTTGACCTTGGAGAATTTTCGTACTTATGAAAAAACTTTAACCTTTACCATAACTTTTGAATGGCAAGGGCTAGGGCTTTCATACTTCACATATGTAATCCTTGTGAGAAGACTGTTCATCAGTTACCAAGCACTTTAACCCTTTGACCTTGACCTTGGAGTGCAGTGATGATTTCTAAATAAATGATATATGATAGGGTGTTCATAATACACACAACATATCATTACAAATGACATCTCACCCACAAAGACACCGAAAGCGAGGGACCACAATTACTTGAATTTGCTTGTTTGCTCTCTTGTCGCAAAGTTGGCGAATTAAAATACATGCATGGTTGTGATATCTTTTTTTAAATAACTGTATCCAGGCGAATTTATAGCGGAGAAAAATAGTTTGTAAGTATGGTATGGCATAAAATAAACCCTGTATACATTGTTAACAATTCTAAGAATCCACTTATTAATGAACAGAAATTCTTGGATTATGAAGACAATAGATTTTTTAGAGACTAAGAATCAAAATATCAGCATAGATCGATGTCCTTCCAAAAAATACCTGTAGTAAAAATTTAAAACTAAATCATGTATGTTTTTATTACTTGTAGGAATGGGTTTTATTCTGTACTCAAAATATTGAATAGCAGGTTTTATTACATACTTAGTAATAAATACAGGTTTTTTGCATATGCGATATGGCTGACGTCACAATAGCCGTATCAGCCCTGTAGGGCTGATATGGATTTGCAGGGCTGATACGGATCATTATCACACCCTTAGTAAATTAAACATCAAAAAACAATACTTTTCATCATACACATATTTTGGGGGTTACATAATTCTCTTAATTTCACCTTGTTGAATGTAAGGACAATCTAACTGACATCACATCCTGTATCAGCCCTCGACAAATATCAGTCCTCGGGCCTTCGGCCCTCTGGCTGATATTGGTGTCTCGGGCTGATACAGATGTGATATGGAAAAGGGTTTATACATGTGTTATCCTATATGTAATGTTTACAATATTTAGAGACAATTCGCAAAATTGGAATATTATCATTTTGTCATTTTGCATAGTCGAAAATGAAATTATTTTATTTAAAGAACACGCATATGTCATCACCATGTCATCACCATGTGTCACTTCCCAAAGTCATCAACATCTGCTAATATGCTTACATGTACTGTATCAAACACGACACCTAGTTTGAATACAATGCATCAGGTTTCGGCTGAAGTTGTCACATACTTACATTGAAAGGAACTTTAACCACTATTAATTGAATAAATAGGGAAAAGGGAGCATACATGTATCTTTCAAGGAAATGTCCAGTTTGTATAACCACTAAAATCACATCCTATTAGCGGCAAATGGGAATGCCGATGCAACTGGGGCAACAGACGGCAAAGTTGTTTTTCGCTATGACAGAGACCTAATTGATATAATATTTTTGACTATTTATAACATTCATTTACTTTCGGTTGGTGATTTCCCATTTTTGATCTTACCTTAAACTATTTTTATGTTAAATATAAAACTATGATTTCTTTTAAAAACAAAATAAGAGCAGAAAAAAGTTGAATTTCAATACTTGTTCAAGAAAAATTGGTCAAACTGAGCTAATAGAAATAAAACTGCTACTCCACGGTCACATTTCTTGTTGTATATAATAAATTTAGGCTCTCTTCGGCATAATTGCAAAATGTGGATAATCTTTGTTGTTTAGTAAAAGTGCCACAAGTGTTTGATTTTGGTGGGTCAAATTGTTTTGGTTGTCGTGTACGAATGACGAGGCAAACAATGACAGCAGCTTTAAAACAAAAAATGGCAATCGGAAACAATGGAAACAAAGTTTGATAAAAAATAAATTTGCTGTATCTTAATAAGTTTCAAATTTCGCTCAACATTTTTAGCTCACCTGAGCCGAAGGCTCAAGTGAGATTTTCTGATCAAAATTTGTCCGTTGTCTGTCGTTGTCGTTGTAGTCGTTGTTGTCGTTGTTGTCGTTGGCGTTGTCGTCGTCGTGAACTTTTCACATTTTCATCTTCTTCTCCATGACTGGGCCGATTTCAACCAAACTTGCCACAAAGTATCCTTGGGTAAAGGGGATTCAAGTTTGTTCAAATGAAGGGCCACGCCCTTTTCCAAGGGGAGATAATCATAAATTTGAATAAAATTAATGGCATTAAAAAAAAAATTTTCTTCTCAAGAACCACTGGGCCAGGAAAGATGAAACTTATGTGGAATCATCCTTGAGTAGTGTAGATTCAAGTTTGTTCAAATCATGACCCCCTGGGGTAGGGTGGGGCCAAAATGGCCGATCAAAGTTTTACATAGGAATTTATAGGAAAAATCTTTAAAAAATCTTTTTCTCAAGAACCACTATGCCAGGAAAGATGAAACTCAGGTGAAATTATCCTCAGGTAGTGTAGATTTAAGTTTGTTCAAATCATGACCCCCGGGGGTAGGGTGGGGCCAAAATGGTCGATCAAAGTTTTACACAGGAATATATAGGAAAAATCTTGTAAAATCTTTTTCTCAAGTACCATTGAGACAGGAAAGATGAAAGTTATGTGAAATTATCCTCAGGTAGTGTAGATGCAAATTTGTTCAAATCATGACCCCCTGGGGTAGGATTAGAGATATTTATATGGAATCATCCTCAGGTAGTGTAGATTTTAGTTTGTTCAAATTATGACCCCTGGGGGTAGGGTGGGGCTAAAATGGGGGATCCAAGTTTTACATTAAAATATATTTAAAAGTCTTCTTATCAAGAATAGCAAAGCCATGATTAGTAGTACTAGTATTTATATTGAAGCATTCTCATGTAGTGTAGAATTAAATTTGTTCAAATCATAACCCCAAAGGGTAGGGTGGGGCCACTATTGTGGAACAAAGAAAGGAAAAAATCCCAAGAACAGAAAAGCTATGTTTAGTCATATTGGCGTGTAAGCATCCTCATGTATTGAAGATTTAAAGGAGTATATATGATAAGAGCCAATTTTGGCCTCCTAAAAATCAACATTTTAGAATGACATTCAGATATGTTTAATTGATATTTATTTTGAAGAAGAGATTATATTAGAAATATCTCTAATATATTTTTCACATTTATATGCACTCTCTAGCTGTAAATGACATGAGAAATAGTGCTATTTTTGCTATGTAACAAAAAAGCCAAAAATATGCCTTTTTCTTGATGTTTTTTTTTTCTTATGGGAAACATAGAGCGCAGTGTAGAACATATATAATTTTTCTGTCACTAATCAGTATTGGAGAGTTACATCTTTGGTAAAAATATATATCTTGTTCTAGGCTGCGCTCTATATTTTCTGGAAGAAAAACTGCTTGAAAATAAGCAATTTTATACAAAATATGCTAAAATGGCGGGAAAACGTGATTTTTATGAAGTCATATTTCTAAAATAACGGCATTTTAATCAAAATGAAAATTACCAATAAAGGTTGCATATATAGTTGTACAAATTAAAGCTATATGTAAAGTAAAATTAAGATATTCATTTTAAGGGGCCACTTGAGACACTTACCATATATCGCTATTTGTTCAAATCATGGCCCTTTAGGATAGGGAGGGAAACAATGGGGAATCAAATTCAAATTATTACAAAATAATATATACCCGTAGGAACAAAATCTTTAAAAAAGAAATCTTTTTATCAACAACAGCAAAGTCATATGCTGTATTGATATGAAGACATTCTCAAATAGTATTAAAATTGAAGCCCCCCCCCACCCCCACCCCACCCCCATTCTCACCTCAGTAAACTTTCAGTTCTGATCTGATAATGTGTTTTTTCCAAGTCGATGTGCTCAGGTGAGCGATGTGGCCCCTGGGCCTCTTGTTTGGCTGATAATATTGGTCGTATGAATATTATGTAGTATGGAAAGGAGGAATGAATAAACGTACATTGAAAATTCATAAATACATATATAATGAAAACATATGGCTGGACCGGTAATCGAACCCGGGACACATGTATTTCTAGTCAGATGAGCTATCCAGGCCGATGTCCTCAGTCCAGCCTAACTTCCTACAATTAGTTGCTATACGACAGCTACTGAATCGAACTTTTAATCGATTACCAATATGAACATGTTTTAAATAAGACGGTCCAATGGTACCGGTGAATAGTCGTAAAATTTGTTTTTCAGCGATAAAGAACGAAAAACAGATATATCTGGAACTGTAAAATATCATGGACCAGTATATTTGTACTTCAAGTAAAGTATTTAAATATAATAAAAGTATTCAATTTTTATGTACAAGTCGTAAAAGTTATCAACTTGGGATTTTAAATTGCTAATTTGGGTATTCCTTACGAAGCTGTTATGTTTGCTGCAGCCTTCGGCAAGAAAAATTGTAGGAAGGAAGAAAGTGTTCTTTCAGATTATTGCCGCTAGCTGCGATGTTGCGGCCAACATTACAACTTGTTATAAGCTTGCAGCGAGTTTGCAGGAACTCAAAATGTTTGCAGGAACATTGCAAGAAACATACTTGCCAATCTGTTGTTCGCAAATGGATTGTTACGCATTTTCTTTATGACGTAATACCTTTATGACATAGCTTGACGTCATAATACTCTATAAATTTTCCTAAACAACGACACGGAGAGAAGACGCAAAAAGGTAAGATTATGAAACTTGAAATTTTTTTTTATCTCTCCCTCTATTTTAGCACATCGAGATTATAGCTGAAAGTTGTAATAATGTTACTTACAGAATATTACGTTTGGTAAGATCTTCATAATTTCATTTTCATATTCTTTTTTTTTAAACAGAAGTGTGGATAGCATAATGGCGAGATTCAGAGTATCGTATAAATTGAATCCCGACCTTTTTGACATCAGTTCAGATGACAAAACAAAAATGGCAAGTATCTATAATGCGCCTAATTTAACCATATATTTTCACATAACTATAAAACAAAAATTTGATATCTTGTGCTTTATATCAAAAGTAAAGGGAAAAATATAAATTTAGAAATTATAAAGTTAACAATGTTTTTGAGTGGTTTTAATCTTTTTTCAGAGGGAGTTTGTACCTAGAAGAAAGGTCCTGAAAACTGTTGGAAATATCCAAAGTATTATCAGACACAATGCAGATGTAAACGTAAGCATAAATAAGAATTTATCATAGCGATTCTTATACAGCACGACATTAATCTACTGATGAGAACCTGCATAAGAAAAGTTTAGGGACCTTTTATTTAATCAAATATACAAATACAGTTCAAACTGTCTGATCCGTCACTTCTGTAAGCCGACACACTGTGACTTCCAACGTTAAATTTCCTTCCTAATTTACTATTATTCATGTCTTTGTGCTCTGTCCATTTTGACATATAATTCATCTCCCAGTGCATTTTGGATCAGGCAGATTTCACTGTAGAAGAAACTTGTGATTACTGATATATCTAAGTAAAACCCAAACTGGCATTGTCACGCAGACTCAGTATCTACACAAACAATATGAAAGCAGGTGAAACAATATGTTTTTATTTTCTGAATTTAGGACTTTTTGCCGCCCTGGGCGACTGAGAAATATTTTTCGGATTTGCACAAAAATAAAAAGGAGGTGAGAAGTATTTACAGATCGCTACACGCTTAATTATTCCTTTTAAAACCTCGTAATTTCTTTGAAGTTTAGGTTTCTCCAGTACTTATATTATACCAGTAAATATAAAAGAAAAAATCATTCATGTTAATACATTGGACCTCTAAATATATCTAGCATTTTTTTCCAAAACAGAATTTCGTTCTTTTCAGATGAGAGACTCTGGCGCATTGAATGCAGAATCGGAAGAAATCAAGGTATTGGAAGGACTGTTAAATGTGTTTGATCTGAATGATTTTGATAATTTTAGAAATTACTGTCAATTTTACTATTTATGACTCATTATTAAATAGCAAATGCAGATTTTATTTTTATTTTTCCTAATTATCAGAAATACATTGAAAGCATCATTGGACGGGCTACAGAGATACTGAACAACGAGAACGACTCATTGAAAGTAAGTAGAGTTTCTTCAGTTTTAACAAAATTCTGTCGTATAAATTATATTCCCTAAATGAATATGATCCCTGCGTGATGAATGTACTCTGTGTTGTAACGTAACTTTTAGCTCAAACATTAAGCTCTATTTTTAATACAGTACACATATCTATATGAATCTATGGTTTCCCCTTCTGACCCCGTAAGGAAATATGCTAACTAAATACGTTTCCATGATGTCTGATGTCTGTCCATCTGTCCTTCTTTCTGTCTGTCGGACAGTCTTTTCCAGTTGGTTTTTCACACTTTACTTTTATTGAGTAACGACCTTTTGAATTCTGAAGAAAAAAATCCAGATTATATTTTGCGACAGGACTCTTATTATGTTCCCCAAACGAAGTTGGGGAACATATTGTTTTTACTCTGTTTCTTATTATTATTATTATTATTATTATTTTTCTTCTTCCTGGGAAAATCTTTTCCGCGAATGATCTTGTAAACTACACATCCGACTAAGGTGAAACCTTTTTAGGGTCAGTAGGCATGTTATGTAGATTTGCGGAACGAAGGTCATTTTGCGCGCACGTGCTTGCTCCCGTGCACGTGCAACACGTGAAATGACCAATATAATGAATATTGCCGTAACTTTTTTAATTTTAGATGAAATGTATTGAAACTCATAATATAAGGATATATTCATAGCATAGACAAGATGATATGGTCGAAATAGCCTCACGCGCATGCACGTGCGCTGACATTGGCTGAATGAATTTATCTCTCTCATAAAATCCTTTGAAATTTTGAATATAGTCATACATTATGGAGATCTACAGCCTTCTATAAAAGAATATATAAATATATGCATGCACGTGTGCTTGCAAGAGCGCGCATGTGCAACACCAGAAATGTCCAATATAATTGATATAGACGTAACTATTTATATTTTTTATGAAATGTTTTTGAAACTTATAATATAAGGATATATTAGAAGCATAGACTAGATGACATGGTCAAAATAGCAAGATATCACGTGCATGCACGTGTGCTTCGCTCTGATTGGCTGAAACTAAATTCTCAATATCTTTCTTGTTTTTCGACAAAATCCTTTGAAATTTTGAACATGGTTATACATTATAAAGATCTACAGCATGGTATATAGGAATTATCATGAAAAGCATGCACATGCACGTGTGCTGCAATCTGATTGGCTGAAAATTTAATTGTCTATAACTTTCTTAGTTTTCAATGAAACGGGATAAAATTTAGAATATGAATAGGTATAATGGATTCCTACATAATGGTACTATCAAAATTGAATGCACGAACATTCATTCATGCACGTGCGCACGCGAAATATGCAAAATGGCCAAAATTTTTTTAAAAAACATTAAAATGTATATTGTAAAGAATTTTTTTATTTATTCCCACTATATATAGACATGTTAATTGTTTAGACAACATGCTATGATCATCTTACATGTACATGCACGTGCGTGCGCGTACAATGCGTTAAATGACATATAGTTGATAACATTGGTTTTTATAATTCTTTTGAAATCCTGATACTGATCATATTTTCTAAAATGTCTTACAGGAATTAAGCACAAAAAGGGATTTGGGGAGCGTTTGGGGAACATCTGTAACGGTCCCCGTTACAATTAGCACTAGTTTATCATACAATACTCAAAGACATAAAAGTCGGAAGCAAACTGAAGGGCGGGGGGGGGGGGGGGGCTGAACCAAAGATAACTGTTGGGGGACTTATCCCCACTTTTCAATGCCATGGTTTTGGTGCCTACAAATAATCGTAATAATTATGACTAATATTTACGAGAGAGAGATTTTATGAATTAGACAAAACTTATGTATTTTAATCCCAATCCCACTTTTTAAAAAATATCTTTGTTAAAGTAAAAAAAAAACTTCAATTCATTTCCCTCTTGACAGGTGTTAGAACAAAAGCCAGATATTGACAAGCATGTCGAAGGGATGAAAAGTGAGGAAACTGTTATTCCTAAGGAAGAGCTGGAGGTAAGTTGTTGAGTGAAAGACATGAATGAGTGAGCTACAGTCAAAGTCATGATAACAGAAACAGTGCATGGTTTGAATAGTTTTGATAAAGATGGCATTTAATTAAATGGTACAGTCAGAATTCGATAGAAAGACTTAAAATGCTACTTTTATGATTCCATTACATTATTATAATCTTTGAACCAATAGATAATACCAGTTTTTATTTTCATATTTTCACCAGGAATATATCCAAAGCATCATCAAAGGCGCAAGAAAGATAGTAAAAAGCGAGACAAAATTGAAAGTAAGTATAGATTTTTTTTAAATATGGGATTTTAAGTTTTCTCAAAGATTAATATCTTTCTGTTTCGTTTAATATCAACCTTAATTTTTGTTCTCACTTATCTTACACTACACAGTCCGACACCCTGTCTTTTCTGACACAAATGTTGTGCCCTAGTGTAGGTCGGGTTAAACAGGTTTCACTGTATCATGATGTAGTACTTAAACCATCTTATTTTTTGGAAGGATTTAGAAAGTAAGAAAGAGCAGAAGCCAGACATTGTCAAGAAGATCGAATGGAAAAGTGAAGAAACAACTGTTCCTAGGGAAGAATTAGAGGTAAGTCATTCAGTGAAAGGTACTAGTGAACTGCATTAGAGTGACTTGCATTCATATTAAGCATATTAAATCCATGATAACAGAAAGATTGCATATAGATTGTATAAGCAGAATTTGATAAACAAACTTAAATCCTGCTTAATGCTTCTATCATTTTTTTTAAAATTATAATCGTGTCAGGTTGTATAGAAACATTTTATTTTTCATATTTTCCCCAGGAATATATCCAAAGCATCATTGAAGGTGCAAGACAGACACTAAACGAAGAGCATGCTGCAGCAGAAGTAAGTAGAAATTTTGTTTTTTATGCATAAGGAATTTTAAGTTTTCAAGAAGATGTTGCCCCCCTCCAGTTATGAACATGCAATGCCTAACCCTTGCATCTATTATGCAGTTTAATTTCAGTGAAAGCAATAAATGTAATAAGTTAATGCATTGTTATTCTATATACCTTTGTCATCCCTTTTAATTTTAACAACATAAATTCCCATTTAACTATTTCCTATAGTTAAAAGTCCATGTGAAATATTTGTGCTTTGAGACCCCCCCCCCACTCTCTACATATGTGTATAATTATTTGTAAACATTATTTGTACATGATTTCTCTTACAGCAATTATATTTGAACTGTAAACATTACCAAGTGTACTATAAAACGATGTTTGGTACTTCCTATTATTTCATGTTTGGTAATTCCTATTATTTCATGTTCCAAGTTTACCACGGAGGAAATATGGACTGATACGTAAAATTATGGACTCTTATGATTGAAACAGTATTTATTATGAATGTTTATTTCAATTAACTTACAGTTCAGGTTGTAAAATGATCGTAAATACCGTTTTTCATGTGTGTCTGTCGATCACGTTGTTTTCCTTTTTGGTCATGGCGATTCGGAACATTCTAATTTATAAGGGGGGTTTAGGTTATTGTACTTCGTCCTCGAACGTCATTATTTTATAATTGTTAACTTATACGCAACTTGTATTGTACATTTTTATGCAACTTACCTTCATTGTTTATTACTTTGTATTTGTTTTACGATTCGGCGTCACATCGTTCGTATTTTTCATGTTTTGTCCCACTTCGGCGATGTTGTTAGTATCGTCTGCCATTTTGGTCTATACTTTCCTCTTTGGTTAGGTAAAGCGCACTGCGCATGTCCGGTAGTAAACCCTATATAAACGTCACCACGGACGCTGAGGTTTCAGTTTGACTCTGCAGAACGTCTTTTCAACAACTTTCATAGAAATTGTACGTAAATACTGATATAACTAACGGTTGGGGAGTTTTTACTATAGATTATATTGACCAAATAGATTTATTAAGGAATTCAACAGTCTCTACGAAGTTTTACCATTGTTTACATTTGATCATATTGATTTATTACGGAAAATCAACAGTTACCATTTTACCAAATCATAATAACGTTACCAAATCATAATAGCGTGACCAAATCATAATATGTGACGTCCGATCTGACCAAATATATTACATCACCATTGTTTGATTATTTTGGTTATCCAGTCATCTGTATTACAGTTATTCCTTTATTAAATCATTGTTGAAATTTACATAATCTTATGTTGTGCTCTTGTTTGCCTCTGCAATGCAATATTTTACTGACCAACACAGGGATTTATCTTACTAAATCAACATGGATTACCATATAACAAATTACCAGGATACCATAAAAATTGGTTTCAATGAAATATATCTCCTTCATTGGAGATTTGATCAATTATAAAAGCCTCATACCTCGGGCACGTTACAGAAATTTGGTGGCAGCGGTGGGATACTTGGGGGTGAGCAGAACTTTGGCCTGAGTCGGACAGAGGTTTTACTGGGTTGGAAATAAAACAATTTTGTCTGGAATGTTAACCCGCACTCCTAAGGCTCCATTGAAACAATATATTGTTGGTGCTCCACTTGAAAGGGTTGATCTGGATATTGTAGGTCCCTTGAACAGAACTCCTAGAGGAAAGTCATATATATATTAGTAATTGTCAATTATTTTACTAGATGGACTGAGGCTTTTGCACTTCCAAATATTGAAGCAAAAGCAGTTGCAAGAGTATTTCTCAATGAGTTTATTTGTAGATTTGGTATTCATCGTCAAGTACATACTGACCAAGGCACACAATTTTAAATTGTTTCAAGAGATGTATGAAATTCTCAGAATTGATAAAACAGTAGCAAAATCCATCCCCCTCCCAAGAGGCTACAAATTTTATCAACACATGATTTCGATATTCATCATAGAGTAGATTCCCAGCATGGAAATGCTGATGGGTTGTAAAGTCGTGCTGATGTTGAGTGCACACATTGTGTTAAAAAGAAAATAAACTATTTTCATGAAGAAAAACTTCAAAGCATCACAGTCAGGATGATCAGATCTACACCTACTGTTAAACAAATGGTCAGAATTCTCAAGAATCTGAGACTTCTACTGTAGATAAACAAGAGTAACTTTAGACTTACTTTGTTATAATACGTACTGTACACCAAAAGAAGAAATGATTGAGTCTCAGAAATCAGACCCAGTCAAAGGCAAAATTTACACTTGGAAGAAGAATGATATTCAGAGACCAGGGTGGAAGGATGTTTCTCAGGAGAGTTTGCAGGTCAGGTCTTGCTGGTCCCATTGGGACATAGTTGTTATTCAAGACAATATTTTTTTTACAGAAAATGGTTTGGTGCTAGAACTAATGTTTCACATAGCAGGTGGTTTTGCCTGAGGGGTACATACCTCAGGTCCTAGCGGTGTTGCATGGTGGCCCTGCGGGTGGACACTTGGGGGTGAGCAGAACTTTGGCCTGAGTCGGACAGAGGTTTTACTGGGTTGGAAATAAAACAATTTTGTCTGGAATGTTAACCCGCACTCCTAAGGCTCCACTGAAACAATATATTGTTGGTGCTCCACTTGAAAGGGTTGATCTGGATATTGTAGGTCCCTTGAACAGAACTCCTAGAGGAAAGTCATATATATATTAGTAATTGTCAATTATTTTACTAGATGGACTGAGGCTTTTGCACTTCCAAATATTGAAGCAAAAGCAGTTGCAAGAGTATTTCTCAATGAGTTTATTTGTAGATTTGGTATTCATCGTCAAGTACATACTGACCAAGGCACACAATTTTAAATTGTTTCAAGAGATGTATGAAGTTCTCAGAATTGATAAAACAGTAGCAGCATCCATTCACCTCCGAGTGACGGGCTATTTGAACATTTCAACAGGACACTCTAAGCTATACTCACAATATATATGTCAATTACTTGGAAAGACTGGGATATAAATACTTACCTTTTGTATAACTACTGGCATACAGATCTTTACTTCAATTTAAGAGAGCATAGAAACCAGTTCAAGTTTAATGATGCTGAGCAGGGAACCAGCACTGCCTGTGGATCATTTATTTGGTTGTCCACCTACAACAGATTTAGAATTTCATTATCAACATTTACAATAATTGAAAATGCTTAAAGCTAATTACAGACAGATATGTCGATTCATTATGATCATAATGCAAAACAAGTTTCCTTCAAGACAGAACCACATGGCTTTGTCATAAAAAGCGGAAGAGTGGCATCTATCCAAAATTTACTAAAACATTGGAGTGACATTATACCATCAGTTTAAAAAAAAATAAATAAACTTATTGACCTAGAGTACAGGATACAGTAAAACATGACAGTGGCGATTGAGCAGCACACCTTAATCTTCTCAAAGAGTTTTATGGAAAACTGAAAAATTTTCTACGAACATTCAGAATTATTATGAATTAACAATAGTCAACTGACTGATTGGACATCACATATGAGTATATTACTTTTACAAGACCTGTTTACCTTTCTGTGAGTGCCCTTAAGAATATACAGCACTGATCCATGGTTGTTTGAAAAAGTTTGATACAAGTCCACATGCAGTTTGATCAGCACAGGAAGGATAAATGCAAACCAAGACTCCTGCCTGCATGCCATAATGTTCTAGCTGTCAAGTGTCACTCTACCCTACATCTTGGGTAACCACCTACAATTAGGGATCACATAATTATGAACAGTATTAAAACAGATCATCAACTCCTTGTTACAGGCATTCCAGATATATTAACCTGAATAATAGACTAATTTGATGTGATCGCCAGAGATGTCAATCAGACGTGGTAACTGCCAATTTATACTCTAATTTGTGGAAGTTAAGGGAAACAGGAATTCTGTGTGATGTGAAACAAACTTTCTTCTTTCACGATGATGATGCTGACTTATGGACTGTGAGACTATATGGTATAGGTATAAAGACTTTTATATTAATGAGGGTATTTGTTAGAATTATAAGCAACTTTGAGTATGCTTTGGGAGGGGGATGGATTTTTGAAAATTTTTATTTTATTGAAAGAAATGATGACCATTTTTGTAATGGATCATGTTTTAGTTCCGATATTTTATGATATATGTATAGAAATATAACTGTGTGATAATTCATACAATTACCTCTGACAGTTTCTTTGTCTGAGTGGGTCGTCACTGCGGGCATTTGCTGGATTCTGTGTTTTCATGTGAAAAGAAATTGTATTATTTCATGTTATAAATCTATATTCAATGTCGATAATTGATATTTCATTATAATTGTATATTATACCATTGCATACAAATATTACTTGTTTTAACATTTTTGTTCGAGGACGAACAATTTTTCAAAGGAGGGGATAATGTGAAATATTTGTGCTTTGAGACCCCCCCCCCCACTCTCTACATATGTGTATAATTATTTGTAAACATTATTTGTACATGATTTCTCTTACAGCAATTATATTTGAACTGTAAACATTACCAAGTGTACTATAAAACGATGTTTGGTACTTCCTATTATTTCATGTTTGGTAATTCCTATTATTTCATGTTTGGTAAATGACCAAATTTACCACGGAGGAAATATGGACTGATACGTAAAATTATGGACTCTTATGATTGAAACAGTATTTATTATGAATGTTTATTTCATTTAACTTACAGTTCAGGTTGTAAAATGATCGTAAATACCGTTTTTCATGTGTGTCTGTCGATCACGTTGTTTTCCTTTTTGGTCATGGCGATTCGGAACATTCTACTTTATAAGGGGGGTTTAGGTTATTGTACTTCGTCCTCGAACGTCATTATTTTATAATTGTTAACTTATACGCAACTTGTATTGTACATTTTTATGCAACTTACCTTCATTGTTTATTACTTTGTATTTGTTTTACGATTCGGCGTCACATCGTTCGTATTTTTCATGTTTTGTCCCACTTCGGCGATGTTGTTAGTATCGTCTGCCATTTTGGTCTATACTTTCCTTTTTGGTTAGGTAAAGCGCACTGCGCATGTCCGGTAGTAAACCCTATATAAGCGTCACCACGGACTCTGAGGTTTCAGTTTGACTCTGCAGAACGTCTGTTCAACAACTTTCATAGAAATTGTACGTAAATACTGATATAACTAACGGTTGGGGAGTTTTTACTATAGATTATATTGACCAAATAGATTTATTAAGGAATTCAACAGTCTCTACGAAGTTTTACCATTGTTTACATTTGATCATATTGATTTATTACGGAAAATCAACAGTTACCATTTTACCAAATCATAATAACGTTACCAAATCATAATAGCGTGTCCAAATCATAATATATGACGTCCGATCTGACCAAATATATTACATCACCATTGTTTGATTATTTTGGTTATCCAGTCATCTGTATTACAGTTATTCCTTTATTAAATCATTGTTGAAATTTACATAATCTTATGTTGTGCTCTTGTTTGCCTCTGCAATGCAATATTTTACTGACCAACACAGGGATTTATCTTACTAAATCAACAAGGATTACCAATTAACAAATTACCAGGATACCATAAAAATTGGTTTCAATGAAATATATCTCCTTCATTGGAGATTTGATCAATTATAAAAGCCTCATACCTCGGGCACGTTACAGTCCACACCCTTTCTTTTTCGACACAGAATTCATGTCTTAATACAGATAATTAGTAAAGACAGATTTCACTGTATAACTGTATCACCAATCCTTAAATATCTATCAACAAGGCCCTTCATACGAGTAGTTCTTGCAAATGGCCTTTTAAGCATAGAAATCAGTAATTTAATTCAAGGCTATGTAAGCATAGGTTTGAACAAGTGAGATAATTTTAAAATAATTATATCACTATTCCTTTATGTTTTTTCTTCAATTTTTGTGTGAAAAATGTCATAAAGTCCATGTATTTACCCCTTGGCAGATTTTAAAAATCAAGAAAAAGCACAAGCCAGACATTGTAAAGCAGATCGAAAGGAAAAGTTATGAACCAACTGTTCATAAGAAAGATCTGGTGGTAAGCCATTAATCCTAAAACTGTTCAAACTGTATTTGCGTGAGCTGCATTCATAATTAGCAATGGAAAGCCATGATTACTGAAATCAGTGAAAGCAGTGACTATTTTGACAAAACTTAAATGCTAATTTATGCTACCACCACATTACTATTATTATAATCTTTGTGCAATGGTATATCCGGTTTAATGTTTTATTTTTCATATTTTCAGCAGGAATATATCCAAGGCATCATTAAAGGTGCAAGACAGATACTAAAGAACGATGTTGCTGCTTCAAAGGTAAGTATTAAGAGGGTCATTTTAATTTATAATAAGAAATTAAATTTTTACCAAAATTGTATGAGATGAAAAGATGTAATTTTTTTTACTACCTTGCAGGTTTCAAAAATCAAGAAAGAGATCAAGGCAGACATTGCCACGTGGGTTGAAAGGAAAAGTAGTGAAACAACTGTTTGTAAAGAAGAAATGGAGGTAAGTCATTGCATGATAACCATTGCTTAGCATTAAACATTTTAATATTTTTAATGCTGATAATATTTTTATATACTTGTAATCAATAAAAATCAATATCTATTTCATTAATTAAAAAACTTTTAAAAATTATTTTAAAAGCTTTGTGCTATGTAGATATCTGTATTTTAATCAGATTGCTAACTAATTATATGTAATTTTTTTATGTAAAAGTGTACGATTTTCAGAAAAGGAAATATTTAGAATTTGACAGTGCACATTTTAATGTTTTTTTAGAACATAATTTCATACAATCAATAATATTCAATATCTGTTTTATTCTTCCAACTAATTCACTTTTTTTTGAAAGTTCAAAATTTTGAGTATAGATAATATACTGATTACATAAAATTAAGTCAGAATTTAAAAACATTAAAATGTGCACTTCGCGCAAATATAGTTTTAAAAAACCTGACAGTCATTTAGATGGTATGAGCAGAAATCAATAAATGAAGTATCTAAAAAAGCTTCTTTTATGTCTAAATTACATTATTTAACAATATGGCTTCTCAAAAACGACTTTTTTGTTTTATTTAGAACAAGTATTTTGTTATTTATTTTTTTTAAAAAAGCATGTACATGTAATCAAATATTTAGGTGGGAGTAAAAAGCAGGACAAAGTTCAAAATGGAGGAAATTACAACCTATCAAGAAAATCTTGAGAAAAAGCAGGAACTAATGAAGACAGTTCATGAAACTTTGAAGGTATTTTGTATTATGGATTTGTTGAAGTTGTTTGGTTCCATCTTTTTCACAATAAAAATGTTTAATTTGTTTTGTAAGCAAAGACATATTTCTTTAAAGGATATTTTTCATCACTTGAACTTGTGATAAACAGACCTACATGTGAAATGATATTATTAAAAAATAAAAAATACTGAACAATTGCAAATCATATAGTTTTAATGAAAATATAAAAAATAAAGTAAAACACAAATTTTAAAGATTTTTTAAGTATCAAAACATGGTTCTTTCGTTCACCAAGATGATTATTTTTTTTTCAGAGCGTGCAGCCTGTCAAGAAACTGAAAGAATCTGATGACCATTATGTACCCAGAAGGCTCTTTTTGTTTAATGTGGATAGCTTTAAAGAAAAGGTAAATAGAAATGTGCTGAAAATATAACAAAATGTGAATATTTGTTTTTAAAAAGGAGAACAGAATTGAACCATGGGCTCAATTATTTTAATAATTTTTTTCTGGGTGGGTGGTTGGGGAGCTAGTGATGCATAGATTTTTATTGATGTAAATAAATGCTAAGCATCCAATTTTAGTGTCAGTGATGTAGTCAATTAAAGTTTTTACAAGCCTAATTTTTGGCATTATAGCATAGTTCAGTATTTAATAATAACTTTTTTTTTATTTCTAGAGCGAGTGCTCTACTGCAGAGACTTGTCTCAATACTTGTACTCAATCCCGTCCTTTGATTTCTGAACAACATTCTGATGTGGAATTAAGAGCGGCAGAAGATATGGTATGCAAGAAATGTCATTATTTGAGTCAGTTCAATATCATAATTAAAGAGAAATTGTATACATGTGTAATAAAAATTTAGCTAATTTATTACCAAAGATAAAGTCATCATATGTTTCCACTATTAACATTAGTTACAAGAGTCATTAATTTTGTAGGTTGTTCGTAAAAGAAGAACATCTTTGAGAAGACGCATCCTAAAGTTCCTTGGATTTTAGTAATGGCAAATCTTTGCTACTGAAACACGGAACGAATGTAATTTATAAACTATATTGCTGGTAGATAAACAAATCCATGTGAAACATTCTTGTGATGAACGCTGAACACCTTTAAAGGATTATTTTTCAATATATACTAGTATAACACTTGCTGTTTGATTTAAATTATGTCATATCAATAAACCATTTTAAATCTTGATTTGTTTTTGAATTTATTTGTATAAAAGTGGATTAAAAAGTTCACTGGTTATTACGACAAAGGAAAAGGATATTTAGAATATTGGAATTAAATTATGAAACTATTTTTCTTAGTTTTTAATGGCATTTTGCATCAAATAATAGTAAAATCAAAAGCAATTACAGTGTATTTTCAGATTAAATACTAGTAGTGCAAATACCCCCCTCTTACCAAACGAACACACACGCACACAACCACCACCTAGTAGACAGTAGATTTCCTCAATTTCAAGATATAATAAAAATGGCCATATCTAATACTTTTAAGCTAGTCCGAAAAGAAAACCCAACGGAATTCTCTTTATATAATCAATCACGTCTTGGTAGTAGTTACCCCATATCATACTGTTGATTATGTGTAGATACCCGATGGGCGTGGTCATAATGACACGAGGGAGCGTAGCTCCCGAGTTGTCATTATGACCACGCCCATCGGGTATCTACACATAATCAACAGTGTGATATGGGGTAAATGACTTGTACCATAGTTTTCAAAAATTATTCATAAGTGTGTCAACTTCTAAGGAATCGGTCGGACTGGTTCGCGTGATTGAAACATTAAGTGTTTGGTTTCAAAGATGCATTAGGATTTTATATGATTTTACGCTCCTTCGTGTCCTTCTGACCACGTCCATCGAATATAGGGTAAGTGATTTGTATACAATACTTTTCAAATTTTGATACACATTTTTTCCTATACTCGGCACTTAGGATCATTGAGCAGTGAGGGATCTTCCTGCATGTCAACACCTTCTGCGACACGGGACCTCTTTTTATACTTTATAGGTCTCCACGTCCCACATGGGATTCAACTCCTTACTTTGTGACTCTAGGGCAGGTGCTTTAACCACTGGACCACGCAAGCGACATAAAAATAAAACATATCTAGGCCCGTTTAAAAAGTTTGATTTATGTAATTGAAAAAATAACGTGTTTGGTTTCAATGATATATGAATTGTTTGTAGGGGTTATGCATATTTCAATTTAATAAAAAAAATAGATATTTAATCGGCTAGATCCGCAATCGAAAAGATTATTTAAGTACAGTAGTGTACAATTACTTTTACCTCAAGTATGTACCGTGTTCCTTTGTTGGTTATCAAAAGAACGATATATTGAAATCTACTGAGCTATAACGTCACCCAGGTCATTACACTATTTAAAAAATGTTTTTAAAAAACAAGCGATTTCTGAAGTTTTTTTCTTCACTTTTCACTAAAGTTAAAGTATTAATGGCCGTTTTTAACTGTTATTTATTAAAAAAAACGCTGTATACAAATGAAATTTTTACTCCTTTTTACTCTCCTAAATTTGGTATAATTGTCATTTAAAAAGCGTGCATGATCGTTTTATAAACAGTTCTTTTGTCCCGATTCGATGGGTGGAACTATAGAAAAGTGTGGGTTATGTACAGAAAACCCACACTTTTAACAAAAGACTATGGTACAATGTATGCAACCGTACATTCCCGATGACTCACTCCAGCTGGTGATTTTCGAAAAACGCCCTCACCACGTTGCGTTTACTTTCGTTTTAATGGCGTGAAGTGGAAGCATTATAATATGTGTTACTGTGTATAGTAGGTAAGTAAAACTATTTTATGCAATTAATAACGCCTCAATGTTCAGTAAAAAGTAACTTTTTTTATATAAAAGAGCATCCATTAAAACACACTAAATATTTTACAGTCACACTGTAATTATTGTTATGTAGTGAACTTTATAGGAACTAATAAAAAGATACAGTAGGGTTGTCACGAAATATTTTCCTTCTTCATAAATAAAGTTATCTTTTTTTTTTTTTTATAAATTTTATTGATCCTTTGAAGAGGTATCCATATTTTAAGACCAAAGGGAAAATCTTTTGTAACAGCACTAATAGGCATCTGTGGTAAAAACTACTTACACCCATTCTCAATATAAGGGCACAAATGCCTCTCTGATTTTTTAAAAAATGAAGTTCAAAATAACATTTTTTCTATCAATTACCTTTGAAAGAAAGTATCTGAAGATTTTATTTCCGGATTTTTTTTCATCAAATTTTAATATATGGAATAATGACAAGACGGTAAAGTAGAGGGTGATTTTATTCAGAAATGTAGCTTGAAATGTACGTTACTCTTTCTTCAATGTCCATAAAGATATGTAAAAAAAATGTAGTCATTAAAATCACAATTGGAATATCTCATCTTAACACCAGCACATCCTACCAACTCTGTCAGCAACATATTTTCTCGGCATACGAACGTGCGTTTGATTTTTCCTTTCAAAAAACAAATGTTACTTTTTGATCCAGATGTATAAAAACATTTTGTAAATATATGCTTTAAATTCTTCTCTCTGTTTTGTTTAGAGCGATCAGTTTGGAATCTTGTCATTTTCTATAGATACTGGAACTTAACATGTACATGTAGTAAATTTCTATTTTGTAGTTACTGTCTTTTTTAACATATATCCATGCCGATTTAGAAAACTACGTAAATATAACGTACATTTCAAGATATATTTCTGTTTAATAAAAAGCTTAAAATTCATCTAAAAATTCATCGTTTTGTTTCAGTTTATTCCAAAAAAGATTCTCTATGTAATCACATTGTGTTATATGTCACAATCACCACTATAAAGACACGATTGCCTCAGAATATGAGTAGGTAACGTACATTTCAAGCTTATAATAATATGTAAATTAGTAATAAGAAAATATTGAAAAAAAGCAATTATTGACATAAAAATCACTTCAATGAAGTGTTTTAACGCAGTAATATAAGAAATCATAATGTAACAAACGAGGTTATTTGTCATCAACTACATGAATGTGACGTCACTTCGGTAACGTTCATTTCACATATTATTGGGGAGTGCCCTCCACCTCAGTTCATTACCATTCTTTTGTGCTGTTTCGCTGAAATTGACACCGGTCGTAGCCTATTTACTCCTACCTGTGTGCAAGGGTACAGACAAAAAAAAAGAGTCAGACGTATTTTGCTATGATCTAACAAATGCTCGTGTTTGGCCATTGAAACTTAACATAAATCTATTCCGAATATATCCATCGACAGTCTTGTTAACAATTTCATTTAGTATGTTGCAACATCGTTTGTCAAAACACAAACATAAGTGCTTTTCAGCAGATCTGGAAAAATATAACCCAAAATGCAAAGATTCAAACAAAACTGAGTATTGTGTGCCCTTCAGTATTTGAAATGTACGTGACCGTCTTGTGTTCTGCATGGGTTTATTTGTTTTGTTTCTTTTTCTTTTTTTTTTTTTTTTTGTTTTTTTTTTTTTTTTTTTTTGTTTTCTTTAGTTTTTTTTTTACCAATTATAAGCCTATGCATACCTTGTTTTAAATTATTAACAACAATTAAATTAATATTGACGAAAAGTCGCATATTCAAAGTAAACAAACTGCAAAAAGGTTGCCAAAGATGAATTTAAGACACTTAAAAATAAATTTTCTAGAATGTGGTAACAGTCTACCACATTTACGAGGATTGGGGGTGCATTTAGATGGATTTATGTGGTCAGTTGTCAAATGGATTGTAACGATATTTTTGTTTCGCTCGTGTAAACGCAATTCATTGACTAAATAAAAAAAATGTCAGTTAGAAATACGCAAAATGTACGTTACCATACGTAACGTACATTTCAAATATAAAAATCAATTCTCTTCCACAAGCGTACGTTAGACACGCAATATATTGATACTATTTGAACTTGCATATCATAAGAAATGCATCATACAGGTTTCGTATTCAGAAATATATACCAGGTATCAAAATTATATTACATATAATTGACATTAATATATTTTTTTTCCTCAGCAGAAACGTTTCTTTTCATTAATTTTGGGATTTAGCCGACCTCCAGCCTTTGAAACTTTCCTTTGTGTACACATTCGAGTGTGTGAAAGTATGAGAATACATGAAAATTCGTGCGAGATTCACTTAATTCGAATCTCATGGTAACGTACATTTCAGTCACATACATTTCAAATGATCACTTTTCATGTAAAAAATAATTTTTAATTGTGTTAAGCAAAACGTCTTTGCCAGTTTATAGGATACAAGGGGTTGCTTATTCAGAGTCGTCTCATATTTTCTACTTAATATAAATTCTTAATGGAAGAATATAGGTAACGTACTTTTCTTTCTTATCTCTACGATTGAAAATGTCTTTCATTCCGTAAACATATTTATAAAAGTTGCTCAAATTGTTCAATTTCATGTTACATTATCTAAGTAGGAGTAATTAATCCTTTGAAATTTCAAATTTAGCCCATCAATAAATAAAGGAGAACAAAACTATCAGGTGTATAATCTTTGTGTTTGCTTGTAATGTGGTTGAAATAGAATTAAGCGACAGGGACATTGCACAATAAAAATCATTTATTATCACAAAGAAAATGTATTTATTGTTATAAAAAGAAGTATATATGATACAAGGTTTAACTTATCAGAAAATTTTTACTTGAGAATCAAAACTATAAATTACACAGAGGGGATTCAGCATAATATCTGCCTCGGCGACAGTAACGTACATTTCAAATAGGCTACTATATTTGAATTTGAAACTCCTTAAATACCCTTTCAGATCGATAATTATATGAATTCTTATTCATTGTTATATGACTATTTATAATGTTGATTTAAAAACTACATCAGTGGTATTTCTTCTAAATGAAAATGAGGCGACATTATTTGAGCCCTTATATTGAGAATGGGTGTTAGCCAAAGAGACTACTTATCATCGATGTACATCGTGGGCAGACAGCATGTTCATTCAGTGATCGAGCTAAAGTTAAGTCAAGCGTATGACCCATATAATAATGTAGTTTAAGTTAATGGGAGTCTCATCTTCATAATGGAGTTTAACTGTTAATGTTGAAAAAACAAAAATATAAGTGTTTAGAAACAGTGGACATATTAGAGCTAACGAACATTGGGAATATGATGGGAATACTGTAGAAGTAGTTAATGAGTTTAATTATCTTGGTATGTTGTTTAATTTTAATGGTAAATTTGCAAAAACACAACAACATTTTGCATCACAGGGAAGAAAAGCCATGTATAGTGTTTTGAATAGAATGAAAGATTTGAATTTTAACGTTAAAACACAATCAGATATGTTTGAGACTTATATTAGCCCTGTACTGTGTTATGCATCTGAAATTTGGGGATGGCACAAAGCTAAAGATATAGAAAAAGTACATCTTTCATTTTGTAAAAGAATACTTAAAGTTAGACAGAATACATATAACAGTATGGTATATTGTGAATTAGGTAAATTGCCTCTTGAATTGGTCAGGAAAAAGAAAATCTTTAAATACTGGTTAAAATTAAGAAATAGTGACAATTGCATTCTTCAAGCATGTCTACAAGAAAGGTTAGAAAGTAATGATGACTGGATTGTAAATATTAAGAATGAATTTTATAGGCTTGGTTTAGTAGAACTATTCGATAGCAATTGTATAAATAGTAACACAATTGATATTTTATATCAGAGAATGTGTGACGAATTTATCCAAAATATTATGTCAGATTTAGGTAAATCACCAAAGTGTCTCATTTATCAACACCTTATAGATAATTTTACCCTTCAGTCTTATTTATGTAAACCAATACATCTAAAATATAGAGTAACAATTACCAGGTTAAGACTATATCTGCGCATAACTTAATGATTGAACAAGGAAGATGTAATAAAACTTTGAGAAATAACAGAACATGTAGTCTCTGTCAATTAGGTAACATAGAAGATGAATTCCATTTTGTGTTAAAATGTCCACATTACAACACATTAAGACAAAAATACATTAAATCCTACTACTCCCGAAGACCAAGCGTCTTCAAATTGGTACAGCTACTCAGTACACAGAATATAAAAGAATTATGTAATTTAGGAAAATGTTTGCAATTAGCGAATGCCTCAAGAACAGCATCTTTATCAATTTTATAGATTATCAGAAATATTATATGCTTTGCACATGTACGTTGTATGTTTATTCCATTATTGCACGTGTTAAGATGTATGTTTATTTCATTATTACATGTGTTATGTCTATGAGATGTATGTCTCTCGACTTCAATAAAACTGAAACTGAAACATAATTATATCAGAAACTTTAATAATTATTCATAATTACCTTAGAAGCATCGGATGAGTAAAATTTATTATATATGATACATTTCCCATGGACTTCATCCTACACCCTGAACCTCAACTTTTTTCCCCAAGGCCCATGGATTTTATTTTATCAAAATTTGTTTCAGCACTCTAAAAAATCGTACGGTTATATGTTTTACATAAAAGAAATTCTTTTATAAAAATATTTTAAAAAGTGTAATTGATGCAAAACAGTATATATATATATATATATATATATTTATTCTGGACTAACCGATATGAAAAGCAGCAACATTCTTCTCCTAGGATATGAAAATATTAATTTAAAAAAGACTGTGGGTACATTTATTAATACTTATCAGATTTTAAAAAAACAACAGATCTGACAACAGCTGCATGCAATGGCAACATAGTTCATCGGTATGAAAATCTTTATTCAAATTGAAATCCTCGAAGACTTTTTCCCAGTCAAAGTACATGTATATTCATGGAGAAATAGTATTCCAAGCCATCGGCCTCCAGTGATGTGCTTTGATTGCAGAGTTCTTCTTCTGATATAGCCTACACTCTTACAACTTTTTCTGTTAATTATCTGTCATGCATTTTTAAAATATGCAATTATTTTGTCTACGTCTGTTCCATTTTTTCCCAGCTCAAACCAAAAACCAGTAAATATATAATTGGTAATTATGTGTAATTGACCTGTATGTCTTATTCTGATTATGAATTGTTAAATTTAAACAAAAACCTAATACAATTTATTTGTTTAAAAAAAAAAAAAAAAAAAAAAAAAAAAAAAAATTCATAATCTCACAGACAACAGTGACAATGAAATATATGGAGATAACAAACAGTATTCGAGCTCAAAAGTTGATTAAACAATTAATACAAATCAGGAACAGAGCAAACACGGGATAAATCGTATCGACAAAGGAGTGGAAATAACCATTGTTTATTGACAATATGTCGTCGATATATTTACATGCAGAGTTGAAGTTTTCTTTATTTATATATATGTGTATAAGTTAATGACGGACACTTTACAGATATAGTCATTGACAACCTGGATCCCTAATTGGAAAAGGCAAATTACCAGGTAATTGAGGGCTACTGTCAACATTTAACATACACATTTTAGCTATTCTTTCTCTTTTTAGATTTGAGTAATAAAAATGCCGCGATGTTACGTTGACAACGCATACAACAGAAGGATTGGACGAGTTGGAATGCCGGTGGGTTCGATGGTGGTTTCTGGAGGGGATACTAGCAAGGTTAGCTTCAGAACGTATGTCGACAATGCGTACAACCGCAATTTGGGCAGAGTTGGAATGCCCCGTGGATCCATGCCTGTTTCCAGTTCAGGCAGTTCTTCTTCCCCGAAAACATACGTTGATAATGAGTATAACAGAAAACTCGGAAGGGCAGGCATGGAATATGGTGCAATGGTGGTCTCCAAAGGCTCTTCAGATGAAGAAAGTTCAAGAGGAACGAAGCATTATGTCGATAATTCTCTCAATACATGTAGAAGTCTCTGGCGTGTTTGTCTTCCAGTTGGAACGGTAGTTCACTTGAAATCTGGAGAGGATGGTAACAAAGTCTACACAGACAATCCAGAAAACCGTCGTCTCGAAAGAGTAGGTTTCTGTGTAGGATCTAGACCCAAAGCCTCGTTTTCAGGAACGGAGCGCACATATCGCGACAATTATTTGAACAGAGCTCATAATAGAGTTGTAGAGGAGCTTGGAAGAAAACCTGTAACCTGCAGCAGGGAAACAGAGTGGATCCACAAAGCATATCAAAGATACAGAGAAAATCCGGTAAGATCCATTTGGCTCAACCTATTACACCCAACGATTGTGTTTTTTGATGGCTTTTTGAACCAGTGTGCTGATTCATTTCTCAATGAATGTTTATTTTTTATTAATTGTTAATTTTTAGGATGGGGAGATTTATCAAGGGTTACCAGCACTGCCAGAAGAAATGGAAACGGATGCGATAGAAAAAATGATAGAAAATCCGGTAAGATCCATTTGGCTCAACCTATTACACCGAACGATAGAGTTTTTATAGCTTTTTGAAACAATGGGAAGATTCATTTAATTATTTTTTCAATTAGAGATTATTTTTTTTTATTAATTTTTATTTTTTAGGATGCAGAGATTTATCAAGGGTTACCAGCATTGCCAGAACAAATGGAAACGGATGCGATAGAGAAAATGTTTGATTTATTAAACAGACTACAGTTTGAGAAAGAATGGCGCGAAAAATCAAAGACAAAGCCCGTTCCGAAGACAGAAGATGCATTACTTCACTACACCGGTCCGATTGTTGAGTTTTCCGATTTGGAGCTTAGAAGGATCATTGGTCGTGGTGGTTTTGGGGTCGTTTACCACGCCAAGTACAATGACTCAGTTGTTGCTGTGAAGAAGTTGCACATCACTCGAGTTTCCAAGCGGCGTCAGAAAGAATTCACTGAAAAGGTGAATATTCTAAGCAAGCTTGACCATTCATTCATTGTTAAGTTTATTGGTGCATGCACAAGAACGCCGAATCTTTGTATCGTGATGGAGTACATGCATATAAGTTTGTACGAAGCTCTACACGTGGACTGTGCTGATCTAGCCGAATTTACCGATGAAGATCGTCTAGCCATGATTAGGCAGACCCTTACAGGCTTAAGGTATCTGCATGAGAAAAATGTTGCTCATTGCGACATTAAGTCAAGAAACATTCTCATCGACCACGACGGTGAGAAGTTTACGGTTGCCAAACTGTCAGATTTTGGTTTGAGCATGATGAAAAATAAAACGGAGACTTCTTTGCCGTCTCGTCACGAGGCAGTTCGCAACATAGGAACACCTCGGTATTCTTCGCCAGAGGTTCTTCGAGGTGAACTTTTAAGCTTATATCAGATGAAGATGAGCGACATGTATTCTTACGCTTTAGTTGTGTTTGAAATAATTTGTGAAGAGGAACCATTTGCCAATCTTAGCGCTGCACAGCTGCGCACCCAAGTTGGCGAGAAGGATCTTTACCCACAATTCCCTAAAGATGTTGATCCCGATATTAATCTAGCAACACAACTTTTGGCTTGCTGGGAGAGAAAGCCATCTTATCGCCCCACGGCTAGAAGATTTCTTCGAGTTGTTAATCGCTTGTCGTGTGTTTATGAGAAATCAGATTGGTAAAATCACAAATAATGTATTTTGCTGGTTCACATTTTTCTGTTGTTGCATTTTTCATGACATTGTTAAAGATGCAATTGTGTCGAATTCTTTAATTTTTATGTTTACTAGACTAGTAATTGTATGCATGTTTTAAATCTTATCAGTAGATTTTTATGTTATTAAGTTTTAACTTATTTTTTTGTATATTTACAATCGTTGAATGTTAGTTGTTCTTTGTTTAAGGGACAGTGCTTGAACAAATCATTCAGCTGTTCATTCTAATTTTACAACGCATTGTTTATTTTAAGGAATAGTATATATTACTTTGTATACATTCATTATACATGTATTTTCTACTTGTTAATATTCATCTAACTATAAATATTGTAATTAAATGTGTTGATGTACTAGCATAGAAACACTATGAAAATATATATCACAATGCTATAATTCATCTTAAGTACATGCATAAATTATAATAATTTATATGAAGCAATATATACTAGTATATTTTTGAAAAGTTCTATCACAAAATTGTTTAAGGTCCATGATAATTGTTCCTTGAAACATCTGCAGAAGAATTTTAGTGCTATCTATTTTAATTTATATACACTGTATCTGTAACTTTCAAAACTTGATACGAAAAACACTTTATGGTCAATTGAACTTGAAATACCTATAACTCATTTCGAAAAGGGTATATTTTGCAGTAAGTTCATAATTATTTACGTTTTGTCCTTTTTTGATTATTATTTGTATTCTGAACAAATGTATTGATTTTTTAGGGTACAGGTTTGCCAGTAAGACGGTCTTTGCAGATGCATCGTCCCCCCTAGTGTCCTCTGTATTCAAGCCTAAATATATACTATTATACTGCTACTATTACAAAAATATCCGGTTTTTATTATCCTGTGGCTTTCTATATTTTTGGACCCAGTGTCAGACTATTGTTAGTATATGAGATATCTTACTTTTATGACGATGGTGCTACTTATTTATTGCATTTCACTCATTTGTACTTCCATGGTAGATCTGATTATTATTATTTTATTTACAATATATTTTGATACAACCTAATTGTAGACACATTGTAACAATTGTATTTGCCCAATGAGGCCCCATGTGTGATTGGTGAATAAACATAATAATAATGTCTTTTCTAACTTCGGTATGAGCTTAAAACTTATGTAGACACAAAAATATTTATTTAAAAAATCACTTTTTTACATCACTTTTCAATATCAAGCCATTGTGAGAACAAATTCAAATTTGAGGACATGAAAACACACGGCCGGTGTAACGTCTAGTATTGACCCGAGTTGATTGATTGTATGTTGTTTAACGTACGTCCCTCTCGAAAATTTTTCACTCATATGCCACTTGCCGGTGGAGGGCTACAGTTTGTGTCCTATGCTCGGCACTGAGGGCCTTTAAGCAGTGAGGGATCTTTTTCGTGCCAGCACCTACTGCGACACGGGGCCTCGGTCTATACAGTCTCGTCCGAAGGACCGGTCTCCACGTCCCACAGTGGGACTCGAACCCGCGACGTAAGGATTGACTCCTTACTTCGCGACTATAGAGCAGACGCTCTAACCACTGCGCCACGCGGGCGACGACCCGAGTTGAAAATTGACCCGGGGTACACTTTTCAACGTCCCGGGGTTCATTTTTCAACGTTGAATATTGATCCGGTTTTTTTTTTCGCCTTTTGAGACCAAAAGTCACCGGAAGTGAATTGTATTCTTAAAAGTCTCTGACATTTCTCTAGACTTTTGTATTATATCTTTTTACATTTAAATAGTTTATCGATACGTTAAACATTGAAAAAAGGTTGTTTTTCTTTTGAAACCGGAAGTTTACATATTTAGCTCACTAAGGAAGCTATTCTCATCAAAATTTGTTTGTAGTCTGTCTGTCTGCCCGTCCTTCTGTAAACTTTTCACATTTTCAAATTCTTCTCCAGAACCACTGGGCCAATTTAAACCAAACTTGCCATAAGCATCCTTGGATGAAGGGGATTCGAGTTTGTTTAAATGGAAGCACTCGGAGCTCCTTGAGTGGCTCGTACCTCCATGTCTTTATGACGTAAAACCTTTATGACATAGCTTGACGTCATGATACTGTATACATTTTCCTAAACAACGAGACGGAGAGAAGACGCAAAAAGGTAAGATGAAATAAAATTATTTTTTCTCCCCCTTTTTGGCACATCGAGATTATATTAACAAATTGTACCAATGTTACTTACAGAATGTTACAGTCGAGCAGATCCTCATAATTTAATGTTTGTATTCTTTTTTTAACAGAAGTGTGGATAGGAATGGCGAGTTTCCGAGTATCGTACAAATTGAATCCCGACATTTTTTTGACATCAGTACAGATGACAAAACAAAAATGGCAAGTATACTATACTGACCTTAATTGATCCAAGTATTTTCAAATAATTCTTTAACAAAAATTTGATATTTGGTGGTTATTTTTTAAAAGTAAAGGGAAACATATATTTTGAATGTAAAGATAACAACGTTTATTACTGATTGTTAACTTTTTCAGAAAGGAGTTTGTGCCTAAAAGAAAGGTCCTGAAAACTGTTGGAAATATCCAAAACAATATCAGACACAATGCAGACGTAAACGTTAGTACATATAAGAATTCATTTTAGCATTTCCTATGCAGCAGAAATTTAAACTATAGACGAGAGCCTGCAGATCATAAGCATATGAACCTGTTATTTCGTCCTATATCGAAATACAGTACAAACTGTCTGATCCGACACTTCTGTAAGCCGTCACAGTGTGAATTCCGACATTAAATTTCGTTCCCAACTTTTTTCCATGTTTTTGTTTAATGTCTAATCAGACATCCTGTCTATTTCTACATATACTTTATTTCCCAGTGCAAGTCGGTTTAGACAAATTTCACTGTAGAAGGAACTTGTGATACTTGATATATTTAAGTAAAACACAAGTTGGCATTGTCACAAAGAATATTAAAACTGATAAATCAATATTTTTCTCATTTTTCATTTGAAGGACTTTTTGCCGCCATGGGCGACAGAGAAATATTTTTTTGGATTTGCACAAAAATGAAAAGGAAGTGAGTAGTATTTACAAAACACTACATGTTTAATTATTTAATAAAAAACGTCATAATGACCTTGAAGTTAAGCTTTCTCTATAACTGTTTATGGTGTATACTAGTAAAATATAAAAGAAAAAAAAACATTCGTGTTAATACAGGGGACCTTAAATTTAATATACCTTGCATTCTTTTTCTAAAACATAATTTCATTATTTTCAGATGAAAGACTCTGGTGCTTGAATGCAGAATCTGAAGAAATCAAGGTACTGGTAGGACTGTAAAATGTGTTTATTTGGAATTTTTCTCAAAATTTTAGAAATGACTTTCAATTTTAATGCATGTATTTATGACTCATTATGAAATGGCAAATACAGTTTTTATTTTTATTTTTCTTAATTATCAGGAATACATCCAAGCATCATTGGACGGGCTACAGAGAAAATAAACAGCGGGAACGTCCCATTGAAAGTCAGTCTTTTCAGTTTATACAAAAATCTATTCTGTGCATATCTTAACTTAAAAGATTATTATACAGTACCTGTGTTGCACCATTAGATCTCCGCTCAAACATTTAGCTTTATTAAGTATATTATGATACAATACATCAATATTTATGGATTTAATGTGTCCACTTCTAACTCCTTTTAAGGAAAATAGTAGCGGAATAAAATAATAGGTTTACTCGATGTCTGTCCATCTTTCCAACCTTCTGTCTGTCGGGAGGTCTTTTCTTGTTCGTTTTCCACACGTTATTTTCATTGAGTCGCGACTTTATGGAATTTGAAAGGAAACTAGATTAGCGACAGGACTATTATTGCTCATGTAATACTCCAAGACAACGGAGTCGGAGTCAAATTGAAAATAAATGGGGGACTAAACCCACAAAAGTGCTTGGGGCCAATCCCCATTTTTCAATGCCAGAATTATATGTCTATCTTCGAAACAACAACATGGAGGGGCCCCTCTTAGCTACCAGAGAGAGAGAGAGAGAGAGAGAGAGAGAGAGATGAAAACTATTCCATTGTATTTTGATTCCTGACCCCTTAAAACCATTTTTGTTAAAGTAGAAAAATCAATTATTTCACTCTTGGCAAATGTCAGAACAGAAGCCATACATTGAGAAGTGAGTCGAAGGGAAATGTGATGAAACTGTTGTTCCTAAGGAAGAGCTGGAGGTAAGTTATTGAATGAAAGACATGTCCCAGTTGCAAATATTTTAGTCAAAACCATGATAACAGAAACATTGCATGGTGTGAATAATTTGGGTAAACATGTCACTTAATTAGAATAGTACAGGCAGAATTCCATAGAAAAACTTAAAATGCCACTTTTATTTTTCTTGAACCAATAGAAAATACTAGCTTTAATTTTCATATTTTCACCAGGAATATACCGGTATACCGGTATCCACAGCATCATTGAAGGTGCAAGAAAAATAGCAAAAAGCTAGACACAATTGAAAGTAAGTAAAGATCTTTTAAAGGAATTATAAGTTTTCTTAATATTATTATCTCCTGTTTTGTGCAATTCCAACCTTAATTTTCATTCTCATTTATCTTACACAGTCTGTCAATCTCTATATTCTGACACAAAATGAAATGTCCTAGTGTTGGTCGGGTTAGGCCGGTTTCACTGTATCATTATGTAGTACATGAACCATTTAATTTTTTAGCAGGATTTAGACATCAGGAAAGAACATAAGCCAGACATTGTCAAGCAGATCAAAAGGAAAAGTATGGAAAATAAAGAATCAACTGTTCATAAGGAAGATCTGGTGGTAAGCCATTGACGGAAAAACTGCATTTGCATGAACTGAATTTATAAAAAGCAAATGAAATCCATGATAACAGATTCAGTGAAGACGGTGACTATTTTGGCAAATGCAAACAAACTTAAATACATCTTTGATGCTTTCATCACATTAATAATACCTGTATGATAATCTGTTTCCAATGGTATTTACAGAACCCATTAATGATTTATTTTTCATACTTTCACTAGGAATATATCCAAAGCATCATTGAAGGTGCAAGACAGATACTAAAGAACGAGATGACTGTAGCCAAAGTAGGCAACAAGTCATTCTTATATTTTTTTTTTATTCATAAGAACTTAAGATTAACAAACATTATTCGTGATAAATTTAAAAAAATGAAGATATGTTTTAAACCCCTGGCAGGTTTTAAAAATCAAGAAAGAGATCAAGGCAGACATTGTCACATGGGCTGAAAGGAAAATTGTTGAAACAACTGTTCGTAAGGAAAAACTAGAGGTAAGACATTGGACGATATCCCACCAATGAAAGCCATCATGATATTTAGTGTGGATAGTGACTATAGATTTTGTAAACATGGCAGTTGTGTAGATGGAACAATCAGAAATAAATAATAAACAAGCTAAAAAGCTACTTTTATGCCATGTCAAGATAACTTTATTTTAAATCAATAATTGTTTAAATTAAAACAAATTTCTTGTGGCTCATTTTTAAAAAGCCTGCATTCAAAAATTTAGTTGGATATAAAGAGCAGAATAAAGTTGAAAATGGAAGAAAATACAAGCTCTCAAGAAAAGCTCGAGAGAAAGAAGGATCTTATGAAAGCAGTTCATGAAGGTAAGAAGGTATTTGCATAATTATTGGATTTGTTGAAGCTGTTTGGTTCCATCTTTTTTGTTTGTTTTGTACGTAAGTAAAGACATATTTCTTTAAAGGATATTTTTCATCATTTGAACTTGTGGTAAACAAATTAAACCCACATGTATAATGATAATATTAAAGAATAAAAAATACTGTCCAATTGCAGACCATACAGTTTTAATGAAAATTAAAAAAAAAAAAGAATTAAAAGCACAAAAAAATTAAAGTTTGTTATACATGTAGTATCAAATAGTATCAAACATGGTTCTTGTGTTCACGAAAAGGATTTTTTTTCAGAGGGTGCAACCTGTCAAGAAACTGAAAGAATCTGACGACCATCGTGCACCTAGGATGCTCTTTTTGTTTAATGTGGAAAGCTTTAAAGAAAATCCAGAGGTGAATTAAGAAATTTGCTGGAAATATAACAAAATATCTATATTTTTTGGAAAAGGGAGTACAAATTTGAACCCTGGGCCCAATTATTTTAATCAATATTTTTTTGTGTGTGTGTGTGGGGTGGGGGGGGGGGGGGGGGGGCTAGTGGTGGATAATAAGAATAAATTTTTATTTATATAAATAAATGCTAAACATCCAATCTTTTTTTTTTTTTTTGGTTAAATTTTATTTCCCAGACCATTGCTATAACATAAGAATTCCCTACTCAAATATTTATGGCAGTTGCCAGGGATGGGGCCCTGACTAAAAACTCCATCTAAATACAATTACATAAATTAATCCTATATCACCTCGCAGGATGATTATTTGATATTGTAAGACAAGTAGGGTACATAAATAATGATAGTTACATTGTTTTGTTTAAACATATAATGTTTATAATAGAATCTTTTTTTAAATATTTAAAATATAAGTAATTGAAAACGTTATTATATACTGACACGCAAAAGAAACGCAACACCCTACTTTAGGGTGAAATAATTATGTAAAGTAAAAAATTTTAAATCTTAAAATCATGAATATCTTCAAATTGGTAAATATCGGTAATTTAACGGTTGAACGATTTCCATACCATAACCGGAAGTCAAGTTTGAGTCTACATAACAGAAATCGAAAATTGCATGTTTCACAAAACAGTTGGCAATATTATGGAGTTTTAAGGGATTGTACTGTTCATCTTAAGCAATGCATATTTCAAAAAATAAAATCTCCTTTCGTTTCCCGTGACGATGCTAAAGCTTCTTGAAAATGGCTTAAGGTATACCTTTACTTAGATGACTAAAAATTCCACTGATAAGAACGAAAAACCACCTATTGCACATTGTACACATATATTTCTTGTGTTAAATTTCAATTTCAAATAACTAGGTCAATGACCTCGTTTTCATGCTAGTGGCCCCTGAGTATTTCTCAGGAAATACCTCAATTTTTCACACTATGACAAATTTTTTCTTCACTCACAAAATATTACAAGCAACAAAACTCTTTACACAATGAAATATTATAGAAATTGTACAGTGTTGCTTCAAATAAAGAAAGGATTTGAGTTTGGGCCAAAAGATGATAATTATTACAGTCCGAATTTCCTCTGTCAAAATTATTATTTTTCCCCATTTTTAATCGAATATTTATCAAATCTTACTGATAAGAACTCTAAATGATTTATAGCCTCATATTACCTTTGTTGCCGTAACTCTCATGGTATTTACATTATATGGGGTCAATGATCAAATTATTGAGATATGTTGCCTGAAATGGTTTTTGTTCATATTTTTGAATTTCTTTATTTAATAGCATTCTATTATTTCAAATAATTTATGAGTTTTAAGAAATATAAAATTTGCAAAATTATGTTTTAAAAAACTTGTAATCTTTACATTTTGATTTATATTGCAAAAAATTAAAGATTTTGATAAAAATGAAAATTAAAAAATTTAGTCCGAATTTACTCTGCATCACCATACACCGACTTTTGTTCCTGTATATTTTCTTCAAATAATAAAATTTGAAATTTTAAAATAGAAATTGAGTTAAAAGTTTGTAATTTTATCCATTTAGAACAATTTTTGATTTAACATATCATACTTTATAAAATTTCCTTTCTGATTTCTGAAACCTGAGTAAACGTCATCCTTAAGTGCGCATTTCCATTGCTCTAGCTGGAAAATCTCAAAGTAAAGGTGATGGAGAGTTGATGATGCAAATTTACACTACATTACGTCTCAACGGGATCTTACGTATTATATTCATAAATGGTAGTCTTTGGACCGGAAGTCCAATGGTTACTACAATGCGCTAAGTTAGAGAAAATTCGACTTAATCATCTGAAAAACAGGCATTTAAAAATGGTAAAGAATAATTCCTTCGCCCAGATCTCGATATTGATCAACCTACTGTATTGTAGAAATTAAGCTGCTAATGTTGTTTTGGACAGTCTTGCACGTTGTAATTGAGTGGCTGGAAGGGGGGTGTTTTAAAAGTCATATGTTACTTTGTAAAGTTAAAAGATTAACATTTAACAATTTTATCAAATCTCTGATGTTCTGAAAAGTGAGTTTAGCCTCACTGTATTCTTTTTTAAAAATCATTAGATAAAAAATTCAAACATTTGTAGATTACTGCTTGTTGCGTTTCTTTTGCGTGTCAGTATATTATTTTACAAAAGATAAAGAGGATTATATGAATATACACATTCCCATTGCTGTCTAAAGGGGAGATCTCATACGAACATCCAATCTTAGTGTCAGTGGAGTTTTCACTTCAAATTTTTACAAGCGTAATGTTTTGCATTATAGCATAGTTCAGCATTTAATTCTAGTAACTTACAATTTTTTTTAACTTATAGAGCGAGTGCCTTACTGTAGATACCTGTCTCAATACCAGTACATACAGGCCTTTGATTTCTGCACAACATTCTATGGTGAAATCATAACCGACAGAAGAAATGGTATACATGCAAGACATGTCATTATTTGAGTCAGTTCAATATCATAATTATATTCAATGAAATAAAGTCATCATGTGTTTCCACTATAAACAAAAGTTACAAGTGTTATTAATTTTGTAGGTTGTTCCTAAAAGAAGAACATATTTGAGAAGAGGCATCCTAAAGTTTCCTGGATTCAAGAAATGGCAAAGCCTTGCTGCTTCACACAGAATGAAGACTATCATAATTATATATTATTAACATGCATTTTAAAAACTTTATTGCTGATATAGATAAACAGATCTAATGTAAAACATTAATGTGAAGAACATTGAACACCTTTAAAGCCTTAATTTTCAATATGTGTAACACTTGCTATTTAATTTTAAATTATTTCATATCAATAAACTTACTATTTTAAATCTAGATTTGCTTTTGAATTTATTTGCATAAAAGTGGATTAGAAAGTTCAAAGATTATTACGACAAAGGAAAAGGATATATAGAATATTGGAATTAAATTATAAAACTTTTTTTTCAGTTTTTAATGGCATTTTGCGTCAAATAATAGAAAAATCAATAGCGATTACAGTTTAGCTTAAATAGTGTAACGACCCCCCCCCCCTTCCATCCCCAACAAACACACGCACAGCCACCATTTAGTTTTATTAGCAGACAGTAGATTTCCTCATTTTCAAGATGCGATGAAAATAACAATATCTAATACTTTGTAAGCCAGTCCGAAAAGAAAACGCAACGGAATAATTCAATCGTTCTTGGAAATGAAAATTCCCACTGACCCAGTTCACCTGGGTGATTTTCGAAAAACGCATTTATCGCTCTCGTTTTACTTTCGTTTTTAGAGCGGGAAGTGGAGGCATAACGTGTATTTGTAGGTAAGTAAAACTATTTTGTGCAAAGAATATCGCCTCAAGCGTTGTATAAAGTAAATATTTTAGAAAAGAACATCCATCATTAAAACACGATGAATATTTACAGTCAGTCTCGTATATTATTATTGTTATGTATAGAGTTTGTGACTAACATCAACACTTGGCTATTCACGAAAAAAATATACATTGTATTTACATCTTTAATAACATAAACTTTATTCTAAGTTTTATAGCTCCTTTGTAAGAACTGTCATATTTTAAGAAGGAAAATCTTTTGTAAAAGCCACTGACAGGTTGTCGTGGTAAACATTGTACAGCCGTAAAGACCTAATGTCAAATCGGGGCACTCACAAACATTTATCTGACCTACTTATTATCGATGTACACCGTGGGCGGTGAACGATTGAGCGTGTGAAAAGCTAGTGTGTCTGACCCAAATAATAATGTAGTCAAAGTTAAGGGGGTATAATTTTCATAACTATTAGAAGCCTAGCTCAGAAGAGTAAAATTCAGTTATACAATACATTACCCATGAACTTATTGCTACACGGTACACCCTTCTCAAACCTCATCAATCCGTTCAGGTGATTGAAAGCACTCCCCTTCCCCAAGTCCCATGGATTTTCATAAAAATCAAAACGGTAAGGCTAAGTGTTTTACATAAACAGAGAAATGCATATTTTTTTTTGATATTTTATAAATATATTGAAAAAAATTGTCAATTGATGCAAAACTGTTTATCCTTTTTTCCGATACTGGACCACAAGGCTTTAGATCGCTTACAAATAATTGGGTCATTCAAAAAATCTTTTTTATATACACAGTTTTTTCTAAAGCGATCCAAAGGCCTATGTACTAGACACACAGATATAACAGCAGCAGCATTCTCATTCAGCATATGAAAATATGAAAGACAATCTGTCGATTTGACAAGAGCTGCATGAATACAGAAAACCAATAATTATGCAGATTACGTGTATCAGCACACAGACTTTAGGCAGATGTAATAACACACCCAGATCAGAATGAATATATAAAAATTGTATGCTTAATCAAATTGAAGATGAAGAACATTTCCTTATTCACTGTAGCAAATTTACAAAGAAAAGAGAAAGACCTATTTAACCTGATCTCATCTATTAGTAAAACATTTTACAGAATTGCCTGATAAACAAAAATTATTCTGGATTCTAAATTGCGAAGAACTAGGTATACTAAACTCTCTTGGAAGATTTTTACAAAAAAAAAACATTACCATAAATTTTAGGAATGTAACTTTTTTTGTTTTGTTATTTTTATTGATTATGTAAAAGTATGATACTTTCAAGTTTATGGTTTAGTAATGCATGCATATATATGATATACTGTATATATACTAGTACCCATAAAACAAGTCTTATGTTCATATAAAATATTTTTGGTATTCCCCTACTTGTATGTCTTTTCTCTCACTCAAGCAGTTCTTTCCCTCTTATGTATTTCATGTGTATGATCATAATCATTATAATTATACATTTTAAAAATGTACTTTCTTTTTACCCTTGAGGGCCCTTAATTGGTCAATAAACGAATTGAATTGTAGTAGCTACATAGTTCATCCATATAAAAACCTATATTTAAAATAAAATCATCTAGTATTTCTTCCCAGTCAAAGTACATGTATAACTAGTATTCTGAAAAATCATCGGCCCCCACCGGGATGCAACATGTACCACGACGGTTTGCAGAGCTCTTCTTGCAGTACAGCCTTAAACTTGTATAAGTTTTCTACTAACCTTATATAATAAATATCTATAATGCATGTTTAAAATGTGTTTCTTGTCTATGTCTCTTCCATATTTTATTCAAATCAAACCAAAACTAATGAATATTAATAATAGTAGATGATTTTATGTTAGTGACATCAGCGCCGATCAGGGGAATTTTTTTTTTTGGGGGGGGGGGGGGAGGGGTGTCCGCCCCAGTCAAAAAATATTCCAACCCAGAAATCTCTCGACAAGTAATCTGAAAAAACGAACAATAAAACATTAACTCCTTCCCCAAGCGTGAAAAACATATTTCGGGGTTTGGGATGGGGTGGGGGATGGGGGTTGCCTTATAAAACTTCATACCTAAGACATTTCATACCAAATTAACTCTGATCCACGTTTTCGAGGAGGTGTCAAAGGTAACTTTTTCTTGGTTTAGTATATACATTTAATAATTATGTATTCGTGGGGGGGGGGGGGCTCTAAATTTGCGCATGAATATGTTTGTCTTATTCTGATTATGTTTTATTAAAATCAGACAAAAACCCATTACCATCTACATTTATTTGTAAAAAAAAAAAAATCTCATAATTTCATAGACAACCGTGACAATGAAATGTAGGGAAATTAAAAAAAGTATTTGAGCTCAAAAGTTCATAAAACACTACAAAGATCGAAGGAGCAGAGATCAAACGTGGACCTCTAAAACATCAGAGGTGGGATCAGGTGTCATGGAGGAGTTAGCATCTCCTGCCTACCATTTATACCCGCTGTGTACATTGTCATGATAGGGAAATAACTGAAAAATCTGTCGACAATTCAGTTTATTTAAATAATGGTCTAACAATTTGTGAACATACAAAATGATGACTTTAAACGAGACTGTTGATATTCTCGTTTTATTAACTTGTTTGTCGATAACTTAGCTTATTAAAAAAAATATTCATATACGTAGAGCATGCATTTGGGTATCGAATCAACTGAGATATTTAAACCCCGTACGCAGGTGATAAAGGTATATTGCTGCATAACTTAGCATATGATAAGTAAGGAAAGTTAACGATTGAAAAGTTAAAGTCATAACGTATATCATAAAGCATTGTTGTTACTTGTTAGATTATCATTATAATTGTCTTTTTCTAGTAAAATATATATTTGTAATAAATGGAAATAACTATTGTTCATTGACAATACGTCGTCGTTGTATCTAAATGTCGAGTTGAAGGTCACAGCAAGCGTTTTCGTCTTTTCACCTAATTCATTAGTTAAAGACGGACCCTTTACAAATATAGCCCTTATAGCCCTTCTGGATCCCTAACTGAAATAGGCAAACTAAATGAGGGCTATTGTCAGCATGTTGTGTATAAATTTAGCTATTTTTTCTCATTTTAGATCTGAGTAAACAAAATGCCACGTGGAGGTGGAAGTAGAAGTTCTGGCGGATCCAGCGGTGGTGGGAGAAGTTACGTCGACAACTCGTACAACAGGAGTTTGGGACGAGTTGGAATGCCCGTGGGTTCAATGGTGGTTTCCAGCGGGGGTAGTAGATCATCCTCAGCAAGCACCAGCTTTTTAGGTTCAAGTTTTGGAGGAAGCAGTGGTAGCAGCAAGTCGTATGTCGACAATTCCTACAATCGAAGTTTGGGTAGAGTTGGTATGCCTGTAGGTTCGATGGTGGTATCCAATGGAGGTACTAGTAGTAGACCATCCTCGGCTAGTAGTGGTGTTTTCGACTTTGGCACTTCAAGCAGTGGGAAGACCTATGTTGACAATGCTCAGAATCGTCAGCTTGGCAGAGTGGGAATGCCTGTAGGATCCATGCCTGTTTCCAGTTCAGGCAGTTCTTCTTCCCCCAAAACATACGTTGATAATGAGTATAACAGAAAACTCGGAAGGGTAGGCATGGAACATGGTGCAATGGTGGTCTCCAAAGGCTCCTCAGATGAAGGAAGTTCAAGAGGAACGAAACATTATGTCGATAATTCTCTAAATAGAAGTCTTGGGCGTGTCGGTCTTCCTCACGGAGCATACGCTGATGCTGGAGAAGTTCGATTTTATAAGGATAATCCATTTAACCGAAGACTAGGACGTGTGGGAAAACCAGTTGGAACGGCAGTTTATTCGAAATCTGGAGAGGATGGTTACAAAGTCTACGCCGACAATTCAGAAAACCGTCGTCTCGGAAGAGTAGGTTTCCCATTAGGATCTAGACCCAAAGCCTCGTTTTCAGGAACGAAGCGCACATATCGCGACAATTCTCTGAACAGGGCTCTTAATAGAGTTGGAGACGAGCTTGGAACAAAACCGGTAACCTGCAGCAGGGAAACAGAGTGGATCCACAAAGCGTATCAAAGATACAGAGAAAATCCGGTAAGATCCATTTGACTTAACCTATTATACCCAACGATAGTGTTTTGATGGCTTTTTCAACCAATGTGCTGATTCATTTCTCATTGAATGTTTATTTTTTTTTATTAATTGTTAATTTTTAGGATGCAGAGATTTATCAAGGGTTACCAGCGCTGCCAGAAGAAATGGAAACGGATGCGATGGAAAAAATGATGGATCTGTTAAACAGACTACAGTTTGAGAAAGAATGGCGCGAAAAATCAAAGACAAAGCCCGTTCCGAAGACAGAAGATGCATTACTTCACTACACCGGGCCGACGGTTGAGTTTTCCGATTTAAAGCTTGGAAGAATCATCGGTCGTGGTGGATTCGGGGTCGTTCACCACGCCAAGTACAATGGCTCAGTTGTTGCTGTGAAGAAGTTGCACGTCACTCGGGTTTCCAAGCGTCGTCAGAAAGAATTCACTGAAGAGGTGAATATTCTAAGCAAGCTTGACCATTCATTCATTGTCAAGTTTATCGGTGCTTGCACAACAGCGCCGAATCTTTGTATCGTGATGGAGTACATGCAAATGAGTTTGTACGAAGCTCTGCATGTGGACTGTGCTGATCTGGCCGACTTTACCGATGAAGATCGTCTTGCCATGATCATGCAGACCCTTACTGGCTTAGAGTATCTACATGAGAAAAATGTTGCTCATTGCGACATTAAGTCAAGAAACATTCTCATCGACCATGACGGTGAGAAGTTTACGGTTGCCAAACTGACAGATTTTGGGTTGAGTATGATGAAAAATGAAACGGAGACTTCTTTGTCGTCTAATCACGAGGCAGTTCGCAACATAGGAACACCTCGGTATTCTTCGCCAGAGGTTCTTCGAGGTGAACTTTTAAGCTTAGATCAGATGAAGATGAGCGACATGTATTCTTACGCTTTAGTTGTGTTTGAAATAATTTGTGAAGAGGAACCGTTTGCCAATCTTAACGCTGCACAGCTGCGCACCCAAGTTGGCGAGAAGGGTCTTTACCCACAATTCCCTAAAGATGTTGGTCCCGATATTAATCTGGCAACACAACTTTTGGCTTGCTGGGAGAGAAAGCCATCTAATCGTCCCACAGCTAACAGTTTTCTTCGAGTTGTTAATCGCTTGTCGTGTGTTTATGAGAAATAAGATTGGTAAAATCACAAACAATGCATTTTGCTGGATCACAATATTTACATTTCATTATCGTTGCATTTTTTACGGTATTGTTGAACCTTGTTTAATTTTGACGCTTACTAGACTAGTATACATCTTTTAAATCGAATTTATGTCACTTAGCTTTTATGAACTTGTACTTTGTGTATTTACAGTTGTAAGATGATGAATTTCTGTTTTCCTTTGTTAATGTGACAAAATCATTCTGTTGTTTATTCTTGCCATCGGATATACATGTCTACTGCCAAAACCCATATTGTTGTATAGTTTTTTCAGACATTTATTTTCAGGTATAGTTCAATACTTTTCATACAATATATTATATTATGCATGCAATTTTCTACTTGTTACTGTTCATTACTACCGTAGAAGAATTATTAAAATTAAAATCACACGAACAGTGCTTATTTTATATTTCATAAGAGGGAAATGTTTTGAAAATCAAAAATCGGGTTCTTCTTCGTATTATCTTTAATTGATTCAGTGTATGGCTTGATGGCACCCTTTTTCTGTCCATCAGAACTACGCATTTTGTTTGGTTCACTTTGCGGCATTCATACAGATAATCTGTTGTTCCATTTTTAAAAATCGTAATGACGTTTAAAAATGACGCATCACAGTCAATTTAAAGCGACTCAAATTGTTATGTTTTTCAAACTGGATTAAAATTTTATATGACATTGTTGTTTTCAGATAAAAGAATGTAGGGAAAAAAGCAGAACTAAAACAAGACGTTTTTTGTTGCTTAAATTGAAACATGGGTGGAAATGGGCACCGTCTAGAAATCAGAAAGCTTTTGGGGGACATCTTCTAAGGTTAAAATGTCTCCATTACAAGAGAAATATGTGTTAATGTATAAATTGTTCAGTTACAAAATTCGTGGCAAAGGTCAAGAGATCAAAAATATTGTACCCCAAAGAAAGGATCTTTAAATATACCGGTAAAATGTGAAACCCCAAATACCAAAAGTTATTCCAAGGGAAAAAAAATTAAAAAGTGATTCAAACTCCAATTTCCAAGTTAGAATCCATGAAATCCAAGAGAATGTCACATCTCACATATGTAAAATATAATAGCCCCAGTGCTCACTGTTAAAAAAATATGGCAAAGTTTAAAATTAATGAATTAAGCTCTTTGGTACTAGTATTTATACCCATGGTAAGGTCTTGTCACAATGAATGCACATGTGAAGATTGAAAGCCCAAGCACCTACTTTCGAAGGTAATTGCAGAAGAACAAGTTAGGGCCAAGCTCCATGGTCAAGGTCAATATCTAGATATCCAAAGAAAGTTTCCGTCACAGAAAATATAAGTGGAATATGAAAGCAATCTCTCTAATCAAGCAAGGGTAATGGGCAAATTGCAAGTTCTGAGGACAAAAAGACAGACGGACAAAGCAAAAAAGTATATACCCCCCTCCCCCAACTGATTACAGGGTATAAAAAATATTTTTAAAAGCATGGATACAATTTTTAAAGTGATATTTTAAAATGCAGACCCTTACAGACTTTGAATGAAAAATGTTGCTCATTGCGGCATTAAGTCAAGAAATATTCTGTTTTCTCTGCCAGAGGTTCTTCGAGGTGATTTTCTAAGCCTAGATCAGATGTAGATGTGCGACATGTATTCTTACGCTTTTGTTATTGCAGCTCGGAGGACCGGGCTGCTCTATACATATAAGTTTAAGTGTTGATGTATGGGGATTGAGGAGGGAGAAGTTATTCAGAATTAAAGGTTTTCTAAACATTAAAAAGATTGTTAATCAGAATGTTCTTTCCCTTTATAAATTACTCGATATACACAATATATTTACATCCATAAAGTGAATCTTTAAAACTATATATGTTTTTCATACATATCGAAGCTGTTTGAAGATCAAGATTCATATCCATTGTTTACTTTATTTATTTCCCGGGCGACAATTGATGGGTACATCAATGTTTTCTTGTTTTATTTGTAATGGGGAATCGTTTGCAAAGCTGCACAGCTGCGTACAAGTCAAAAATGGATGCCTGAATTGGAATATATTTTTGGGTCTGTTTTTGTTGCAACTGATGCAAATAATAAATTTCTTAAATATTAAGAAATTGTGAACCTTCCATGATGTTCAAAGTTCTAGCTTTCTGCAACAGACCTTATTAATATTTTTAAATAAAAGATTGTTTGTGTCATCTGTCCTCAATATGGCAACGTAACTTTTCGCTTGCTGGGTGAGAAAGCCAACTGATCGCCCGAAAGCTAGCAGTTTTTATTTCGAGTAACCTGTGTTTATGAAAAACCAGATGGGTAAATTCACAAACTTTAAAGCAAAGTAAAAATTTTGTCAATTATTTGTACGTTAACCTTGATTTAACGACATTGTTAAGGCTTGCGATATAATGTCCATTATTGACATTTATTGGAACATACGAGTAAGATTGGCGAATAATGCGTGCAAAAAGTCTTTAACTTCAAATGTAGAATGATTAGATCAAATTTTGTGAACTAATTAGTAGAAATGTTTAATTGTTCTGTTGAAAATTCTCTAGGTAAAAATGAAGTAAAAGATGGGATTAGGGAAATTTGAGCTCAGATGATCCTGATTGTCAGTGTTTCATTCTTTTCTTCATATATTGTCATATTATCAAATATTCTTTAAAAGTTTACAAAAATATAAAGCGAAGACCCACTAACATAGAAAAATGTTATAAATAACATGATTAATTCAAAGCATCTTTGTTCTCTCTGATGGTCCTGATTATCAGTGTTTTCCCGCTTTTCTTCAACAAGAAATTGGTATTATCGTATCATCAAGCAAAATTTTGTCTTTACAAAAATATAAAGCGAAGACCCACTTACAAAGAAAAATGTTGTTAAAACCACATGTACTCATGATGTAGTATACTGAAAGTCATTTTAGCCGGGCTTATTGCTCAAAGAGCAATTGCCGGCTTATGGGATCCTGTTCAAGGCAGGATGTTGACCCCATAGTCGCCATTTTAAAGTTACGTGCAAAAATATAGTTCTTACTCTCAACCGCTTTTGAGATAATACAAACGCTAAATAAAGCAACAAAAATAAAACGAAGTTTTATCTATATAAAATAAACATTAGTAGTAAGTCAAAGAACATAGTTCATTAGCGTAAGGATTTTTGAGTGTTACCGTAGTTCTCTACACATACGAGGTGAAGCAGGAGAGGGAACCAGACTGGCCTGTTGTTTACATTCAGCTGCGGTACCAGATTAATTCTGATTCTGACAAAATCGGACCGTGGTGTTAGGATTGAAAAACACACTGTCGGTGTCTTATCATTTATATTGATAGTTTTAAAATAATTTTTTCATCAGAATATAAACGTGATTCATGTAAGAAATCCATTCTACTCTGTAAATGAGCCCGGCTCTCTGTACTTCTGAGTACTTTGATGTTCTCTTTGGTTCGTCCATGCTATTTAATAATAGCCGAATGATTTTATAAATTATGAGATTTTGGCAAAATGGTAATTATTGCAAATAATTTCATTTATGTGACATGTTCTTGTTTAATAATATGTTTTTTATATAACAGTGTATTTTACATAGCTTTATACTATGCAGCTATACTGTTCATTTTATTGAACTAATTATACCCTTTTCTTATTATGCCTTAATATGGGTTCAACCAATCAGAAAAAATCTTATTCATCGCGTGATCATTGTTGATCCGTTTACCAAAAGAGAAAGCATGGTTTATTGAACTGCTTAATTTTTCGAACCCACCATCCATCCCATCTGCCATCAATGCTTGTTATTTCGTTCAGGTTGACATTTTTTTGTTATATTTTACCCTTTTTTATTGTGCTCGTATTGGTTAAAGAGATTTTTAGTATTCATTCTCTAGCGCACGCTCTAACTGTAGAAGTAAAATTTTTGTACATTGTAATAAATATTTAATTTACATCCTTAAATTAATTTATGTAAAACATCTGACACGGCAGACCCATGTTAGCAATTAAGTTTCTAAATCCCGAAAATTCTTATCCGTGAGATGAAAGCAATTCTCGAAGAATTCTCTGAAAACTGATATGATTTATAGGCTCGGCCGTCGGATGCTAAGATATGCGCGTGGGTTCTCACGACTTTCACCATTCCCTCACGGAGCCTTGTCAGTGAACGCGCAAACAAAAATTCTACTGTAATTTTAATTGTCTATTCAATTTGGATAGATAAGTACGAATTTTAATTTTTGATGGTTATTTTCCCCGATAAGTTGGATCTTTTTTGTTCTTCGAATTGGAATTAAACCTTTTAATATTGTGGAACAGAACTAGCTTTGTTGGTGGAAGTATATATTTCAAAACAGTGAAGTCTACACTGATTGCGGGGATTGCAATGTGAATACCGGTATACTGACTTAAAGTTATCCGCAACAGCGGTTTAGTGGTGGCAAATTATCCTATTAATATTATCGGCTCAGATAAATATGTTAGAAAGGAAAATCGCAGATCTACGCCAATTGCAGGTGTTCTTATTTTACATATAGGAGGAAACAGAGATACACGAGATAATGAACCATTTGTGAGGGAATTAAGACTGTGCCTTTTATGCATCGCATTTTAATAAACGTTTGCACCACGCGACAATATTGCACATGTGAAAATTTGACAGCTTATGCCCCCTTTTAAAACTCGAATTTTATACACAATATCTTATAATGAACTAGAAATTAAATTCAACAGAGAATTGAAATGTCTGCTGGTACAGAAAACGAGTGTTCAATATTGGAAACTTAAAATATTAAACACGTTAAATTTCCGATGTTTTGTGATGGGGGGGGTTATTGTGTTTATTTTATTTCAAACACAATAATGTGGCTAATTTTTATACCCCATCTTTGATATCTATTGAAACAAAATTGATTGTATCTTTCAGTTGTTCAATTTTTCTGATTCTGCATTATATGTTTATATGCATGACATTCTGTGTTTTTTCATATAGTCATTTATATTGTAAATAAATGGCATTTTTCAATTCACAGAATCTTAATTTTGTTTCTTCGTATCAAACAGAGTTAAACTATTGTCAGTGGATTTACATAAATGACAATTCCATGTGTATCAGGTTACTGAAAATGAGTCTGACATTCATTTTGTGTACCTCGCAATATTGCTGCAGGTTTCCGTTGTGATTTTTCAACATAAATCAGTGTTCTTTTTTTATCTATGGTTTTTCTTGGGCGGAAGCATAGTTGTGTTCATTTTAATGCTTAATTGGCTGATTGATTTGTTATTAGCTGTTTTTTTATGGCAGGCAGCAGTTTAGAGCATTTTGTATATGTCTTCGAACCTTATGATGTTTATAAGGGAGTCAAATTGAAATTAAAAAAG